TATTTTTTATTTTTTGGTTAATCAAACAGTTTTATCGGTGTTTTACTATTGCTTAGGTAAGCTGCCCTGAGAACCTTTGACTAAGAGGTGCGGCACACAAGTGTAATAATTAAATGGCAAGAATGATGCGATCCTTTGCTGCCCTTTCCAAGCAGGCAGTGGGCCAGCGCGACCTCTGGTCACTTTCAAAGTGCTCATGCAGCATCTGTGGGCACTGTCACAGACTTCCTCTCCTCCCTGCTGCCATTATGCGCCCTTTCGGGCTTGCTGGGGCATCAGTGAATGCAGGCCCCTGGACTGCATAAGCCACCCAGCTTCAGTGAACTCTGTCCCCTGTCATGGCAGCAGGAAGGGGGAACTGCTCCAGCAGCCTTCACTCTTAGATGAAGCAATCCTGGCTCCTCAGCCTTTGTGGTGAAGCCGATTGGGCATGCTGTAGTGGCATGGAGTCAAAGAAGAACGGAGAAAAGACCTGTTGCTCCCTGGGATCCCAGCCAGAAGCATGAGGGAAGAAGCAGCTTGATATTTGCTATCAAAATTGACTTTTCTGAAAAGTGAGGGTTTAATGAGTACATTCATACACTCATCGGTTCACATGAAACAACTCACAATGGCTTATATGTCCAGTCAGGCACCCGGTTGTCTGTTGGTACCCATTGTGAGCCCATAAGCAAGTAACCCACCCAGCATGGCTTGTTCCCTGTGCCCTTCACCTCCCAGCAGGAAGCTTAGTGTATGATCTTAGGCTAGCAGTTGCTTCTCAGCCTCACCTACTTACAGAGTCATTGTGATAATAAAATAAAAGAACCATGTATGTACAGTCTTCAACCCTGACTGCTCTTTAGAAAGTCAGATACTGAAGATGAAACTCAAATACTTTGGCCAACTCATGAGAAGGAACGACTCCCTGGAGAAGACTCTAATGCTGGGAACAAATGACAGCAAAAGGGGACGGCAGAGGATGAGGTTGCTAGATGGAGTCACTGAAGCAGTCGGTGTGAGCTTAAGTGGACTCCAGGGGATGGTGGACAATAGGAAGGCCTGGAGGAGTGTTGTCCATGGGGTCGCAATGGGTTGGACGTGACTTCGCAGTTAACAATGACAACAATGTTCAGTCTTGAGCTTCTTTGTGTAAAGGCTGGATACAAATGTGATAATGATATTTTTACTGAAAACTCATATAAACAATCTTTAAATTATTTGAGAGGTTACCCCAAAACTTATTTCAAGACCGAATAGCTGTAGACATAGGATTTTTCTAAAATTCTCCCTTTTTCTTTTACCCCACAAACACCTCAACCCTCCCTGGTCTTTGTAAGTCGTAGCATTCAGGTCAGTTCATAATACTTATTGGTTGTCACTGCCTTTCACTACTGCTGCTAAACACTTTTCTAAGTACATTTGCTTTCTACTAAGCTGAGGATGAAGAATCTTGAGTCACGGTCCAAATATTTATTATAGAAATTCCTAATGCATGTCATGAATATGTTCTTTGATAAGCAACAGCTATTTCTTTATCCAAAAATAGCTGATGTAAAGGAAGCTCCAGAGGTTAAAGAGTACAGAGGCATGAGTCAGATCAAGTTCCCAGCTGTTAGCCTGCCTTCCTCTCCTTCAAGAAGTTTGTATAGGAAAAACCCTACATTCAGTATCCTTTTTCACCAGCATATGGTTGGTGCTTTCAGATGGCTCCTACCACTACCAGTTAAAAGGCATTGTGTAAGTTGCTCCCTTGTTCCTCTTAATGGATTTTGTAAGCTAAGAAAAAAGACAGAAAATGGTGGGGAAATGGTGTGTGTGTATTTACATGCGGAAGTCAACTGGATCCCCCGCAATATTGCATGAAACAAGTTGATGATAAACATCTCACTTGGAAGCATCCTAAGCCTGAAATCCTATAAACTAACTTTCCCAACCTGGCACCCTACAGCTGTGTTAAGTTACAACTCTCAGCATGCCCCTGCTGGCTGGGAAATGCTGGAAGTTATAATTCTACACAGCTAAAGTATATCAGGTTGGAGAAGGATGCTATAAACATTTACTTGAACCTAATGGGTCTCAATTCTGAGAAGCTATTTAAAGCAATGTTATTCAACCTTTCTACAGCTGGAAAGCAGCAAAAACAGGAAAACCACCTCAGGGATTGCTGAAGTGGAAGCAAAAGGCACCATATACAAAAATCAGTATTCTGTGTATTAGCTTCCAAACATAATACCAAAAAATGAAAATTCTCCAAAACAACCAGAAACTAAGTGACAAAAAATGCCAACAATATAATAAAATACTGGAATTGCTGCAGCGTGGCTCCCACCAAGCCGTCTCTCCCCTTCCTGCCCTCCCCCGCCCACAGCATTGGCACACCCCCAGAAATGCAATGCTAACCAAGGAAGAACTGGGGGAGCACAGCCAGTCCCTGTGCTAGTCCACAGCAAGTGGGATGCAGCCCACCAATGGATGGGGAGAAATCTCCTATGGTGCCTGAAAAACACTGATTTCAACGATTGCACTGTTATTCTGTCTCCCTCATTTTCTGGAGCCAACATGTCAACCATACTGGCCCTTTCTTTCTCTGTAAAAATTGTGGCAAATTGTTTCGTTAGGCATTGCTTCAGTTTCGGTTCCTTAAAAATGGCTGAATTCTAAGTGGCGTTATGAAGTTTTTAGCATTCATGGTGGTGAGACAGCATGCATTACTGTTATGAAGTGAATGTCACTTCAATAAAATTATTTAATGGAAGGGACACTGATTTGGAGTCATTCGCAATGAATGAGTTGAATGTCAGGGCAGACATGGTTTTATCTCAGCATGTCCTGATCTCTCCCAAATACTTTTTGTTCTAAAGTGTGCCCGCTTTGTATTTTTTGCAGTCTGGCTTCTAACAAAGAGTCTGATATAAAAAGGACAGGAGCACAGCAAAAGACACAGAAACAGGGGTAGCACTTTATGGCAGCCTCCATCCACGATTTGTACTAAAGCAGGAAGGGCAAGAGCTGCTTTCTCATCTCATCAGCAGTCTGCTCACAGCGGCTGCCTCCTTTATTTCAAGCCTTCTGCATGCGGCACTGGGGTGAATAATGAAAGAGGCCATGACTCACTCTGTGAAGTCCAGCCTCCTTCTACAGCCTACAGGCTGGATTTGCACTCAGAGGAGGATGCTAACTGGCATTGCACAAGTACTGTTTCATAAACACGTGAGCTGCCATGTGCTAGAACTGCACTTGCAAAGTCTGGTAGGATAAAGCAAGAGCATGTATGGAACTCCACATTCCCATCAGGCACGGTACAATCTACTTGATGTGGATCTTTGTGGAGGACCCTACAGCTCATGCCGTCCTCCAACCTCACAGCTGTATGACGCAAAAACAAGTCTTCCCTGTGCACGAAAAAGACCCAGTTAAACAGATCCCCAGGCTCATGTCCTAAAACAAGCTCAGGATCAGCCAGGTTACTGTCAAGACTTGGAATTACCCGTCTGCAACTATGCTAGCAGGGAACAATATAACTCACTGGGAAGAAGCAGAATGTAACATGCAGCTCAGAATCCCAGTTCCTGAGGTCATCCAGAGAATTTTTGAAATTTTCAAGCAGGGAACGGCACAACCCCTAGGCCAAATAGACCACATAAAATTTTAGCCAAGCTATAGTAAAACATTTCTTGCTGTTTTGGCCATCAAAAATAAATCCAAAGTTAGAATGTGAGAGAAAGCCAGCAAGAAAAAGGTGCTCTAATATTTCCTCTTTTCACTTTTAAATGCTAAGGCCTCTGTTGTGCTTTTGCAATGTGTTTGCACCATTGTTTTTACAGAGACTTACCAAGCCTGGGGGTCAGATTATGTGGCCAAACATGCATTGAGGCCAAGCATGATTGCTCATATAATGCCGGTGCCTAAGTATATGGACGCCGTCTTGTTTGCTAGGAAAGAAATATGACATCTTATTCTGTCAGGGAACCTATGAGAAAGCAAGAACTCTGACAGGTGTTTTTCCCAAATGCAAAATGATGGATTTGCAGGGTGGGGGAGAAATGAAGCAGTGCCTAATATTCTTACTGCTGCTGTTAAAAGGCACAAAATTTTAAAAAGTTTAACTAATCCATTTTTATTTAGGGATAGGGTGAATCTGTTCCAAGTTTCAGGGATAATTTCCCTCATCGTTTTATTTTTATTACTTATTTATTGCTCGATCGACCATTTTAAAAACGGCTTTTTTGTTACACTTTAAAGTAACAAAAGCCTCTTTGTCGTGGGTTTTTGTTTTGGCTGTTGCGACATATGGATACTGCGAAAACAGCGTTTGTTTTTCCTGCAAACTGTGGCAATCCGTGTTTGCTCAGGAAGAGCGGCAATTTCCCCCGGGCTGGGAGACATGTCATCGAGGGCACGCTGTTCCGCTGATAACCGGAGGCAACAATGAATTAAACTAAAATGGCACCTGGAGGCACAGGCCGGCGAGCTCACCTGCAACCCCACGTGAGCACCCCCACGGCCCGCCCCGCCCCGCCGCCATCCCCTTCACGCCCCTTCTGCAATTCCCCACCCCCGTCCCTCAACGCGAATCACATCGCCTTTCATTCTTGGCTGGCATTCCACCTGAACCAATGGCGCCTCGTAGCCCCACCCAACTGCGTCATAAGGAACCAATAGTTGACTGCTTTTCCTCTTCGCCGAGCTGGCGCAGGAGGCGCCGCTGCCTTCTTAACCACCTTAAAGCCCTCCCTCTTCTTTCCACCGGTACTGTTTTTTTCCCTGTGGTGAGAGGCAGGCTTCGGCGAGCCAATCGCTCCTCGGTGGACGGCACAGAGTGGCAGGCGCCAGAGCCAATAGGATGACATAGCCGGCGGCGGAGAGAGGGAGGGGGCAGCCGGGTGCCGGGCTGGGCATGCGAGTGTGTCCGTGGCGGCGCATCTCGATGGGAGTCGCTGTCAGGGCAGGAACTGGCGGGAGCGCCCGGGCTGGGCCTACGCAGGTGAGGCGAAAATTTGGGCAGGGGCCTGCGGCGAAGAGAGCTGGGAGGAAGTTGGGAGGAAGCTCCTAAGCCGGGCCCTAGCTAGGCGACGCCCGCTCCTCAGGGTCTGGTGGTCGTCTCTCCTTTTCCTCCCGAGGGACCAGGAGGAATGGCAGGCCGGGAGTAGATGGCTGGGAGGAGCGCGGCCTCCCCGTTGAATCCCCCTCCTGTCTTGGCGAAGCTCCCCGCTTCCGCCGTCATCCATTAACACGAGGAGCGATTTTCTGCCCTTGGTCCATTCACCTCTCCTTCCCTCGCCTGCCCGCTCTGCCTGCCGTCTCTCTCACGGTCACGTCCCGGGTGGCCGTCCTTTGCTCCCTGCAGGGGAGAGGCCGTCCTGAATATTTGTCGCCTTGGATTCTGCGGCCACCTTTCCCTCGTTCTCAACTTCCCTCTCGCTATTTTTATAAATTGAAGAATTGATATCCAGTAGCTGAAGTTCTCTGGGGGGTTGCAATGCAAATTTTTAAAATATTCAAAATCTGAAGCAATTTAAACAGCTAAAGCATTTAGAATAAGCTACTAGATCGATAGAAACGACTGACATAAATGTCTGTTTTAAACACATTTTAAAGTTAGGGTTGTACGCGGTCTTTCTCACAAGAAGGAAGAACAGGTTATGAGAGCTTTTCATCTCTCTTTCTCTGGGCCACTGCCCCTTACCTTTTAACAATTTGAATATTAATTTAATATACTACTTGTGATAAGCAAGTAGTGAAAGGCACATCTCTGTTTTGGCCTCCTATGATACAACACTGAGATCAAGTGCATCACTTCAAATTTGAAAGGGGGAAGAAATGTCAGTAACACTTGAGTGCACAGAGGGAGCATTAAAACACCCACCCCATCCTCCTAAAGGTTTATCTAGATCAGCATCCTGTTTTCAACAGGACCACCCACATGTTCTGGGAAATTCATAGACAAGGCATGAATGCTTTGACCTCCCATGTTTGTTGTACTCTTTAATTCCATTTGTTTGCAGGGTAAAGTCCAAGTAAGATTCACATTAAGATTCAGAGGCCTGTCCTGGAATATAATCAAGATCGAATTACCAAAAAGAGACATTTAAAGAGCATTTACACAGATGCTTTTCAGAACTGATCAGTGTGTTCTGCTGTATAAGGAGAAAGAGGTGTATCCCGGTTCTTCTTTCCACAATGGCCCAATAAGTCAGTGATGGTGTAGATTCTTTACTTCCTTTTCTGTTTCCCCTTTCACCCATTTCAAGGACTTGCTTATTTTCCTGGGTTGGTTTAGGTCAAAGAACTATGCCACACCTCACTGCTGTTTCCATTTCTACCTGGGGTTTTGGCTGCTTTCAGATTATCCTTACATTCTTATGGACTGGGGGTCTCCTTCAAGGTGTGTGATGGGGGGTTTCTGACCCCCCCCATTTTTTCATTTCTTTTGCTGGTTAAAGAGTTTTTATGAAATTCATCCCCCTGCCCATTCAAATCCTTTCACATGCAACTTTCTAGCCTACATTTCTGTTACACACATTTTAGTGATTTCTTTTTGCTGCTAATGCTTTTGAGGATTCAGCTGCTCTCACCCACTTCTCTCAAACTATTTTGTGAACAGCTTTGTGCTTACTGCCCTTTATGTGGGAAGTGCAGTTGTCCACCTTTCCTGTGTCCCTATCAGGGAAGGAGAATATTAGAAAGGTATATATTAGCCATTCGCAAAGATGACCTAACAAGTAAATATTTGAAGGGCTGTCTGACAGATGATGCAGATTTGTTATCTGTTGCCTCAGATGATAGAACCCAAATCAGTGAGTTTAAATGGCAAGAAACGGGATTTCAGGAAGATGGTATAGAGTATACTTGCTCAGAAGATGGTGGTTTTTCCTTTGCTAGAGGTTTTTAAGCAGAGACTGGAGGGGTCTCAGGACTGCAGATGCAGATCCCCTGTGTTGGCACACAGTTGGACTAGGTGACCTTCCAGCTCTGTGATTCTTAACAGTACACATTATGTATATTCCTTATTTCTTGATTGCCTAAGATTTCCCTTGTAATTTACATCTACAGCTATTTTTTTGGGAGATGTGCAACCTGCAGAAGGTGTTGCTCCAATGTTCTTGGTTCAATATTTAATATTTGTTATTAGCCCTCATCAAATTGTCATCTTAATGTGTTTTGTAGGTGTTACTGTATAGATGTATGCCTTTTTTTTAATTTCATGCTCTTCTCTCATGTCACAGGGGTAACATAGACCTGTTATTTAATGATATTTTAGAAGTCAGTAACCTGACCAAACAAAATAGGGAATTTGATGTCATTATATGCTATAAAAGAAAAAAACTTATTTTTTTTTAATGTCTATTCTCAATCCATGCAGAAACAGTCAAAGCTGAGCACATTTTCCTATCTTTTGCTACTTGTTTTTATAGTGTTGTCAAGCAACCTCCTTATGGCCCTCAGCAATTAATCATGTTCTAAATGTAATATTTCTGTTGGGTGGTGAACTCTTTTGGTGGCACGCCTATAGCACTGTTACAGCTATATAGATTGTTCTCACTTCCTGCTTTTGATTTATTATTTTTTCATTGGTGTCGTAACCTTCTAAGGTTTGTATGGATAAATTAATGCACTGTAAATTGTATCTTGCATCTGCGCAGAACTGTGTATACTTTCAGAATACCTATCTGCTAAAATAAATACGTGGCACTGTTCATCCCCAAGTGAGATTCACATGCTCATACATAGGTGATCTGTGGTCTCAGGTAGAAAATTGAAGTACAGAACTGTAACTGTAGAAACTGCAAAGGCTTTGGCAAACATTGTAGGTTTATATCTTGTTCTAATCAAAATATTATAATGATTCCTAATAGATGGGTTTTCCCTACAAGTCTTGATCTGTAGCATCTACTGTATTTCATTGTTGGTACTCCTCTTGCTACTTTTTTGTATCAAATTATAAATTTTCTGAGGGTTTGATTGGTACTTGACATACTGATTGGAAGAGGGGGCTTTGCTTTTGGAGTAACTTTCAGAAATGCATGTAAAATTTCTTATTGTACTTTGAAAATGTTGACTGTGGATAAATACTAATTTTAAGTGAAAAGTGAATGGAGGTGAAGTGTTAACAGAGGAGTTTAACATAATTTTCAAATTCTGACTCTCAGCATTCTTCCAGTGGTTTTCTAAACTAATGTGGTAGAGATTACGGGAACCATTATGACTTTGTATGAAAACTTGGGTGATTATTTTCAGAAATATACTTTAAAAGTTACATTGCCTAAACAGTTACAAATAAGACAGTGGTAAGAATTAACAAATACAAAATGGGTACTTAACAGCACTATTAGCAGCTTGGTCTGCCCTGTGACTAACATTCTTTGCATTTTAATTGTACAGAGGTGCATGTTGATTTCCTGTCCAGCATGTACAATAGAAATGCAGATCACCTAGTTATCAAGATTATGCAGAGTCATTTGCTTATGAGAATGTTGTGTGGGTCTGCAAAGAATGATGTATGAATTGGGTGAGGTGCCCAGGCTCAGACTAGAATTTGGAACTGTGGAGTGCAAGTTAGGCTAACAGCTTCTAGAAATCAACCAAGGTTTTATTTGAAAATGAGAAAAAAAGGTAAGCTTATTTTAAGATGGGTCATTTTAAATAAGTGAGCAGCTGGACTCTTCATTCCTCCTTCCCCAAAGTGGAACCCCAAAAAGCACTATACTAGTTTCATGTATTAGACACACACACACACACACACACACACACACACATATAAACAGTTCCTCAAGCCAAAAAGCAAATAACTTTCAAAGTAGATTTGCCAAGCAGATTGTAATATAGAAGGCAGGAAAGGTCTGCTATTAAAGTTGATTTTTTAAAAATTGCTGTACTGTTCGATTAGACAAGCACTCAGAAGTGAGTGCAGAATAGTTTTGGTTGTTTTATTTTTAATTCTATGGGGTATTCCTAAGCCATTGGATGCATTTAAAGTATTTATTTGCATAAAACCATCAGCCCCAAACAGTAAGAGGAAAAATTTGTCTGAGGATTTCAGTGGGTTCTGTGTATTTGTTAGTTGACAATATGCCTGTCACATCTATCCAGGAATTTTTAAAATGAGCAAGTGTGCTAACTCTGGCTTTCAAATCTGGCTTGTCTTTTCTTCAGTAAGCCAGAGTTCTTGATTTGTATGTCATAGTAAACAACCCAAGCACAGAGTATTCCTTGCTTGTTTAGCTACTGCCAGTGTTAAAACAGCAGTCGCGGACCTACTAAACCAATGACTGTATGGTTAAACTCTGGACAGAGCACCACAGTAACTCTGCTGAATTGTTTCAGAGAAAAGGGACTACAAGTACTCCTGGAAATGTTCTCTTAAACCTTTTGAAGCATTTTTATTTTAAATAAGTGGTGCTGAATGTGATACCTCCTGAGTTCCCATTATGCCATCTATCTCTTGTGCTGAATATCTTACAGAACTAGAACCCACACTCACTCATACGAAGTCATACAAATTCTTGTCAGATGTGTAATATGAAGCCAAACCACTATTTTTCCCTGGTGTTATAGGATACAATAAGACCTAAAACAGGTGGTTTAATTGTCAGCTGATCATCATGAGCATAGAATCAACAACTTGGCATCACCTATTGCAATATGCAGATTATACATCTTCAGTAGTTTGAATCTACAGCATTTCCTGTCTACTTGTAGACTGTTAGCTGTCATTGAATTGCCAATAGAGGCCTACCATACTCTTTCCGAAGTAGTAACATGATTTTACACACAATGTTTGATGCCAACATCTATTGTATATTCTTTAAATCTTGGGTATGTACCATGGAGCTCTGAGTAAGTCAAATGTAAGGTACTGGTCACTGAGGGGGAAAAAAAACTTAATGTAATTATGGTATCTGAACTGGCAGTGACTAAGAAAAAGAATCTTGGAGTTATGGTGAAAACACTGACCAGATATGTGACAGCTGTGAAGAAGTTAAGTTCCATGCTAGGGCTCATTAGGAAAGGTACTGAAAATTAAAAAAGGGAAAGAACCTAAAAGAACTGCCCATGCATCAATCTGTGATACAGCCACGCCATTTTCAGTTCTGGCCACCATGATTCAAATAATAGAGCTGGAAAAGTTGCAGAAAAGAGCAACCAGAATAATAACTTCCTGAAGTGGAAAGACTATATTTGGAACATTTTAGGTTGGAAAAGGGGGAAATGAAGGGTGTGGGGGTATTATAGAGGTGTATAAAACTGCCTTTTTAGGAGAAGCTTTTCTGTGTCTCATAATAGTGGACTCTCTAGGGCCACCCAATAAAACTGAATGATTGGAGACTGAGGACAGATAATATGGAGTGCTATTTAATGCAGTGAAGTTATGTCATGGAATTTGGTACCACATGATGTGGTGATGGCTGCCCTCATAGATTACTTCAGACAAAGATCAGATTAATTCTTGCCATGGTTGTTAAGAGTACGGGACTGGGACTCAGGTGATCTGGGTTCTAGTCCCCACTCAGCCATGGAGCTCACTGGGTGACTTTGGTCAGTCACAGACTCTCAGTCCAACTTACTTCACAGGGTTGATTGAGAGGAGGGGTGGAGAAGTATGGAAGCTGTTTTGAGTTCTTTGGAAGGAAAAAGATATAAATAAGGCTCTTGGCTGTTCTCCACCACCTCTTCCTTGGTTGGGATCATGTTTGTGGGGGGTGCACCAGGGGAGACAGGGAGGGAAAAAATAGCTTTTTGTTTCTGCCTCAGTTGTCCTTGAGTTGGTTTTTCTGTTTTTACTGATGCCCAGCTGTGGAAAGATTGAAAACCACTGATGTAAACCACCTTGGATTCCTTGCAAAAGGAAAAAAAAGCATGGATATAAATGCAGTGTAATAATACTGATAGATAAAATCTGTTATATGTAACTCTATTGTAGTGATGAACAAAGTTCTTTAATATATTGACCCAATAGCTGACAGCATATATGTGGATTGTACCCTGGACAGTTGCATTTCTGAACCCTGTTTTGGCAGATATGAGTGAGGGTGTTGCTTGAGTTAAAATATTTCACCCCGCCTTGTAAGTTATCTAGTTGTCCAATGCACTACATTCTTTCTTCTCCCTTGAATATGAGTGGGTGAGCAGTGGGTGGGGATAGATCATAAAGTATTGTAGTCTTATCAGAGAAACTGGAGTAATAAAAGCAAGAAAAGCTGCCTTAATGATGCAATTTCCCCCTTTTTTGCGGGGGGGTGGGCAAACTTTTTATCTATTCACTGAGACGCTTTTGGTGTACTAGACTGGGCCCTACTTTCCCCTTCTGGCAAAATGTAGTGATGTATAACTGCTTCCTCTCAGTTCTTTTCCTTGGATGTTAGAGTGGGAGGAGTCTGACCATAGCCACATCTCACTCTGCTATTGGAAATGTCTCAATGAGAAAGGCATAATCCTCACAATCTTTTTTAAGAGTAAGCAAGGACCTGGACATAGAGTCAGTGACAAAATGGAAAAGGGGAGATCATTTTCTTAAGATCTCAAGGACTGTGGGGCACCTGAATCTCTGGTGAGATTTCATGGCTATGCAACCAGCAGGGTAGTGTAAGTGTGCAAATGCTTCTCACCATGGCTTCTGTGGATCATCTTCAGGTAACCTCTGTGTAGTTGTTTTGCACTTGATTAGTAAGCCTAAGATAGTCCTCTGGATTTTCAGGTGACTTTTGTGCTCTGTAACAGGACTAAAGAACTTCAGACCTGGAATTCTAATCCCTTTCCCCCAAATCTGCCATGGTTTGGTGGTTTTCCTGCTTTTGTGCAGGTCTTATACTCTTCTGAAAGGTTGGAATGCATCTCCTAAGGCCTAGTTACTAACTCTAAGATCTCTAAACTGTACTATGTGGGGATTTTTGTGTTTTTTTGCCCCGATCCTTTTTGTCTTTTGCTTTCTTCCATGTCCAAGAGTAAAACACAGCTCTTGAGAGTTTCGTGGAAATTATATTCACCCCTGAGCTGGAAATGGATATCTATGGATATCTGTATTGTATTGTACTTTGTTGGATCATGACTTTTTCAAATGAAATGATGTATAATCTGTTTGTGTTTTATAGAGTAACTTTGACTTGGACAAAATATTTGTGTAGAAGATTCCTGAGTTTCCCGTATTTAAGAATAAGTGGCACACCACACAGGTGCGTTTTATTTGGTTTGAATATATTGTTTGAGAGGTGTCAAAGACTACCCCGAACATCCTGCAAATAGTTGCTGAACATTCCAAGCAGAAGAGTACTAAAGTTTCAGTATGTAAATATGCTAGTAGTGCTTTTCTTGCTAAGCAGAGACCAAACCAGAGTTGAAAGTTAAGGAAAGCTCATCTGTATGCTTAGTCTGTATATTTCTTACAGTCTCGTTCTTAATTACTGCAGAACACTATGTTAGCACCAGGAGTCATTAGGTTAGCAAAATTGTCAAAAAAAAGTATTAGTGGAATCCATACTGCACTGCACAGAAGTAGATCTGAAACAGATGGTACATTTTCCTTCCATCTTGCTTCATTGAATTGTCATCACTTTTGTTTTAACAATTCCCAAAATAACAGTTCTAGAGAAATTTTGAAGGCTTAAACTGGTAACCTGATTTATATTTATTTATTATACTTACATTCCTCTTTTTCCTTCCAAGGAACTTAAGACAGCTTACATAATTCTCCTCTTTCTTGTCCCCATCTTATTCTTACAACAACTACCCTGTGAGGTAGGTTGGGCCAAGAGTTTGTGACTTGCCCGAAGTTACCCAGTGAACTCTATGACTGATGGGGGACTAGAACCCAGATCTCCTGAGTCCCAGTTCCACACTCTTAACCACTGCATCACACCCAAATGGATCGGGTGACTACTGATGAAAATCTAGTTTACTAACAAGCTTTACTAACTTATTATTTTACTAATACCTTACTATTACTTAACTAATGAGTATAAGCATATCCTTTCCCATGATACAGAATGCTTATGTCCAGTGGAAAGGATTAAGACAACCCAGTAGATTTGCTCAGAATGGATTTATCCTGAGACATTCTCAATGCCCCTGCCTTCCATAAACCTCTACCAGTGTTTTGCAAAAAAAAAAAAAAAAGTGTAAATATATATTGGACTCAAATCCTCTGATTTAATAGCCTCCTTTAACTGGAGTTGGTGGTGTTACATCTTATTGTAGTTTATTTTCTGTTGAGAATAGCTACCAGAATTCTTTCTCTCTCTTCTACTGTCTCTGACAGTATTGATGGAACAACTAATAGTTTTCAATTTTTTTAAAAAAATATTTATTTATTTGAAACACTTCTATGCCGCCTCATCGCAACAAAGCCTCAGGGCAGCTCACAACATTCATAAAAACTACAATTAATAATTTAAAAACTGGTACCATCTTGGCTATATATATTAAAATCTATAAATACAATAATAATAAATAACAGTTAAAATAACTTTTAAATAAAAAGGTCTTCGCCTGGCGCTGAAAAGCAAATAATGATGGTGCCAGGCAGACCTCTCTGAGGAGCGCATTCCATAGGTGGGGCGCCACCGCAGAGAAGGCCCTCCTCCGGGTACTCACCCTACTATTATTATTATTATTATTATTATTATTATTATTATTATTATTATTATAACATTTCTATGCCGCCCCTTGCCGAAACCTCGGGGCGGCTTACAACATGATAAAATACATTGAAATACAATAGTACATAATAAATTACCATTAAATATAAAAATACAAAGAATACATTGATTTACAAATACAAAATTAAAATTATCAGTATAAAATAAAAATATAGGAGGAGAAAGAGAAGGAAGAAGAAGTTGCCCAGGCCAGATCATATGTTTTAACAATTGAAATGATGTTTAAATAAAAAGGTCTTTACCTGGCGCCGAAAAACCAGTAACGACGGTGCCAGGCGGACCTCTTTGGGGAGTGAATTCCATAGGTTGGGCGCCACCACAGAGAAAGCCCTCCTCCGGGTACTTACTCTCCTAATTTCTTTCATGGAGGGTTCCCGGAGAAGGGACTCTCCCGCAGATCTCAAAGGGCGGTCGGGCATATACGGACATAAGCGCTCGTTCAGGTAGCCAGGACCCAAGCCGTTTAGGGCTTTGTAGGTCATAATCAACAACTTGAATTGGGCCCGGGCTTCAATGGGAAGCCAGTGAAGCTGATGGAGGACTGGAGTCATGTGAGCATAACGCCCCGTCCCCGTCAGCAACCTGGCAGCTCTATTTTGCACCAATTGAAGTGTTCGGACTGTCTTCAGGGGAAGCCCCACGTAAAGCGCGTTACAGAAGTCTAGGCGGGAAGTCACCAGCGCGTGTGTCACCGTCGCCAGGCAGTCGTACTCCAGGTAGGGGCGCAGTTGATTAATCAGCCGAAGCTGAAGGAAGGCGTTCCTCGCTACCGCTGTCACCTGAGCTTCCAAAGAAAGCTCCGGGTCGAGGAGTACTCCTAAGCTGCGGACCTTATCCCTAAGAGGGAGTGTTGCACCATTCAGGACCAGATCAAATCCACCCTCTCCGAAACCCAATCCGCCAACCAACAGGACCTCCGTCTTGTCTGGGTTGAGTTTCAGTTTATTGGCCCTCATCCATTCCCTTACCTCGGCCAAGCACCGGTTCAGCACAGCCACTGCCTCACCTGGATTAGTGGAGAATGAGAGGTAAAGCTGGGTATCATCAGCATATTGATGATTCCGCAGCCCACACCTCCTGATGACCTCTCCCAGCGGTTTCATATAGATGTTAAATAGCAGAGGGGATAGAATGGAGCCCTGTGGTACCCCATGGCATAGCTGCCATGACGTAGAGACATGGTCCCCCAGCATTACCTTCTGGAATCGACCGTCGAGATAGGAGCGGAACCACTGCAAAGCAGTGCCTCCAACCCCCAATCCCGCAAGTCTATCCAGAAGGATACCATGGTCGATGGTATCGAAAGCCGCCGAGAGGTCCAGAAGAACCAACAGGGATGTACTCCCCCTGTCCTTCTCCCTGCACAGGTCGTCATACAGGGCGACCAAGGCAGATTCAGTACTGTACCCGGGTCTGAAGCCGGACTGAAAAGGATCCAGATAATCAGTTTCATCCAAGAGTGCTTGGAGTTGTCCTGCCACCACTCGCTCCAACACCTTGCCCAGAAACGGGATGTTGGCCACAGGTCTATAGTTAGTGGCCATCTCTGGATCCAGTGACGCTTTCTTCAGGACCAGTCGTATTACCGCCTCCTTTAAAGGGGCAGGCACTCGACCCTCCCTCAGAGAAGCGTTAACCACTTCCAAAATCCAGGTCCCAATCCCGTGCTTGGAGTTATTTATTAACCAAGACTAATATCATTCACAGAGGATTCCCGGAGAAGGGCATCCGCTGCCGATCGTAGGGGGTGGGAGGGCATATATGGACGCAGACGTTCCTTTAGGTAACCAGGTCCCAAGCCATTAAGGGCTTTATAGGTCATAACCAACACCTTGAATTGGACCCGGACTTCAATGGGGAGCCAGTGAAGCTGACGGAGAACTGGGGTTGTATGAGAACAACGCCCAGTCCCCGTCAGCAATCTGGCAGCTCTATTTTGCACCAATTGAAGTATCCGGATCGTCTTCAAAGGTAGCCCCACGTAGAGCGCGTTACAGAAGTCAAGACGGGAAGTCACCAGCGCGTGTGTCACTGTCACCAGGCAGTCGTACTCCAGGTAGGGGCGCAGCTGATGAAACAGCTGAAGGAAAGCGCTCCTCGCCACCGCCATCACCTGAGCTTCCAGTGACAGCTCAGGGTCGAGGAGCACTCCCAAGCTGCAGACCCTGTCCCTTAGAGGGAGTGCAACCCCATTTAGGACAAGGCCCAAGTCCCCCACCCCGAAGCCCGAGCCACCCACCAACAGGACCTCCGTCTTGTCTGGATTGAGCTTCAGTTTATTGTTGTGTTGCTGGAATAAATATCCTGCACTGTTTTAGCACAGCATGAAAAACAGAATTCTGGGCAGTTCTGCTGGAGTGGCTAATTGTGGTGCTTTACAGTTGCTCTCTAAACCGTCTTGTCTTTAATTGTTAATACAGAGGTAAAAGTCCATGATAAGGGCTGTCTTCTAGGGCTTCCTGGTGTAAAACCATGAGACTTCTTGAATATATAGACGGTTCTAAAGCTAAATTGAATAATCAGTTTTGTATGAACTTGCCCTTAGCTGGTTTTTTTATGAATGGTATTCTCACTTGAGAGCATTTCTAACTCTGAACTTAGCAAAAGACCTGTTGCCCTACTTTGGAAGTGTTCCTTGGCAGCTGAGAATAGTTTTTCAAGGATTTTTTTCTTACTCAGATTTCAAGATGAATTCCCTGATGGACACCCCTGAACTGCCGGCAGTATTTGACGGGGTGAAGCTAGCTGCTGTAGCTGCTGTTCTCTACATTATTGTCCGCTGCTTGAATCTGAAGAGTCCAACCGCCCCTCCTGAGCTCATATACCAGGATACCCCTTTGTCCCGCTTCCTGTTGAAGTCATGCCCTCTTCTAACCAAAGAGTAAGTAGTAAACCAACATAAAATACCTTCAAATATTCATATACTAAGTCTATTATGTTACACATAAGATAATATACTGTCTTTGGAAGGCAATGTATGGTGAGATAACATGGTTAACAGTACCATGGAGGGCAACCTTTTTATGTTAGAATCTAATAACATGAAGATATTGTTCAGATGTCACAACAACCCAGGACTTTTTAAACCCTGGGTTATTGTGCGAGAAGCAGGGGTGAAGTAGGGTGCTGGTTCTTGCTGCCTAATTGCTCCTGCAGTAGCTGGGCAGAGATAAACAACTCATGTCTTGTCCTTGATTTGATTAGCATGAACTTTTGGTTTTTGAGAGAGAGCATGAGCACAAACTCGGTATTTTAACCCATGCTTTGTTCTCTCCCCTTTTTGGTGCGGAGAGAGCTCCATAAACTGCGTCAGAGTTTTCTGCTAATGGGGCAGTATAGATATGCTTGCAGGGAGGGTTTTCCTGCCCGATGTCGCACCTCCTTCAGTCTCTGTGCTGCACCTGAGGAGTGGCCCACATCTTACCTGTGCTGGCCTGGTAAGGTGGCCCATATTACAATGATATAGGAAAATAATGTTTAAATGTCCAAATTGGAGCCAAACCAAAAACAACAGCAACAAAAAAGCACTATTATGGATTGCACATAGGCAGTGATTGGGTCTGAGATGCTGAGATTTCCAGATTATGTTCCACTTTATTGCTTCAGTCAGGGGCACTGAGGGAACAATCCTACACATGGTTAGACTCCTACAACTCCAAGTATCCCCCCAGGCAGCATTTTCTCCAGGGGACAGCTGAAGATAACCTGTCTGCTTGAATTGATTCCTGCTTCTAGAGTTTGGAAATTTAAAAATGAAATTGGCTTCCATGTGGTTTCTGAAGAGAATTCACCCTCTTCTGGGGAATTCTAATTAAAACAGTTAACCTTATCCAAGTTAAATCAGCTCTCTCCACATTCTGTCCAACTTATAGTTACTCAAACTTAATGTAGCCCATTGTGAATTCTTCTAGTTTCCAAGCCTCTCTGAATTGGAGGATGAGAAGTGCATATCAGATGATGACCTTTTAGTTTATTATAAACATCTGGATGAGCTGCATAGGGACATGTCTGATAGATTTCAGGATCTTTTTTGCTTAAAAAACTATACTGGATGATCGATCCATTCCTTGATATCAGCAATGAGGAAACAGGAATGGTGGAAGAAGTACTGATTTCACTCTAAAATGACATTGAGTTGAAGCCAAATTTTAAAAAATCATATCAAGATTTTTGGTTACAAGAAAAACATTCTGCCTACTTCTCTGAACTGTGGAACAAAGTCAAGATGTACTTTATCGTATTTAGTAGAGCAAGGCTTCAGTGCAGCTGCCTAGCTTCTTTTCAAATGAAGAAACAGACTGAACAAAATTACTGAATGCAGGGATCTAAGACTTCTTCCTAGTGTCTTCCAGCCTGATACTGAAAAAATATCTCTGCAGCAAGCACATTAATACTATGAAAACAGTTTATTTACAGATAAGATATACATTTTAACTGAAAAAATACTAAATTGTTTACAAAGGGTTTTTTGTGAAATAACATGTGTTTAACTTTATAGTGCCAGGCTGGTTGGTTTAGATTTGCAGTAGAGCAATAGACCTAATATAGGGTTGTTGGCCAAGAGGAAAGGGGAGGACAGGCCAAAAACGTTTGGGGACCACTGGCTTGGAAGAATGTGCAAGTCTTCAGCTGTTATCTATACTAGTAAAAAGTGGACTATCTGAGAATAGGTGTCTGAGAGCATAGTTATACAAGGATTTTGCACACTTATACAAGATTATACAAGTTTTACTACAGCGTATACAGTATATACTACAGTTATACAAGGATTTTATACTGCTTTTTCTCTTACAAATCTGAAGTTTTGTAGCTTATACTCATTTTTTCCACAGTTTGCATTGCTGACCAGAATCCATCAACAACTGAATGATCACTTTAGTAGGCCTAAGTGGATCATAAAGCCTAAAACTAGTGGTTAAATGTATTTATTTTTTCAGATTGTTTTTGTATGTTGTGTGGTGATCTTTGATATTCTGTATCTGAGGGCTCCTTAAAATCAAATGCATGATTTTTTTTGTTAAAAATTAGGAGCAAACTTGGAACACAGAGGGACTTGCTGAGAAAACATGCCCAAGCTTGAGCTGTGCCACAAACAGAAAAAAATGACTGCTTTTTAAAGTTGGTTCAAAATGTATGGAATTTTAATTGCTATGTTCCTTGTGGGATTCCAAGGTTCTTATTGGAGCTTAAGGGACTTTGCATGCCTCTTCTAGCTTTTAAAGGACTGCCAGGACAGATAGGGAAAGAATTGGTCAAACTATACTTTCTCTTCTCAAAGTCAGCATATACAGCGGTCAAGCGTCTAAAAAAAATCTTCCTGGAATATAATGATAGCACAGTTGATGAGATTGTATTTCACCTTCCACATGACCGATATTTGCATTAATATCACTTTGTGTTGCACTTGTTCAAAATCAGCAGCAGTAGTGAACACTTGCTATGTTGCTGTGATATGTAAGTTTGTTTGTTTTTGCAATGAAACTGTGTGCATGCGGTGCATGATCAACACTTAAATGTTTTTGCTATAGGTAAAACAACACAATGCTACTTTGCTTGTCTCAAATAAAATAATTCAGTTGAACTTTTTGTTTTTGTATAACTGCAAATTGCACTATGTGGCCAAAAGGGGAGACACAAATACTCCCAATATTATTATTGCTTGCTCTCAGGGTGATCTGGAAGAGAGTACATATTACACATTAGATAATTGTTACATAATTGTGGACCTTGACAGTGTGATACTGGAATAAAACTTGTCATGTTTCCATGTACATGATCTTGAGCGTTCTCCCATAGTTAACTGCCAAATAAACGTACTTTGGAAACTATAACTCTAAAGTAACAATTTACTGCAGATGTACATCATGCCCGCCGACCTCCATTTTTGAGGCCTCGTGGAGAACGGGTGAAGTTTCAGAGGACTGGAGGGTGGCATCAGTGGTCCCTATTTTCAAAAAGCGTAGTAGAAGGGACATGGGGAATTATAGACCTGTTAGCTTTACGTCCATTGTAGGAAAAACAATGGAAACGCTCATAATAGAGAGAGATCTAGTGATGCTAGATAGGGAAGGGAGGGTGACAGCCACACAACACGGCTTCTGCAAAAACAGGTCCTGCCAGACAAACCTTGTGGAATTCTATGACAAGGTTTCGAGATGGCTAGATGGAGGGGATGCTGTGGATGTGGTATGCCTGGATTTCAGCAAGGCCTTTGACAAAGTGCCCCATGATATCCTGGTGGAGAAACTGAGGAGTTTTGGGATACACCAAAGCACTGTCCGGTGGATTAGGGCATGGTTGACTGACCGAAAGCAGAAGGTAACCATTAGCGGGGAATCATTGGGATGGCGGCCAGTGACAAGTGGGGTCCCCCAGGGCTCTGTCCTGGGGCTGATCCTGTTTAATCTTTTCATTAACGACATGGAAGAAGGGGTGAATAGTCTGCTGATCAAATTCACAGACGACACTAATACTGGAGCAGTGGCCACAACTGAGGAGCAGGTACTCCAGATCCAAAAGGATCTGGACAGACTATGGAAATGGGTGGGAGACAACAGGATGGCGTTCAATGTGGATAAGTGCAAGGTCTTGCACTTGGGGCATAGGAATAGCTGTCATAAGTACAGGTTAGGTGACAAGTGGCTGGAGAGCAGCACTTGTGAAAGGGACCTCGGAGTACTAGTTGACTGCAGGCTAAATATGAGTCAGCAGTGTGATGCGATGGTCAAGAGGGCGAACGCCACCCTTGGTTGCATAGCCAGAAGTGTGGCTTCTAGATCAAGAGAGGTATTACTACCACTCTATATGACTCTGGTGCGCCCGCAACTGGAGTATTGTGCTCAGTTTTGGGCCCCTCATCACAGAAAGGATATAGTCAGGTTACAGTCAGTGCAGCATAGGGTCACAAGGTTGGTGGCCGGTTTGCAGGGGATGCCGTATGAGGCGAGACTGAGGGAACTGGGTCTCTTCAGCCTGGAGAAGAGGAGACTCAGAGGGGATATGTTGGCGACATACAGGTATGTGAGGGGATGTCACATGGAGATGGGTAAAGACCTGTTCTCCCCTGCAGAGGAAGGCAGGACATTCTCCAATGGAGCAAAGCTCAGGGAGCCAAGGTTCCATTTGGATGCCAGGAAGCACTTCCTGACAGTCAGGACCCCGAGGGTGTGGAATGGGCTTCCCCGGGAGGTGGTTGAGGCCCCATCGGTGTGGGTGTTCAAGGATAGGCTGGACATGCGCATGGTGGGCATGTCGTGAGTGGAGCCAGCTGGTGCCGGAGGTCAGACTAGATGGCCCAGGGAACCCTTCTGACTCACTCTGTTTCTATGTTTCTATATCTACAATGCCTTGGGTGTGGATGAGGCTATGGAAAAAGACTCAGATTATGTTGAAATGGAAACTAGAAAATAATGTCTATATCATGTTTCAGTTGCCTGTTATCATGATTTCTCCGTTATTTTCATAATAGTTTCATGTTTTGGATTTATTAACCATAAGGCTCCAAAGTATATTCAGAATTCTAGTGTATTGTGGCTATTGGCTGAAAACACATTATGAGAATGAAAGCACAGCTAAGCTGATCAAAAATGTATTTCCAGTGTTGGTATTAAATGCCTAATTAAATCATGCTGATGAACCTTTATAAATAATTCTCTTGGGAACACCAAACAGGATATGAAAGATGTATGAATGTGTCTGAGAACTAATTGGAAAGGGTCACAATGCTAATTAATTGATTACCTGTTAATTGATTACAGTTAAGTTTCCATGAAATTACAAATTCTCTGTGTTAAGTGGAAGCCTTTTTTATTGTATCGCTGTGTCTTCTGCTAACAGCACCCATAAATAAACAGGAATAAAATTCAGAAGGAAGCATGAATTGATCATATATAAGTTAAAACTGCCCAGGAATCAGAACTACCACTGCTTTACCTCAGAAGAAGAGAGGTTGTGACTGGTTTGGAGTATTCATGAGCCACTATAGTTCTTGTTGTTTAAAATAATTCTTACTACTTTCTGTTCTAATAAATCAGTGTTTTAACGTGTTTGACTATCATCTGACTGCAATTGACCAAGTGAACACTTGCTTTACTGATCAAATGGCAGCCCTAGTACTGGTATATGTAAGCATATGTCTCCATGGCTTCTTTCTTTCCACTCTGAAAATTTTCATGACTTTTTGTATTGTTACTAAGGATGACCATTTCTTAAAGTTATGTGCTAGACTTCTTGATATGTCTTCAGAAAAGGCTCCTCTTATCAGGCAGCTTGGGATTACTCACCAGCTGATTCCCAGCTGCTGTATTAGTGTTGCTAACAGACAAAGCCATCCACCATACCCTTCTCTTGTCTTTCTGTCTCTATCACCGCCCCCCCCCCCCCCAAAATCCACTCCAATTCACTAGGAACCATATATTGGAAATAAAGGCCATCTGGTCTGGCACCAAGCTGTACTTCTTTCCTAATAAGCATAGTACATATGCTGTTTCCTTCCTTAAAGGAAAAAAAAGCATTATAAACTCCAGTGTGGTACTTCTCAGAGGTTACTAAATTACATCTGATCAGCAGGGTGGTGGTCTGGATTTATCATCTACTTCCTTTGGCATGCATTGAGCAGTTGCTCCTTTTCTTTAAACTAAGTAGACCAGATGAATTGGCAAACAGCTTGGAACATTGCAAAATCCTACCCAAAGAGCAAAGTGTCCTTGTTTCAGATATGAAATCTGCCTTTAAAAAAGTAACTATATTACTGTGTTCTGCATTTCACATTTAGGTACATTCCACCTCTGATCTGGGGAAAGAGTGGGCATATCCAGACTGCCCTTTATGGGAAGATGGGTCGAGTAAGATCACCACATCCTTATGGACTCCGCAAGTACCTCACAATGTCAGATGGCGCAACAGCAACTTTTGACCTCTTTGAACCACTGGCTGAAAACTGCATTAGAGGTTAGATGACCAGCTATGCTCATCCATTCTTTGTCGATCTATAGCCTTGCTATATATTGCTACTTTTGATTACCATAAGATAGGCTGAGGTGTCACTTATAAATCTGGAATAAATTTAAGTATCCTTTTTTGTGCCTGGTCTATCAAAGCTTGGAGTGAGTTAGTGTTGCTATGAATCATGTACAGCATTTTGACAGCCAACAGATTACATGCAGTGCTGGTCTAGATTTCCAGTTTAAGTAATGGACATAGAAGTGCTATTCCTGTGACCCATGAAGGACATAATGCTGAGGTTTATGAGTGTAAGTGGTTAATTAAATCTGGATGCTGATGACGGTATGTGCCAAGACAGTAAATATTACATCAGAATTTAGGGAGGCATTCTAATACTGTATTTGGTGGTGTCCTCCTGAAGGCAGAGCATGTGGAGATGTTGATTCAGCTAGATCTGAAATGTTGCCCAGGAGTTTAGAAAGGTGTCACTGAAAGGTGTCACTTTACATATTCTACTCTGAAGCATTGACCTTTTGATAAATAACAGAGTTGACTTTAGCTACTGACAACTCTTCTGTTGCAGCTAACAGTGTAAAGAGCTGAACTGTTTTAAGTTGTCTCTTAAGTTTATTTTGAAAAAAGCACCACAAAAGAACATACCACTTTCCCGATAAGTGGGTCAATTTAGACTCTTTACCTGCCAAAACCAAACGATTCCTCCTCCTACCTACTTGCTTTTCCTAGTTTTCCTGAAAGACTACTTAATATTGTCTGTTCTTTGTCATAGTCTCTGTACATCACACAAATATGGCTGCTGCACCTGCGCAGGGCCTGTTGTCGGGAAGATTTTACAGCTTTAACAGTTTTTGATGGGAACTCCTTGCCCCCTCATTCCGGTATAAATGGGCGGAGTCCCCACCCTCTCGCCAATCTGCTTGGACTGTCACTCTCTGTGCCTTGGACTTTTTTGCTTAACTTGTTGCTTCTTGTCTGGGTAGCACCTCTATTCTAATTGTCTTTCTCTGTTTGCCTCACTTTGCTTCTTACTCATCCCTCTTACTCGCTTCTTCCTACAATCCTCCCTTCCCCTCACAACTTCTATTTTTAGAAAATACAAAAAAAAAAACCTTCTATTGTCTTCCTACCTTGTTGACTATCTTCTTCTATTCTTCTCAATGGTGCAGCGGGTGGCTTTTTGTAAATGCACCCAGTGCGGAGCAAAAATGTCTCCAACTGATCTGCACTCTCCCTGCCTTCTCTGCCTCAGAGAGGGCCATTGAATGGATAAATGTGGCCATTGCCAGTCCTTCATCTGGCAGGCTAAAAAGAACTGAGAGAACAGATTAAAGAAGATGCTTTGGGATCAGGCTCTTCTGGCAATGAAGGAGGTCACAGCAGCTCCCTCCTCTGCCACTCCTGCTTCTGGAAAGAGCACTCCCTCTCGTCCATCCTGGGGGGATACTGTTGGTACTGACAGCAAGCGCTCCACTTGGTCTCCCTATCCTAGGAAATGAAAGAAGAGGAGGAAAGCACACTGAAACTGAGGGGACTGCTAAAGTTAAGCGTCCCAAAAAGGACAAATCTGAGTGCTGTCATAAGAAGCACCCTTGGGTGCCTCAGCAGGAACCATCTACTCTGCCTATGACATCGGTACTGTTGGAGCCATCAGGTAGCCAGTCTGCTATGCAGGTGACACCACTGTCATCACCTGCCTGCATAGTACTTTCCCCTCATTCCAGTCCAGAACACCCAGAACCAATGGCTTCGGCTTCGATTTCTGATGGGGAGATTGGAAAATCACCTGCACCATCGGGTCAGGACCATGAGACCGCCATCCAGCACCCACCGGTGTTTCTTCCACCACAAGCACCTGATTGACAGCCATCTAGATACTGGGTGCCATTACCATACAGGGATTTTGATCCTGACCAGCTGGACCCAACCTACCCATGGGAGTACTACCCGGCATACAATTATTACCAACGCGTCACCGACAATCTTCATCTCCTTCAGCATCAAGGAACGTGCCATCCACATCAGCCGCAGCCATGACTCACGCTGATCGGTCTCCTGCCGGCTCTTCCTCCTCAAGCCCTCCCTACCATTCCGATTCAGGCTCAAAGGAATCCCAAGATTGGGTCCCTCGCTGCATTCCTCCCAGACCTGCAGAGAGAACTGGCCCAAATCTTCATCAGCGAGGCAATGCAGCTTTCTAAGCAACAACTGGCGACAGCAAGGCACCATGTTGATTATGATTCAAGGGCGCTTGTCGGTGCGGTGGCTCTCAGGCAGTACACCTGGGTGAGAGCTGGCAACCTTCCACAGGAAATGAAGCAGCATGTGGAGAATATGCCTTTTGATGGCACAGGTCTTTTTCACTCAAAGACTGATGACAAGCTGGATTCCATACACAAAGCTTGCCTCACTGCTCGAAGAATGGGATGGGCTTCTACACAGACAAAACATAAGTGGCCCTGGAACAGACTCAGTTCCAGCCCTTCCAACTCTATCAGCAGGGCTACCCCTCAGGACGCCAGCCTTTCAACCAACAGCAGCCTCATCCCCAACACAGCAAAGCACCCCGCTGCCAGCAGCCCCATAGACACACTGACTGTCGTGTGCGCTGACTCAGAGGAGTCTTTGGTGCACGTAGGGGAGAAGGAGACTTCCCGTGGGAACCAGGTTTCAGTGCAAGAAGATGTGTTTCTGGTGCCCGTTGTACAAATGCCCCCCCCCCCCACTCCCTGACGAAGCGGTTCAAAGAGAAGGTGCAGCTGGGAGTAGGATTCAGGGAGGAGGTGATAGTGAACTGCAGTCGGAAGGCCGTCGGGCGGTTGCCGAGGAAACAGTTGGGGAGCCTGAAGATAACGGCCATGAGAACGCTGGATGGAAGATGTGCTCTCACAGACACACGCACAGACTAGAGCAATTGGAGACTAGTTAGAAAGATGGAGGGAGAGAAGTTTCTCAAACCCGACCATCAAGGGGCAGCCCAGGTGAGTCAAAAGCATTTCATAATCTGATCCCTCTCCTTAAGAGAGGACAACTTCGCCATTAACATCATCATTATTATCATCTTCGTCGTTCCTTGTTAATGTATTTGCAACATTTCATAGAAAAAAGGATTTCAGCTCCAACTGTCTGATTTGTTGACTTTGTTAGGAAGGAGTACCTCAGCCTCACAACATTGACAATGACAAGCGCCAACGTTGACAGGCTGTGCGAACCTTTCCTTGTTCCTTAAACCCACCTCTCCCTTTTGGGGATAGACTCCAACATTGTCTCCCCATCTGGGAGTCCATCACATCTGATGAGTGGGATCTCTCCATTGTAGAGCACAGATATAAAATTGAGTTTGAAACTGTGCCTCCTCTCAGTGTGATCCGCTATACAGCAGCCTCACTAGCCCTCCTGGAAGATGTCACCGAGCTGCTTTGTAAGGGAGCGTTTCAAAAAGTTGGTCATTCAGAAGGATTGCACAATTTCTACTCCAGGTACTTCATGGTACCGAAGAGAGATGGGGCATTCGCCCCATTCTGGATTTACGTGAATGTAATAAGTTATCAAAACCAAGAAATTCAGAATGACCACGCTCCAGAGTATCCTTCAGTTGCTCAGGAAAGAAGATTGGTTCGCATCCTTGGACTTGAAAGGACTTTCATATAAGCATCCACCCTGCTCACAGGCGCCTCCTGCGGTTCACAGTTGGTACCATGGTCTTTGAATACAACATCCTTCCCTTTGACCTCACTACCGCTCTGAGGGTGTTCACAAAATGCATGGCTCCAGTTTGTTCCTACCTCAGGCTTCAAGGAGTACAAGTCTACCCCTGCTTGGACGATTGGCTCCTTGTTTCCTCCTCTAAAGTGGACCTCTTAGCCTCTATCGAAACTACCTGTTCCCTGCTTAATCAATTGGGACTATGCATCAATAATGAGAAGTCATGCCTTGTTCCTTCCCAGGTCATCAATTACATCAGATCACACCTGGACTCACTTTGAACACAAGCTTTCCTCTCACCAGATTGACTCCAAAGACTGATATGTTCTGTGAGCTGCCTCACCACAAGACACACTGCCCCAGCTCATTCCATTCAACAGGTGCTTGGTCACATGGCATCTGCAGTATTGGTGGTACCAAATGCAAGGCTGTGGATGAGACCGGTCCAACTGTGGTTCAGCCGCAGCTTCCATCCAGAGTGCGATCTACTGTACCAGCCGCTACTACCTCCGCCTTCAGTCTTTCAAACTCTTTCCTGGTGGACAGTCAACACCAACTTGTCTTGCAGGGTACCGTTCCAACCACCGGCTCCAACCGTGATGCTGTATACCAACGCTTCTCTGACTGCGTGGGGTACACACTGCTCTTCACTCCGAACCCAGGGCACCTGGCACGGCCACAAAACGACCAGGCGTAGCAACTACCTGGAGTTGCTCACTGTATGCAAGGCACTACGTTCTTTTCAAACCATCCTACAAGGTCACACTGTACAAATTGTGCATTCACACAACCCGCCCACTGGCCCCACTTTGGTGTCGGTGACTGGGTACATAGAAGTTTTTTACTGTACGTGTCTCCTTAAATCTTGTACTTCGGCTTTCTCTTGCCAGTTCCAGCAGGAGGCAAACAGGTGGTCTTCAGCTGACTGGTGAGAGGGCAGGGACTCTGCCCATTTATACTGTGGGGAGGGGGCATGGAGTTCCCACCAAAACCATTAAAGCTCTTAAATCTTCCCAGCAACAGGCACTGCACAGGCCCAGCACCTATATACAGTATATCACAGAAGTGAGTCCATTCCTCAAATTTTGTAAATATTTTATTTTTTCATGTGACAACCCTGAAGAAATGACACTTTGCTACAATGTAAAGTAGTGAGTATACAGCTTGTATAACAGTGTAAATTTGCTGTCCCCTCAGAATAACTCAACACACAGCCATTAATGTCTAAACTGCTAGCAACAAAAGTTTTATTATATAAAAGATACAATAAAATATTTACAAAATGTGAGGGGTGTACTCACTTCTGTGATATACTGTATGTGTGAATGCACAGATGACCACTCAAAGAACGACAGTTACATGTAAGTAACCTGTCTTTTTAATGAGATATGTTACATTACTGTATCAAGAGATTCAAAGGTAAATTACATCAGGAATAGTTTATTTTATATAATTTATTGCCAGTTGTTTCAAATCTTTCCAAGAAAAGCAATGTAGGAATATATATTTTGTCACTTATAACAATTTACAAAAACCAAACTGAAAGAACTTTAAAATTAGCTCTACAATTTTGCATATATTAAATTATGCATAATAAAGTGAGGGGGGAAAGTGGGGTTGTCAGAATCTTCTAGGATTATAGCAACTGGTGTTGGATGGGGAAACTAGCTTTGTCAGTGATCAGATAACTGAGGGAATGGCTTGGATGGTGCCTATGGTAGCTTGATAAAATAAAATCAATCAATCGTCTTCTGTTGGTTGAAAAACTTGGGTCAATTAACTTTGAAGTTGCATAGGGCATATTCTTCTTTTCCTTTATGATATAAGTATAGTGTAATATATGAGCGCACATTGAACAAAGTGTGTGTGTGACTAAAAGAAATTGCTTTGTTCTGAAACATTGTGTTTACTTTCTTTGGTGAATAAAATAGGATGGAATAAAATTGTGATGTATTGAACTGAGCTTCCATTCTTTCTTAAACTCTCTTTTCCCAACTATTTTTATCATACAGAAGATGTCACAATGGTAATTTGCCCTGGTATAGCCAATCACAGTGAGAAGCAGTATATTCGCACTTTTGTTGACTATGCCCAGAAGAATGGTTATCGATGTGCTGTGTTAAACCACCTGGGAGCCCTGCCAAACATCGAACTGACTTCGCCACGCATGTTCACTTATGGTAAATATTTGTTAGTTCTTCCAAAATGCATTTGCAGCATTTCAGCATTAACTTGCAGTTGGACCAAGCATCCTAATGTCAGGCATGTGCTAGATTTGGCTTAAGCATAAGCTTGTTTATCCCTCTAGGACCTTGTGAGTACCCTTTGTGGTTACACATTAGCCTTTCTCACTACTTTCTAAACAAGATGACTTGTTTGGTTTTCTTTTTTGAAACCAAGCAGTATTTCAGAAAGGCACTTCACAACTGATGCATATGTCATTACTTGAACTAAGCTGGCATTCATATATTGCCTCCAAGTAATGATTTTTCAAAGCCCTCTATTTACAGTATAAAAACATAGGGAAGTATGATGTGCTGTCAAACCCACCTAGAAAAGAAAAGTGATAGCAAAAGAGTAACCTGGTGAGTTTAGACAGCTCTTATCTCATCAATGTTCATCCATATATAATGGAGCAGAATGGGGTCAACAGAAGAAAAGAGTGTTTGAGTGAGCTATTTTTTTCCTAAGATGGCATCTTCACTGGACATACAGATGTTTGTAAACTGGTAATCCTATAGAATTTCTGTCCTGAGCTGCTACCTAAAATGAGTGATACAGAGTTTTTAAGAGAGCAAGTAAGCATAACGCTCATACCAAAGTGGGATACAAGCTCTTTTGTTGCTGTAGGCCAGTTGACTCCTGCCACTAATTTTACCTTGCTATTTGTGATGAGACTCATGGTTCTTCGTGGTCTCTGTGCATCACACATCTGGGCACTGTGCCTGCGCACTTCATTCAAGAAGATTTTCCTAGCTAAACCTAGAATTTTTGGCGGGGGCCTCAAACCCTTCCCTCTTAGGATAAATAGGCAGGGCTCCTGCCATTTGTCACTTCACTTTTGACTGCTGTTTTGCTGCACTCCAGGTTTCCTAGCTTCAGTACTTTCCTCAAAGCCTTACATAGTCTTTTCATTCTTGTCTCCTCTTTCACTATTTGCCTATTCTAACCCTACCTTTTTCTTCTTACCTCAACAAGTCCTCCCCCAAAAAATAAAAATTAAAAACTCCCTCATAAGAATCATAGAATAGCAGAGTTGGAAGGGGCCATGAAGGCGATCTGGTCCAACCCCCTGCTATTGCAGGACACCAAGTTATGCCATCCCACTCAGATGGCTGTCCAGTTTCTTTTTGCATGTCTCTAGTGTGAGATAGCCCACCACCTCCCTGGGCAGCTGGCTCCATTGTCCTATTGCTCTGACACTGAGGAACATCCAGCCTGAATCTGGTTTGTAACAACTTGAATTGATTATTCCTAGTATCAGCAAGAAGAGATCTTGACTGTCCTCTTTGTGACTGCCTTTGAGGGACTTATAAAGGGACATCATGTCCCCTCTTAGCCTTCTCAAGGCTGATCATGCCCAGTTCTCATAGTCTCTCCTCATAGAGCAGTATTTCCAAATCATGGGTCATTTTTATTGTCCTCCACTGGATCCTTTTCTATGCACTTGGGATAACAAATTGTGGTGTGGCAAGCAGTGGTGGCGTTCCCTTTATTAACTTCTTTTCTGTTACTGAGATGGGAGTGATACTGTGAAGACTATTTTTAGTTGTTGCTGTTGGCTAAGTCCTAGATGGCTGGTGAACAGAGAGAGGCATTTTGAAAGACTCTCTTTGATCTAGTATTTAAAAGCTGCCAACAGCTGGAGGTTCTGTTAATAAGGCAGTAAAAAGTTCTTCTGAACAGTGTATGAATATTTCACCATTCTCTTTGCTTCTGCACATGTGTTTTGTGATCTAGTGGTATATTGTGACTGTGCTAAAATACCCATCCTTCTCCAATTGGGAATTATGTTGTTAGAAATGCTGCCTTTTTAAAATATGTGTGAGACACCTTGGGGAAAGAGTGGGGCTTTGGATGAATCTGTCATGTAAAGCTTGCTTCATTTCTTTATTGCTTCACAGGGTGCACATGGGAGTTTGGAGCCATGGTGAACTACATCAAGAAGGCATATCCCCAGACTAAGCTGGTTGTTGTGGGCTTCAGTCTAGGTGGAAATATAGTGTGCAAATACCTTGGGGAGAACCATTCTAACCAGGACAGTGTGTTGTGCTGCGTTAGTGTATGTCAGGGGTACAGTGCACTGAGGTAAGTTTGATCGTGCTTTGGGTTTGTAGAGCTGGAAGTCAATGCTATTGCTGATGGCTTTTACTTAGGTATGGGGGACAGGCCACTTTCTCCAGCTTTGTACTCAGCCTGTTGATACTTTTGCAGGACCACAGCACTTCATTTATTCTCTTGGGAGAACAACCTTTCCTGAAAGGTGGGAGAGAAAATGTTGGTAGTAATTGCAGTGGTCAAGTGAAGATGGCAAATACATCCCAGGCCTTGCTGGGATGCACATCCAAGTCTTTAACGAAGCCAAATTGCTATGTAATGTCAGTTGCAAGCTAGGCGTGAACTAGATGTTACATGCAAACTAGTATAACAGATCCCTGGTTAGGTAGATTATGTGTGTGTATAGAAGTTGTACTTTGGAGAAATAGGAGGTGATGCTGTAATGCTGTGTTAGGCTTAATAAGGTACAGAATAGAAAATAAAACTGCCAAAATCTTACTACTTTTATACAAATTCTTGGTACGAGTGCACTTGGAATATTGTGTTCAGTTCTGATCACCTTCTCTGAAAAAGGACATTGGTGAGTTGAAAAAAGTACAGAGAAGGGCAACCAAGAATGATCAGAAGACGGGAGCAACTCCCCTCCCCTTCTTAAAGTAGATACAACAACTAGGATTGTTTAGCTTAGGAAAAATTGAGCTAGGAGAGACATGATAGATTTTTTTTTTAAATAATGTATGGTGTGGTGCAGAGAAAATGGAGAGGGAAGGTATTTCCCCCCTCTTTTATAACACTCAGACCCAGGGTTATCCCATGCAGCTGATTGGTGGAAGGGTTAGGACAGACAAAAGAACATTTTTTCACACAGCATATAGTTAAACTATGAAATGATACAATATGAAGTAGTGATGGCCACCAATTTAAAAGGTGATTGGACAGATCCATGGAAGAGAAGGGTATCACTGGCTACTAGCTATGTACTATTTCCTTTAGCAGTGAGGCATGCCTGCTTACACCTGTGGTTGAGTAGCTGGGACAGGTGGCGGTCTTGCACCCATTCTGCTGAAATGATCCTTTGGACAGCTGGTTTGCCACTGTGTGTATGGGGTGTTGGACTAGATGGAGCATCGGTCTGGTCCAGCATGGCTTCTTGTGTTCTTGGTTCTTATACTTATATTCTGGGAAATAGAAAGCTATTTTAAAAAAAACTCTTTAAGCTGCCTGTTTATGCTATGGCATTTAGAGGCATAGTATTATTTTACAAGACAAGATTTTACTGGGATATTAAATGGTATTTCAGGAGACCTTAAGTGAAACTGTTCTTACCAGTCTTCAAACAAGGGAAAGCTGTTGAGGAGTGGGAATTTCTTGCTGTTTTTGCGGATTTGATTAAGTAGTTGGCAAATGTAATCCAGTCCTAGTGGACTATAGTTCAGAGGCTATCTAGTTTGGTTTAAAGCCAGAATCCAAGGGAAGACTACTGTTATGAATATTAGCCAAGTACTAGGTGTGCTCACCTAATTTGTAAAGATCTATATAAGGAAAGTCTTAACATCAAATAATAAAATTAAGACTGCAATTATTAACATGCTTATTTGGAAATAAGTGTCATAGAAATCTGTTAACTCTACAGTGCTGTGACTGCAGTTGTATCTTAACTAAAGCAATTTGAATGCTGGCCAGAATTGAGGGGGTTTATAACTGAAAATAAATAGTCCATAATTATTTCTGGTTTGGCAAAATGTTGAGCAGTACTGTTAAGCTAAGGAAATAGCGACCTCCATATTATCGGAACACATCTTGATCTAGCTCTGCTTTCTGACTAGACAACAAAGGCTCCCTTTATGCTTAACGTTTTGCAGCTGTGGAAATCTTCTGGCAGGATTAAATCTTTAAAAGCAAGAGACTTAGAAATTAGAACACCACAAGCTTAACATACCACGTTGTCTTTCCCCTCCAACCACCACTTTCCTAAAAATTCTGTGTCAAATACTGTTGGAAGCTAAGAAAAAGAGAATGTTATACTTAACTAGAAGATGGGTCTAACGTGTACTTTTTTTTGCAAATTACTTCTCAAGACTGTGCTACCTTTGGTATTTGTGTGCAGTCAGGATGGGAAGGTTAAGACATAAAAAGAGGTGGATGTTGGAAAGTTCCTGAAAAATCTTAAACCTCGCATCTGCATACTGTACCTGTGGTTTTCTTTGCCTGTTAATTGTTCCAAGTAATTTTCAGATACAGGTTCCAGTTCATCTCTGTGTGTTTTCACCCATTTTCATAAAGTCTCCTAACTCAAATGAATTTAGGATTTACCTATTGAGGCAATGTTGAGCTTGAATACTTCCTAGAATATTGTTTTGCAAGCTGTTTGTTGTCTTGTATTCCAAATCTGGAAGCTTTTGTTCCCCCTGCTGGCTCAGTCTTTTTATAGCAGGTCCATATTAGGCATTTGCTGATGTGTATTTGAAAAAGTGAATTTCAAAGAGATTCTCTTGAGTTCACTCTTCTGAAAGTTGTGATAGCTTCTGGTGGTCCTTTGAAGGAATTAAACCAATTATGTAGAGACACTGCCATCTACATAACACTACCTCTTTTTGCCATGATCCAGAGGCTTTCTTTGCCTGCTTTAATTTATTTTCCCCTCCCATTATCTTTATCTTTAGGGCACAGGAAACATTTATGCAGTGGGATCAGTGTCGGAGATTTTACAACTTCCTCATGGCAGACAACATGAAAAAAATCATCTTGTCTCACAGGTACAGAAGTATGCCTGTTACATTATAAATAAAGTTCCACATCAGTTGGTCATACAACTTAAAACAACTGTTTTAAGTACAGTGTTCAGATTACAAGCTTTATTGACCCAGTCTGGCTTCTATAGATTGAATAAGCTTCCAACAAAATCTACTGAGCTCCTTTTCAATGGGTAGCTACTAAAAACTGTATCTAATGGTAACCATGCATGTTTTTAAAGAAGGTCCGTGGTATTTTGGCTGGGGGTCAAAACCTTGTAACTAGCTGCTGTATTGGTACTCGTCAGAGCCAAAATGGAAAAAAATCTTTATGGAATTAAGAGGCTCCAATTATACATGGGGTATAAAGCCTTCTTAATTCATGCCAGATAACTAATTATTCTGAAAATGTAAGCTGAAAGTATTTTAATCTCCCTGTTAAAAGAGTTCTCACTTGTAAGAATGAGCAGCCTTTATCAGATTTGAAGGACAACTTAATTAATCTGAAAGATTTTTTCTGTAATAAGGGATCTTTTGAGTTGTAAGACTGCTCTCTCCCCCCTGTCCCCAAAACCAAATTCTCCCCCATGCATTTGCTCTATAATTCTTGTTTTGGGCTCCGTATATCCTCTGCTGTCAGACTCATGGTTTACTCATGCAAGCCACTCCAAGGTCTAATGTATATCATGGCAAATATTCCCAGTAAATGGCATACGTTGAAATAACCATTCTGGGTGGTTTACTAGAGTAAGCTAACGTTCTTTGTGGTCTCTGTGCATCACACATCTGGGCATTGCCACGCAGTGCAAGGCCTCGATCGGAGAGAAAATTCCAGAGCTGAATGTCATAAAGTGGGGTGGGAGTCCCTCCACCCCTTCCAGGCCTTGGCTAAGAAGGGGAGCTCCCACCCACTTCCTCAGTTTCTTTCCAACTACACACCTTGCTGATAGGTAAGTGACCAAGTTCACACCTTTCATCCTTTGTTTCCTTCTGTGTCCCTCCCTTCTTTTCTCCTATTAAAAAAAACCCTCCACACTCCCATATTGTTTCCTCCCTCTCCTGCTACACGCTTGCTTGCTCCTTGCAGCTGCCCCCGTGGCCTGAGGTACACCTGTCCTCCATTCTTCTCTGTCTTTCTTGCTTTCCTCTCCTCGAGCCAAAAATGGCCAGGGACCCAGTGTTCCGTAGCTGTGCCTTGTGCATTGCATGTCTCCTGCCGCCAACGGCCACTGCCTATGCCTCCTCTGCCTTGGCAAGGGGCATGTAGTAGAGACTTGCCCACACTGCCAGGTGTTCAAAAAACAGATGTCAGTGGGCCCTCCATATAGCTGATGCAAAACTAGAGGCCTGAGGGCTCCTACGTGGTCAAGACCATGCGAGCTGGGAAGCAGAACCGCCGCCACTAGCACTGTTTCCAAGAAGAGGAGGAAGCGCCATGTGGCCACTCCCCCTTTGCCTGTGACTGAACCATTGCATGTTCGGCCGCCCACCCTGGACATCGAAGCACTGCTGGCTCCCTCACTGCAAGACAACTGAGGAAGTGGGCAGGAGCTCCCCCTTCTTACCCGAAGCCCAGAAAGTGAGGGGTGGTCCCATCCACTCGATGACATTTAGCTTTGGAAGTTTCTCTCCGATCCGGGCCTTGCACTGCGCAGCAATGCCCACATGTGTGGATGAGCAGATGAACGCTTGAAGAACGGCAATTACAGAAAAGCAACCTGCCTTTACCAAAGAAAACAAGTAGGTAGACTCATATTCTTGGTGTGATTGCTGAAGCTAACCATATTTGTGCTGGATTGCTGCAGAGTGTTGCTTCTAACTGGAGAAAATGCTTTGCATAATGTCTGCAGACAGTGTAAGATGTGAGATGTTTGTTCTTAACAGGCTTTCATGAAGTTCTCAAGGCAGCAAAAATGTGTGCCCTTTTAATGCCCATGTAAATGCGTTTTCCCCATACCCAATTTATACTCGCAACAATCCTGTAAACAAAGTTTACAGTAATACAAAAACTAATATAAATACAGATACAAATAATACAGATACAGAAATTCAAAGAAATAGGTGGCTCAAGGCAAGCCAATGAGTTTAGAATTGAGTGGGAGTTTGGACTTGGGTGCCTGTTTCAAGGCCAGCATCCTGATCACTGCTTCACACTGGTTCTTCAGCACTTCTGACTTTGACTCAGTCATACTCTTATGTTTTTATCTGTATAGATGTTAATACTTCTGGCAGTCTCAAGCTTTGTATTAATTTCACATAGGGATGATTCAAAACTGTTTGTGAAATTGATACAAAATGCGCATTTCAGAGGTATATTGGCATGGATTTTAAAAGCAATTTCTGAAGCAAACTTTGGATCAAAAGTAAATTCAGCAGGTATTTTTGATATTTACATAAAATTCTTGCATTGACTGTTGTTCCTGTTTATTTCAGACAAGCTTTGTTTTCTGAGAACCCCAAAAGGCCCCACAGTTTAGCAGAAACAGACCTGGGTAGACTTCACATGGCAACATCCCTCATGCAGATTGATGACAATATCATGAGGTATGCCAGGATGTAATTGTGGTATCTTTCTCACGTACATAAGATTTGTCATTTATTCCTTCCTGAAATGCAGGCTGCTGTTTGTTTGTTTAAAACTTTTATATGCTGTCCCCTCATGCCTCAGGATATTGGGACGGCTTACAACATAGAATTAAAACAATAAAACAGTAACAGTAAAATTATATAAAAGCAAAAAAGCGACTGTTAATGATAAAATTGATTTTTAAAATAGCCATTGAATAAAAAGGTTTTAATCTGGTGCCGAAAAGAATATAGACTTGGCGCCAGGCGCAACCCTCCAGGGAGCGCATTCCATAACCTGGGTGCCATCGCAGAAAAGGCCCTGCTCCGGGTAGTTGTTCTTTTTGTCTCCTTTAAAGAGGGCTCCTGGAGCAGAGCCTCTCCCGCAGATCTTACAGGGCGTGAGGGCATGAAGGAAAGAAGCGCTCCTTCATTTATCCTGGTCCCAAGTTGTTCACCATTGTACATATAACTCCTTTACTGCTATTCTTATTACCTGTGTACAGACTTTGCTTTCCCCATATCAGTCTAGCATGCAAATGTATAGCAACACTGTTGGTGGGTGAAGTGGGGCTCTTGTGTTGACTGTTTAGACTACATAGTTGAGAGTATGCAGTGTTTGTGCAAAATCATTCTTAAGCCTTTGCTAGAAAACATTTCTCTGTGTTAATACAAAGCTCATTTAGGTAATTCACATTATTGTATTATCTGGTGGTGCTGCTTAAAACCTGAGGGACTGCTTGATGTAGGCTTATTGTATTGATGCCAAGTGCATCACTCAGTTAGGAACGCCTCCCCCCCACACACACACACCTCCCGAATGCTAGGCGTTTTAAGCATCCATGCTTAAATAGTTAGAGATGGGAAAGAAAGTATGTCTGAAGGAAATGTGCACTAATAAACTGTAATTACAGTCTACTGACATATTACAACAGATGCGGAGTTCTTTTTTTCTGTTGCTATTCTCTTGGATAGGCTCTCTGCCAATGGCTGCATGCCCATGGTGGACAGGTTCAGAGCCCAAAGTGAATGTGGACAGTCCTCTTTCAGACAGCCCCGTCACTTTACCCTTTTTCTCACCAACCAGCAGCTGATCTGATCACATGTATTGGAGTTTTGGAATTAGGTGAGAGTCACATGGAATTAGTTTGAGGGATACAGGTGATCTGCCTCGTTGTTTTAGCAAAAGAAAATGCTTTTTATCAATGTTTATAATTTTCTATGCATTGTGTTACATAGCTGAATTTCTCTCTGGCATACCAAGGGTAGGTTTTCCAATACAGAAATGCAATATTGTTCAGTAGCCTTCAGTAGAGCTTAGATGGAGCCTTCTCTGATTAGAAATAGTTTCCCTTATTTGCATTATGGCAAAAAATCAGTTTGTCAGAAGGGGATTCCACTTACTCTTGCTGCCAAGTACTCTTTCTCTAAAAATTGTTTCAAAAATAAGCAACATAGGAGTCTTCTTGCACATCATTTTTTGAGCATTTGATCAGTGGCCGGTTTGTGGTTAGTATTTGGAATAGATGGAAATAACTGAGCCCTCATAAAAACACAATCATCATTGTTATGTTAGCATTTACTAATCAGGTAGGTTTCGATACAGACTCTTAGAAGAAGCAGGAGTATGACCTAAGAGAAGTTAGTTCTGCACTTGCAGAGAACTATAACGTTACGGTTTGAAGTTCTTCATAAAGTTTTTGACCCTTTTCCATTTTGAAACAGTCTGTTCAGTGGCTTAGGACAAATTCCATCCAAAGAAGAACTAGTAATGTAATTGGGCCTGATGCTTTTAATTTTAGTCACTGCTGGTCAATCAGAAAGGATAAATTTGTTGGAAGTACCTAGGTGTATATAATATATACATACCCTTACTGAGCATCCATCTTACACCTTCCTTGTCTAGTCTCTTATTTCTTAACTAACAGTTTACTTAAACTCTCCCATAATCCTATTCTTTGATGCTCACCAGAAAAATCCAGGAATGATTGTACTTGGCTGTTAAGAACAAGAGGAATTTGTAAATAGCTCTGTATTCTTTAGATGTTCCATCAAACAATTCCTTTTAAAGACTTCAAGCATTTAAATGCATAGAAGTGATAATACCAAATACTTTATTTGTGGAAATGTTTGATTCTGGGTGTAGGCATTAGAAGAAACTGTAATGTAATTAGAAGAAACATGTAATTCAGTAGCAACCCCCCTCCCATACTTACATTGTTTTTCTCTGTGTCTCAGGAAATTCCATGGCTACAGTTCTTTAAAAGAATACTATGAACAGGAAAGCTGTTTGCACTACTTGCACAGAGTAAGTTAACACAGTAAATATTGTTACCTTGGTTCCTTTAACTGGAGTGAAAAAACATGTATTGGCACCTTAACATGCATTACTCATCTGTGTATACATGAGGAGGGTGGAGAGCAACCCAGTGCATTGAGGAATAAACAGAGTATAGGGACAGCATGCCAGGTTTGTAGCATATATGCATGAATGAAGAGTCCAGTCAGAAGGTTTTATGTAGGGCATTATGTAGAGTTATACATGGCCTTGCAGTGAATACTATAAAACAGTGGTCCCCAGCCTCTAGGACATGGGGACCTCATTAGAGTGCCCAATGCCTAAAGAGGGCCCCATCTTAAATAATCTTCCTTACACACATATATAGCCTTCAACATGGTACTGTATGGGGAGTGAAAAGGCTGAGTGGGATGAGTACCTGAGCATTGCTGGCTAGAAAGTACCCAGAATCGCCAAGTTGCTAGTAGGGAAGATAGAGCAAGAGGGGGCTGACAAAAGGAACAGTGGAGACCAAAAGAAGTATGTTGATATTGTGGTTTGTGTAAAAAAGGGACTGGAAAAACAGCAGTAGGTGGTGCAAGCTTGAGGCAGAATGGACAGTGTGGATCTGAGGGAAAAGGCCTTGAGGGTTATAGCCATAAATAAACAAGCAGGTTGGAGGGCTGCACCGAAGGAACTTGAGGGCTGTGGATTGCGGACCTCTGCTATAAAATTATGGTACAGTCAGTTGGTAAAAAGATGTAGATCTGATACCCCAAATATTTTGGAGCCAAAATAGTTTTTGGCTCTGGCCTCTTGGCAGAGTGGCAGAGCAGCAGAGGCACAGGTTGGGAGAGAGTGCTGAGTGGCCAGGGGACTGGCGAAGGCAAGGTAGGAGCTGGGCAGTGGAGCAGAGGGCCAGGAGCAGCGGAGAGGAAGGGGCAGGGCCAGAGAGGCTAGAGGTGCCAGGAGGAAGCGGACAGGCGGGGCCACAGGCCAGAGGGGCTGATAAGGCATCCTCCCTTGTCTGCGTCCCTTAGCTGCGGCCCGGGCTGTCCAGAGACTCCCTTCCCTGAGACAGAGGTTTGATTGTTTGTTTGTTTTTGTTTGTGCTGTGCTGTGCTTTGTTTTTCTTCCAATTTAAATTTAAGTTTATTTTATCCTTGTGTGTGTGTGCGAGTGGGTTTTTGCCTGGGAGAACTGGGCGAGTGAGAGGAACTGCAGGACAAACAAGGCAGGGGACCAAGGTAAGGTCTCGGAAGGGATACTGATGGCAGACCAGGAGATGGCCTTGGCGGGAGTCACGGGTGTTGCTGTCCGCTGCGAGAGCTGCGACATGTTCACCCTTCTCCCCCAGGAGAGGCAGGGATACACTTGCCCTCAGTGCAAGATGGTGACCCTGCTAGAAGAGGAGGTGAGGTGCCTGAGGGCCGAGAGAGCTCTCCAGGCCCCACTGGAACAGCCCCCCTCTGGACAGAGGGTTGAGGGAGAGACCACAGGAGGAGCAGCTGCGGAGACATGGAGGTATGTCACCCACAGGAGGAGGAGGCCAGCACGGCCTCCTCCTCCTCCTGGCACCGATCTGGAGCTGGGAAACAGGTTCTCTCCACTTGGGGAGGCTGGGGCTGATGAGGCCTTGGGGGACCAGCAGGACCCCCAGCCTGGGACGTCAGGCGGCAAGGGGGCTGCTGCAGGAGAGGCGAGGGCCAGGGCATGGCCGCCCACCAGCACTGGGAAGGTACGGCGGTGGGTGATTGTTGTTGGGGGCTCCCTGCTGAGGGGCACTGAGGTGGCAGTGTGCCTCCCCAACCTGGAGACAAGGGAGGTTTGCTGCCTGCCGGGCGCACGCATCTGGCATGTGAAGGACAGAGTGGAGCGTTTTGTTCGCTCCGGGGGTCACCAGCCGCTCCTAGTGATCCATGTGGGCACAAACGATGTGGCCAGGCAGGGTGTGATTGGGAACACCAGGGACTTTGAGGCCTTGGGAAAGAAACTCAGGGAGCTGAAGGCCCAAGTGGCCTTCTCGTCGATCTTACCTGTCCAGGGATTTGGGCCAGGAAGGGACAGGAGGGCCTCCAAGGTGAACGACTGGCTTAGGGTGTGGTGCCAGAAGGAACGCTTCGGGTTCCTTGACCACGGCACTCGTTTTCTTGCCAGTGGACTTCTGGCAAGGTACGGGTTACACCTCACGAGGATGGGGAAAAGGTCCTTTGGAGAAGCTCTAGCGAGCTTCGTCTGGAAGACTTTAAACTGAGCTGGGGGGGGGGGTGTTCAGGCCCCCCAGTAACATGTCTGCACTGGACAAGTGTGAGGGGAGGATCAGGGCTCTGGGAGCAGGGTTTTAGAGATACTGCAGGGACTGACAGGACTCCTACAGAGAAGGGGCCAGGTACCAGGGAGGATGGGAGGAAGGAGGAGGCTGGGAACTCAAAGGAAGCGGTGGGAAGGAGTTGAGGTGCATGTACACCAATGCTAGGAGCATGGGTAATAAGCAGGAAGAGCTTGAAGCTCTCCTGGGAATAGCAGGGTATGATCTGGTAGGAATCACAGAAACTTGGTGGGATGAAAGTCAAGTCTGCAATGTGGACATAGAAGGGTATCACCTTTTTAGAAAGGACAGGAAGGGAAAGAGAGGTGGGGGCATGGCTTTATACGTCAGGGAAGGGATAGGATGCAGTGAGATAGAATGCAGCACGGATGGGGATTTGGTGGAGGCAGTCTGGGTAAAACTTAGGGGTTTTGACAGGGAAAGAGACCTGTCAGTGGGGGCATGTTATCGCCCTCCAGGTCAACTTGAAACCCTGGATGATGACCTGACAGGCCAGATTCTAAGGATATCTCAGGGGAGAGACACAGTAATTATGGGAGATTTCAGTCTCCCAGATATTACTTGGGAGACTCACTCAGCGGTGACAGCCAGGTCACATCGCTTCCTAGACGCTATAGAGGGAGGGTTTTTCACACAGAGGGTCTGAGAGGCGACGAGGGGGGGAAACATCCTTGACTTGGTCTTGACCAATAGGGAGGAACTGATAGATGAAGTACAGATTAGGGGAGCTCTGGATGCGAGTGATCACTCCATCCTTTGCTTTGAGATCAGGGGACTGGGGACGTGCAGCAGGTAGAGCACTAGAAGCTGGGACTTCAAGAGGGCCAACTTTGGCCAACTGAAGGCCAGACTGGGGAAAGTCTCCTGGGATAGGTTACTGGAAGGTAAGCGAGTTGAGGAGGGGTGGATAGCACTCAAAAGGGAGGTTTTGGAGGCGCAAGCCTTGACGATACCTCTAGTCAGTAAGGTGGGGAGGCGGAGGAGAGTGCCGCCATGGATGCGAAAGGAGGTGGTTAGAGGGATTAGATGAAAGAGGAACCTCTGTAGGAAATGGGTACTGGGGGAAATAGACAAAAGGGTATACCGGGAGGAAGAGGCCCGTTGCAGAAGGATTCTTCGCAAGGCTAAGGCTGATTACGAGCTGAGACTTGCAAGAATATCAAGAGCAACAAAAAGGGCTTCTTTCAGAATGTAAATAGGAAGAGGAAGGGGGGACAAGTGGTGGGACCACTAAATAAGGAGGAAGGAGATCCAGTGACTGATATAAGGGAACAGGCACAGATGCTAAATGACTATTTTGCCTCTGTGTTCTCCCTAAAGCAGGACAGGGGATATCTGCATAGATTAGATGAGGCTGGGGACTTAGGGGCACAGATTAGAGTCACCCCCCTTGAAGTCGAGGGGCTCCTCAGGGCATTGGACATTACAAAGGCACCAGGCCCTGACGGGTTACACCCGAGAGTACTTAGAGAGTTGGCAGGGGTTCTCTCACGCCCGCTGGCCTCCATTTTTGAGACCTCGTGGAGTACGGGTGAAGTTCCAGAGGATTGGAGGGTGGCCTCAGTGGTCCCAATTTTCAAAAAGGGTAGTAGAAAGGACGTGGGGAATTACAGACCGGTTAGCCTTACGTCCATTGTAGGAGAAACAATGGAAAGGCTCATAATAGAGATCTAGTGATGCTAGATAGGGAAGGGAGGCTGAGAGCCACACAACACGGCTTCCGCAAAAACAGGTCCTGCCAGACAAACCTTGTGGAATTCTGTGACAAGGATTCGAGATGGCTAGATGGAGGGGATGCAGTGGATGTGGTATACCTGGATTTCAGCAAGGTCTTTGACAAAGTGCCCCATGATATCCTGGTGGAGAAACAGGAGTTTTGGGATACACCAAAGTACTGTCCGGTGGATTAGGGCATGGTTGACTGACCGAAAGCAGAAGGTAACCATTAGCGGGGAATCATCGGGATGGTGGCCAGTGACAAGCGGAGTCCCCCAGGGCTCTGTCCTGGGGCCAATCCTGTTTAATCTTTTCATTAACGACATGGAAGAATGGGTGAACAGTCTGCTGATCAAATTCGCAGACGACACTAAAACTGGAACAGTGGCCACAACTGAGGAGCAGGTACTCCAGATCCAAAAGGATCTGGACAGACTATGGAAATGGGCGGTGAGACAACAGGATGGCGTTCAATGTGGATAAGTGCAAGGTCTTGCACTTGGGGCATAGGTATAGCTGTCATAAGTACAGGTTAGGTGACAAGTGGCTGGAGAGCAGCACTTGTGAAAGAGACTTCGGGGTACTGGTTGACTGCAGGCTAAACATGAGTCAGCAGTGTGATGTGGTGGTCAAGAGGGCGAACGCCACCCTTGGTGCATAGCCAGAAGTGTGGTTTCTAGATCAAGAGAGGTATTACTACCACTCTATATGACTCTGGTGCACCCACAACTGGAGTATTGTGCTCAGTTTTGGGCCCCTCATTACAGAAAGGATATAGTCAGGTTACAGTCAGTGCAGCATAGGGCCACAAGGTTGGTGGTCGGTTTGCAGGGGTTGGGGTATGAGGTGAGACTGAGGGAACTGGGTCTCTTCAGCCTGGAGAAGAGGAAACTCAGAGGGGATATGTTGGCGACATACAGGTATTTAAGGGGATGTCACATGGAGATGGGTAAAGACCTGTTCTCCCCTGCAGAGGAAGGCAGGACGCGCTCCAATGGAGCAAAGCGCAGGGAGCCAAGGTTCCATTTGGATGCCAGGAAGCACTTTCTGACAGTCAGGACCCCGAGGGTGTGGAATGGGCTTCCCCGGGAGGTGGTTGAGGCCCCATCGGTGCGGGTGTTCAAGGATAGTCTGGACGTCCACATGGCGGGCATGTCGTGAGCGGAGCCAGCTGGTGCCGGAGGTCAGACTAGATGGCCCGGGAGGTCCCTTCTGACTCACTCTGTTTTTATGCTTCTATGTCTTGGCTAGGAAGAGATAGAACTTTAGGTAGTTAGGTAGATCTGCATTTCTTACAGTTTCAATTGAATCCACTGCAGTTATTCTCGAGATTCCATAGAACAAACTTCTGAATTACTCTTGAATGTAAGGACACAGACTGGTTTGTTTGCTTGCTAGAATTCTAATTAAAAAGTCACCAACAACTGATTTCCAGATGTGCAGCTCCTACTGTTACTAATCAAAAGCATTGTGTAGTTATTTTGCCTTTTCTCCTTAAAGGATTCCTTTGTTAAATGAAGAAACAGTAAGAAAACATGGCAGGGTTACAAATGGAAGATGATATTGTGTGGATGGTATTGAGATAGGGTTATTGGATGATAAAGCCCTTGTTTAGGAATACCCTAGCATAGCCTCCACTCCTGTCAAATTTAGGTTGCAGCAGATGGTTTTCACTGACAATAATGCCATCTTAGGTAATCCTGCAGTTGTTGTAACCTTGAATTTTATACTACTTAAAAGCCCTTCTTCACTACCTTGTAGTAGATGGATTTTGCTGTAAAAGAAGTGGCCTGCAGAAGAGACACTGGAAGGCTGTAGATGAGACAGAACTTTTCTGTGCTTCAGTTAGATTAATTCTCAGCAGCACTTGGCTTAAGCTGAATGCAATGCTAGAATGTATTTGAAATACACTTACTCCTGCAATAATTTGGGAAAAGCCATGCTTACCCAAGCCCATGGTCTGGGTGCTTATCCAATTGGGAAGCATTAAATAAAATGTGAGTGGAGTTATATGCATTAATCACACTTAGAATCCACAACCATAACTGGAATGCCTTTTAACAAGCTTTGGATTATCAAGTGCTACACTGAAAAGCTTACCTTATCAATTTTAGATGAATATTAATAGGACAAGTGTGCAATAGAGTTAGTCATTACTATTATTACTACTACACTGCATTTATATCCCTCCTTTTTTCTTCTTGTGAGGAACCCAAGGCTGCTTATGTAGCTCCTATAATCCTGACAACAACCCTGACAGGCTGAGAATCTGTGACCAGAGTCACCCAGGAGGTCTTATGGCTGACCAGGGACTAGAAGCTGGATCTGCCAGGTTCCAGTCATGCACTCGAATCATTACAACACACAGGCTTTCCAGGTCCTACAGGTGCAGGGCTTAGAGCTCTCAACTGTGAAGTCATAAGTAGGTTTGGAATAGTTGCTCTGTGTTGCTGAAAGAAATATGTTCAAACATGGCTTTGTTCTCTTTTCCCCCTGTAGATCATGGTTCCTCTCTTGCTGGTTAATGCTGCTGATGACCCTTTGGTGCATGATAGTCTACTGTCAATACCAAGAGCCCTCTCAGGTGAACTGAAAGTTTCATCAACAATCTTTCCCTTTTGAACCATACCAGATCATGGAAAAGTAAATGTAGCCCTGGATAAGCTCAGCCTGCTTCCTTCCTCTTAGGCTCTGCTGAAAGATGATTCTGGATCCTAAACAGTCTGCAAGCAGGGGTGCTTTGTGATAACCTAGACTGGGGTGGGGGGATTTGGAGGCACGTTGTATTTGCAGCCCCTGGAATGTGCCATGTTGTAGCTCTTTTCATATAGTGCCATCAATGCACATACGCTTTGCAGAGTACAGAAAGAAACATAGAAACACAGCAAATCAGAAGGGGTCTCCCAGGCCATCTAGTCTGACCCCCAGCTCCAGCTGGCTTCACTCATGACATGTCTACCATGTGCATGTCCAGCCTGTCCTTGAACACCCTCACTCATGGGGCTGCAACCACCTCCCATGGAAGGGAGGGTATGGAAGCCCATTCCATACCCAGGGGCCCTGGCATCTAAATTGAACCTTAGTTCCCTGAGCTTTGCTCCACTGGAATGCATCCTGCCCTCCTCTGCAGGGGAAAAGAGGTTTTGACCCATTTCCATGTGACACCCCCTCGTGTACCTATATATCGCCAACAGATCTCCTGGGAGTCTCCTCTTCTCCAGGCTGAAAAGACCCCATTCCCTCAGCCACCATCCTTGTGGCCCTTTGCTGCACCGATTCCAACCTGGCTATATCCCTCTTGTAATGAGGGGTCTAGAACTGAACACAGTATTCCAGCTGCAGGCACACCAGAGTCGTACGGAGTGGCAGTAATACCTCTCTCAGTCTAGAAGCCACGCTTCTGGATATGCAACCAAGGGTGGCATTTGCCCTCTTGACCACTGCATCACACTGCTGACTCATGTTTAGCCTGCAGTTAACCAGCATCCCGAGATCCCTTTCATAAGTGCTGCTCTCCAGCCACTTGTTCCCCTAACCTGTACTTATGACATCCATTTCTATGCCCCAAGTGCAAGACCTTGCACTTATCTCCATTGAACACCATCCCCTTGTCCCTCACCCACCTTCATAGTCTGTCCAGATCCTTCTGGATCTGGAGTACCTGTTCCTCAGTGGTGGCTACCACCTCCATTTAATATTGTCTGCAAATTAGATCTCTCACTATTATGAACCTTTCCCTTGTCTTTCCCAGAATTGGATGTAAGGCTAATTGGCCTGTAATTCCTCATGTCCCCTCTACTACCCTTTTTGAAGATTGGGACCACTGACGCCACCCTCCAGTCCTCTAGAACGGCCTCACCCGTTCTCCCCGGGGCCTCAAAAATGCAGACCAGTGTACATGAGAGTACCCTGGCCAACTCCCTAAGTACCCTCAGGTGCAACTCATCAGGACCTGGCACATTTGTAACATTCAGTGCCCTGAGGAGCTTCTCAGCCTGTAGGGGGGTGATTCTAATCTCATCCTGTCCCCCATGTAGATCTCCCCCATCCTGCTTTGGGGAGTACACAGAGGTAAAATAATCATTTAACATCTGCTTGTTCCCTCACATTGGTCACAATATCCTCTTTCTCCTTATTAAGCAGTCCCACCGCCTGTCTCCCCTTCCTCTTGGTTTTTGCATATCTACAGAAGCCCTTTTTGTTGCTCCTGATATTCTTTGCAAGTCTCAGCTCATAATCACCCCTAGCTTTGCAAAGAATCCTTCTGCAACAGGCCTCCTTCCCCCAGTGTACCCTTTCGTCCACCTGTCCCAGTGCCCATCTCTTACGGAAGTTCCTCTTACATCTAATCACTCTTATCACCTCTTTTCACATCCACGGTGGTGCTCTCCTTTGCCTTCCCACCTTGCTGACTAGAGGTATTGTCAAGGCTTGTGCCTCCTCTGCTGAGTGCCATCCACCCCTCCTCAACTCCCTTCCAGTCCCCTCTCCCAGGAGACTTTCCCCAGTCTGGCCTTCAGTTGGCCAAAGTTGGCCCTCAAGATGTCCCAGCTTCTAGTACTTGACCTGCCACTCATTCCCATTCCCCTGATCTCAGAGCGAAGAATGGAGTGCTCACTTGGATCCAGAGCTCCCCTAATCTGCATCCCATCTATTCGTCTCTCCCTATTGGTCAAGACCAAGTAAAGGATATTTTCCCCTTTCCTTGGAAGTAGCAAGACGTTTCAGTGCCCTTGACTCTCTGCTCACATGTTCACTGATCAGAAATCAAACAACAATAACCTCAGCTGGTTTTTGCAAAACTTGTATAGCTGTCAGTGACATGAGTTAGGAGTTGTGTTCTATTTTGTGGTTGCATGTCCGTACCCCACAACCACCCCACCAGCAGGGTGAGAAATATATATCAATCAGTAGGTAAAATACTGTACTCTAGCAAAATGCAGAATTATTCGAGTTCTTAACTTTAATTTTTCTACTCTTACAGAAAAGCGGGAGAATGTCATGTTTGCTTTGCCACTGCATGGGGGTCACCTGGGCTTCTTTGAGGGTGCAGTACTCTTTCCAGAGCCCCTCACCTGGATGGATAAGCTTGTTGTGGAGTATGCTAATGCCATCTGTCAGTGGGAGAAGAATACCTCTCAGTGTTCTGATACCGAACAATCATCTGGCCAAGAATAAAAGGGTCCCAAAGAATCTTCAGGTTGTTTCACCTTAGTTTCCATCTTCTGGAATTCCTCTATTCTTCCCCGTTTCTGAGCCTGTCCTCTGAGCATCTAGAAGGTTCAACCACAGTGCTTCATGCCAAAGCTGAGTTACAAGAAGAGAGGCTAATATCTGGTTTTGAGCAACTTGGAAATATGCCTGGACATTTGCAGTGCTCTCACGCATTGAAAGGACTCACGCATCGTATTGGTGGGTTGCTCACTTCAAGTTTCTGAAAAAAGGGCAACAACAAGATTTCCTTGAAAGTAGCAAGACATTTCAGTGCTCTTGACTCTCTGCTCACATGTTCACTGATCAGAAATCAAACAATAATAACCTCAGCTGGTTTTTGCAAAACTTGTATAGCTGTCAGTGACGTGAGTTAGGAGTTGTATTCTATTTTGTGGTTGCGTGTCCTTACCCCACAACCACCCCACCAGCAGGGTGAGAAATATATATCAGTCTAGAAGAAAGTAACTGTTAATGTCTGCAAGTCTTCAGTACGACTACCCACAAAGCAAAGGGGAAAGATGTGGAGTGCTGACTTTCCAGAATGGCATCCCTTTGTGAGAGGGGGGCTTTGCTCTTTCATATTAATGCACTTCTAGGGTTTAGATTGCTTTGAAAGTATCTGGAGAGTTATCCGCACAGCCGTTGCTTTTCGATTTTGGAGCAGTGGCTGGGTGGATTGTTGTATGTTTTGCTTTTCCATTGAGACTTCACACATAGATGGTTATTGGCTTGATCAAACCAGTGGATTCTCTGCCGTGTTTCTACTTGAGACTAAACAGGTGGCTTTGTGATTCCTGCCTTTCCTGAGGAGAGGAACCTACTTTGACCAAGACTTCTGTGTGCTCTTAACCCAGGCCTTTTAATATGATCCCTGACTGGAAGTCAATTACTATCAACCTGTGGGCTTTTTCTTTTCTTTTCTTTTCTTTTCTTTTCTTTTCTTTTCTTTTCTTTTCTTTTTGAGTACTTCACAGCGAATCAGTGTAAATGCTCTTAAGGAAATTTGTGTGTGAAAGATAATATATCATGCTCTTTATTGCCTCACCCACTACTCATATAGAGCAGCATATAAAAATATATCCCTACAATGACTTGCTTTAGAGGAGTTGTGCATTAGGTGTCTGCAATGCTGATTTAAACAAAAAAACCAACCTGTACTAAACGCCTTTACAGTTACTGAGTTCTGTCGGATGATTTTGGGAGTCCAGTGCTCTGTAGTCTTTAGCACAATGACCTCAGCAGGGTGTGCATTGCAATGGGGTGGGATACAGTAAAGAAGCGATGTCTTTTATAATGCATTGGAGACGGTCTCAGCACCAAGCCAGAGAGTTCCCTCCCTGGAAGAGAAAAGCTTACACCATCAATGTATTTTTTTAAAAAAACGGATTATTTAGATAGCTTTACAAGGACAATGAAACTTTGTGGTTGATTCCCTCCAAAACCGTCAGCTCACTGTCCCCTCCTTATGGCTCCTTTTCACTTCTGTCTTTACAAACATTTTCTTGCATTGCATTTTCCGTACCAATTCGCACTTTATTGTTTTAACCTTTAACTCTGCTACCTAGGCACTTTAATTATAATATGGGTTTGACTGTATGTTTCTATCTTGTGTAGGTAGGAATTCTTTTTGAACTTAAATACTGTGTTACATCATCTCATGCACCAGCTTTGAAATTCAAAAAGGTATATGTTTTATTTGTGGGTGGTTAATTTTTTAAAATTGAGCAATAATTAGCTACTGTAGCAAAGGTGCATTTATTTCATGTCAGGAATCAAACTCTTTCAGCCTTAGTCCAACAGCCTAGGCCTGTTCAGCAAACTAGCCTGAACACAGTTTGTCAAGTGAGGGAATGAAGGCTTTTCTACTCTTCCAGATCTGAGGATGTAACCAACCCAGACAGCTCAAGATTTAGTCAATGAGTTCATGGCTTTCCTACCCCCACTCCAAAACAGTATGTTTTACATTTTTGTTCACATGCTGATGTTTACCATTTCTTGCTACTTCCTCAAAGAGCCAAAATACAGTATAAGGAGACTAACAAACTGCACTGCATATAGAACTACTAAGAATTTTTCTTCTACTTGAAATAAACACTTAAATCAATTTTGGTACCTACAATATATAAAATGGAAGTTACTGCCACATAATTATCCTCTATCAACTTTCATTTTAGGAAGTAAATTATAAAAGGAATTTGCTGTTGGCTCACATCATTTCAGTCTCTAACATACTAGCTTGCTCTCTTCCCTTTCTTGCAGCCTTTTAACCAAATTCACCTTTCCTAAAAACCAATTACAAAAATGGTGTCCTGGATCAGTCACTGAGAGCCATCTCTTTCCAACCTCACTTTTCCAAAAGTGGCTGCTGTATGGTTAGATTTAACAGAAAGAAAATAGCATTTTCCCTTGAGGGAAGAAGACCTTGTTGTGTTTGAATCACATAGACCAGATTTAACATATTTAGCTCATGGTAAGGCATGGAGCCCATAGTTTCCATGTTGTACAGCCAATTTCTGCTCAGCTGTTTTTGTGTTGCTTTAATTCAGTGAGTATGGGTTATGCAAGGGTTCATCAGCTCTTACATAACTCACAGTCTGCTTTAGGGTAATGGAAGGGGGGTTTAACCCTTAGGAAACCCTTGTTTGCTGGATTTGCACAGCATGACACCCCTTGGGTGGGGTTGCATATTCAGAATGGCAGATGCTCACACCACAAGTTAAAGGACCTATAGTGGGCTGTCATGTGGTCCAGTGATCCCAGTGTAACGGGGGGGGGGGGGAGCTTCTTTGCATATAAAGGCTTTTATCACCACTTTCTGAGGGTGGGTGTAAGTGTAACTTTCTAAAGTTTTGAACCAGCTACAGATTGGTTTTGTATGCAGGCATGAAAATGAGTTGATGCCTAATTTTGATGGCATTCTTAATCTTTGGTACTCAGGGAATATATGTCCATTCAATTATAAAGAACATTTCTGTGATTACATTCTTCTGAATGGTAGATCTTGGAATAGAAACAGGAACCGCTAACCATTAGAAATCATCTTGATTTTTTGCTCATAGAATATAAAAAGACTTTTGTTCCCATCTCACAAAATGAAGCTGTACAAGGAGAGACCATTCTTTTTCATTAACATGGCTGGTCAGAGATGCATCTTATGTCATAAACTTGGTGTTCTCCCTTGCCCTTTCAGTCAAACAGGAGAGAGATTTTCAATTTATTTGAGGGTCTGCAGGAAAATGAATGCCAAAACAGAGTCTTCTGTAGGAGCTGAGGAGAGCCTGGCCAGGAAGTAGCTGTACAAATTCCATTATTTAAAAAAAGTGAACAGTGTTAAACTTCTGTTCACATTTTCAGTGAAATTGGGATGTTGCTGCAGTGCATCTTCCTGCTGTTGTAAGTAGATTGGACTGTCTCAAATTTCTTTTGAAAAGTAGTATTTAAGTCAGCAAGGATACGGTGTACGTGGAAGCATTTTTCCACCTCGCGCTTCCCCCCAGTAAAATGGGCCTGCTTATCATTTTTTCATGGATGCACTACACTAGAAGGACTTTTTCTTTGTATGTTCAATTCCATCCTGGGGAAGGGTTGTGTGTGCTGGTTCCGGTGTGCAGGCAATTGTTTATAATGTGTAACAGCTCATGACATGAACTCTTTATCTGCACCATTTCAAATTATTTGCACCATTTCACATCCAGATTATTTCTTTTTCCTGAAAGTTGTTTGTGACCCCTTGAAGAACTGCTACATTGTTTGCTGTGTGGCAGGAGCCATCATATTGAGTGATTTTTAAAACAACCTTCATCAGATGGACTGTAAAGCTTAAGTTTTCCCTGGTAATATAGACCATTTTGTAAGCTTTAAGTCTGTTCAGAGTAATGTCTTCACAGCTTGTTGATATCTGTATTAAAAGTAGCTTGCCTTTGGGTGAAATGTGTGAATCCCACATATAGATTGGTTCACAAAGGAATCCTGGGGCTGACCTTTTTTATTTTTGAAAACTGGCTTTGATCTGCATTTAAAGGTTTATATGATTAGGTAGCATATCATGATTGCAACTCTATTCATCCCAATGACATGGTGAAAAAATAAAAACAGAAAACCAACCATCGGCATTTCCACTGAACAAATCTGCTGTAATGGAGATACTCCTACATATGGCTATATACTTCTCCCATATACATATAGCCTGCAATAAGCTGTTTTCCACAGATTGCATTGTTTTACTGGCTTGAGCCTTTCCTTTGGGTTTCCTGCCGAAATGGTACTTCCAAGTCCATATCCAGGATTTATCATAAGAAAATGGCAGCACCTCTACCAAGAAACTGAGAAAGGGGTTCCAACTTTGTAGTCATGATAGCAGTAATAGTAACCAATTGTTGTAAGGTGGTAAGAGTCCAAGCCACATCTTGCAAACCCTTCCATATACCGATTTTATTAGCAATTCTCCTTTGCTGTATGTTATGTAGTGATCTTAGTGGGATACCAGGTGCACTTACTGATGTTGATCTAAATAAGGGCAAACTACACCTTGCTGTTGATTGGAAAGGGGGATTATTTGCTCATCTTAAAGGGCAAAACCACTGAAATAGGGGCACCATTCAATGCTGCTGGAGTCTGTGGCCTTTGGTCTTTGCTAACTAACATTATGTTTCTCTGTATGTCTTCCTGTCTGGAATAATGTTCTTTAAATCTAATTTTCTCTTGCAGGGCCTTGTGGTGTGGATGCATGACAAAATGAGAGAAATGCATCTGGGTGGAAAGGAGGGAATTTGAGTGCAGGGTTTTCCAGCCTTTTTTTCTATCAGGAACTATACTATAACTCATTTAAACATCTGGTGTTCTGGTCTTTTGCTGGTTACATTAAAGGGTACAACCATGAAAGGGCATTTTCTAAGCTGGATCTGAGAATTGGCATTCCTCCCCTTCCCCTCCTCTCCCCTGCCCTCCACTTTTTCCTTTTTTTCCCTAATCTCTATGCAGGAAAACTTAATTTTAACTCCTGAGTTCTGGGGCCACCCAATTCCCTACAACTTTGCTGATTTTAGACCAGGTATAGCACCCAGTGTGTCAAAATTCCTGAGATATGGCATTTATCATTTTGTATAAATACTGATTTGCCAATAGCAAGGCTTCTATTTTTTTTTTTTTTTTTGATAAGGCTGTATGCACAGTATCACTGCTTATATGGACAGCTTTGCCCTTCCCTATTGAAGGAGGCACATATCAAATACTTTGATATCAAAGCAGCTTAATATCAAAGCTTTGTTTATCAAACATTTGTGTGAACTGGAAACCTTGAGAATTTAATCTGCCACCAAGTTTTATCAAAGGTGTAGTGTCCAGTCCACAGGAATCTGCATCCTTCCAATCTAACTTCATGGCTATTTTGAACCATTCATGCTTGGTATCTGTAGATTCATTCTCTCAATGAATTCACAGATTCTCCCTCTTGATTTAAGAAGCACAACTTTTCAAGAGGTGGCCCTTATTTTTTTCTTTTCAACATACCCAAGCAGAAGGATATCCCAGTACCTCAGGAAGCTAGACCTGTACCTGTGCACTCTTCTTGATTTCTGTCACTGCAGCTGCCTTATCAGAGTAAATCAAGTGGTTCCTTTAAGTTTTTTTTAAAATGTCTCTTGAAGTTTAATTGTTTTGGCAATTTTTGTTTCCAAATACATATTTTGGAAACCATTATTTCCGCATTCCTAACTACTTGGAAACAAAAATGCTGCCCTGAAAAGGTTTCATTTGTGTAAGTGACTCATTGCCACTGGTTCCTTGTTGGAATCTTAGGAACCAGTTTTTTGGGGGAAGAAGATTTGCAACTAGCAATGCAATTTTTCTAAATCTGCTAAGGATTCAAATTATAAAAGTGTGTCAATACGTTTTTCTTTTTCTGTTTTGTGTGTAATAAACAGAGGTCATTGCAGAACAGAATAATTTTGTTATTTGAATCAGTGGAATTTCTTTGCTTAAAAAAATAAAGAACAGTTGAGTTCAGAGCATGTTTTTGTGTCTCATCGCTTGGTTGCTCATGACTTAGAATATGGGTGGGCACACTGAGGCTTGTGGGATCTGTGCTGTTCTCCAGAATCCAAAGTTCCACCAATCAAGGATATGTGCAAAATAAAGACTGAATGTGACTAAGCTGGATGCAAAGTGTAAACTCTGAGGCAGAGGTAGTTCCCTAACGTAAACCCACATGAGCTTGGACATACCAAATACGAATGTTACTTCAGATAAGGGAATCTGATACATCACTCTAAACCGGACCAGCAAAAGCAATCCACAGCTACATTCATACTGTACAGGTGAGGAGCACTGAGAATGAGAGAAAAGTAATGCATACAGGATCACTCATGAAAGGTTTTGCTGTAACTTGCAGTTTTGGTTGCCATTTTTAAGTTACTGGGAATCCACAGGCTCTTGGAGAAATGAAAATCACTTGCTTCTATCAAGACATTCCATCCTACTTTCTGTTCACCTGTCCCTTAGGAGATGCAGCTTTGGTAATCAATTGCAATTGATGTGTGTTCTGATCAAATTCCTCAAAGTTAAACAGGAATCTTTGTAGTGCTCCATTGGATTTTATGGTGGTGGCATCTTGGCTAAGCTGCTTCCATATCTCAAAAGGGCTTGGCTACTGTCAGCTGAGTTGGCGCCGATAACAGAAGGAGGGCAAGCAGAAATACAACGTAGGTACAATAAAGTAGAATTCAATTCAGAAGAGTGGAAGAGGAACATTGTACCCCACCCACATCCCTTTTTCTGTCATGGCCCCTTAATTGCTTGGTAGAATGAACTTGTGCTGCTGCTGTGGGAGGCTGAGCCAGCCTCTGTCCTGCTCTTCATTCAGAAACCTCCCCACTCCCATGCAGCTTTGGAACAGACATCCTGTTTGGCTTGAGTGAGAGCCAGTGGTCTAATGAATAGGCTTCTTCAAGGTCTTTCACTTTCAGACGGACCCCTGCTGGTTTGCTTTGCAAATCAAACAGGCCTGGCATTTATCTGGAAGGAGAGGAAGTGGGGTGGGAGGTGGAGATGGTCATAGATCTAATTTTATAGAACGAGTAGAACAGAGAAAATCAAATTCTCTGGATAGTATTTCTCCTTCCTGTTTGTGCTGGAGCCTGTTGCCTTGACAAGCGACAAGGAAATACACTCTAAATATGGATTGTATGAATAGTGTGGTCCATTGATCATCTCACTACCCAACACTGATTTGAATTTTACTGTGCTGGGAATCCAGTGAACTCATTGTCAGGTTTAAAGGCCATGTTTGCTCAATTGAGGGCATGATGAACATCTCCAGATTCTTGTGTTGACCTTGGAGCTCATGGCTTATCCTGCCTAGCCTCAGATAAAGCACAATCTGAAACCCCCCTTCTTGTTTTTTGGCTGTTAGCAAATCAGTATGGAAGAATGGCAATAATTGTGTAAGTGAACCACTAATGAAGTTCATTGGAGGGTCTGTACAGTGTACATCCCTCACTGAGGGGCCCATAAAGACCTGAAGCTTACCGTGATAAGGTTTTCATGGGACCATTTTAGTATTTTCACCAACCATTTGCATTCTGCCTGTATCACCATTGGTGGCATAAATTTGATCACATAAGGCTAGACTAGACAATTCACTTGCTTTGAAGAAGGCCACAATACTACTCCCAAGCAGCTATTTCTGGGACATGCATTAAAGCTGCATTTAACATAATAGCTGTCCATAAACTTTCAGTTTTCCATCTGCCTGAACAGAGGGAGCCACTTAATTGCACTTGAATTGTACGGTTTCTCAAAGTGTGCCTCACTATTTGCAGTAATGGTTGCATGGATTCTTTTTTCTAAGCATTTTTGTTTTTTGTACTAACTAGTGCTTAGTGTGCTATTTTTAAAGCTTTAGTTCTTACGAGGTGGCTAAGCATGCTGTGTGTGCACACAAACACTGTGAACTCTGCTTATTTTTTTAAAAATCCAAAGTGTTTTCCTTTGAATATGTTTTCAAAAGTAATTTCTATCAAATAGAGATTGGTTGAAAATGGTGAAAAAGACTTAAAACTTTTGAGGCAAGTCAGGGCCCTGTCTGCTTCCATTGGTTGCCATGTTCTTTGTTCTTTCACCAGTTTTTCTCAGGGGTGGCTGACAGGTTGTGTGTGTGCTGTGATTCCAAGCAAGTGCAGAAAAATATCAGTGTGGAATTGGCCACAGAATTAAAGCTCCTAAGAACATAAGCGTTATTAAAAACAAAATCTTGTAGCCCTCATGGCTACCAGTAGGCTCTTGAAAATGTCTAACCAGGACCTTCTGTATCCTCTGCAGCCTAAGATTGTTTATGGCCTGAGTACGGGACTTCCGTGCTCTGTATAGTTTCATGCCTCTTACCATGACTAGCCAGAAGAGAACAAAATGAAGGTACCAACTATGTAACTATAGCCAGAAAAAAGACCTGCATCTCCCAGCCAGCAAAGTGGTAAGCCTTCTTTCAGTCTAAACTTGTACCCTAGGTAGAAGGCCCACCTCACCGAGCAAGCTATTGCCCTCAAGACCTGCTTGTGGGTTTCCCTTGGACAGCTAGTTCAGCACTGCATTAACAGATCACCACAGTGGGTGGTTCTTGCCCTGATCCAGCATGGCTCTTCTTATGCGGCTACATGATACAACAGTTCAGCTGTGCCTAATTTGTACCATTCAGCTTGTACTAAAGAATATAAGCAAGTGCAGAGTGATACATGCTGGGGCAAAAAACCCCACGTGCAACTATACACTGACAGGATCTGAACTAGCAGTGAGCGAGCAAGAAAGGGATCGTGGGGCCGTGGTGGAGGCATCAATGAAAATGTCAGCCCAGGGATCAGCTGCCATGAAGAAGGCAAACTATGCTAGGCATAATTTGGAACGAGGCAGAAAATAGAACTGCCAGAATCTTACTTTTCTTCTACCAATCTCTGGTGTGACTGCACTTCAGATGAGGTGACCAGAACTGAACCTCATCTGAAAAAGGGCATTGCTGAGCTGGAAAAACACAGAGAAGGGCAAGAAAATGATCAGGGAGCTAGAGCTGCTCACTTATGAGGAGTGGCTATGCCAACTGGGACTCTTCAGCTTAGAAAAAAGATGAACAAGAGAAGACACAATAGAGGTGCTTAAACTAATGTTTGTAGTGATGAGAAAGCAGAGGAGACATTTTTCTCCCGCTCCCATAACACTTGAACCCAGGGTCATCCCATGGAAGCTGATTGGTGGGAGGGTTAGATCAGACAAGAGCAAGTACTTCATGACACAGCGTCTAAACTATGCAATTCTCTGCCACGGGAAATGGTGATGTCTGCCAACTTGGATGCACTTAAAAGGGGACTGGACAGATTCACGAGGGAAGAGGCTTTCAGTGGCTACTAGCCCTGCGAGCTCTGTGCTTCCTCCTTTACCAGAGGTCACATGCTTGCATTCATCAGTTGCTGAGGAGCTGGGCAGGAGGAGGCCTTGCACCCATCCTGCCTGAGCAATCCTTGGGCAGCTGGTTTGCTACCATGTGTACGGAGTGCTAGACTAGGTGGGCCTTTGGTCCAGTAGGGCTTATCTTGTGTTCTCATGTACTGTTTCTCTTTTAAATTCAAAGGACATAGCCTGGCGACTGGGGCTTTCCATTATTACACACAAGCAACACCAAAGCCTCTGTGCTATTGGAACATTTTATTTCTCAGTATTTATATAGAAAACAGCCCCTTGGCTTAAATGCTCCTGTGGTGATGGACTCTGGTGGGTCCGTTTACAATGCAATGGTCTGTTTCCCTCTTCCTTAACCAACCACCCAAAACCAGCTGTAGCTGCAGAGTGGATGGAACAGAGAGCACTTCCCCAGCACTTAAAAGATTAACCAGTAAACCAACTGAGGCCCTTGCTGTGGCTGAAAGTAAACAGCCAGACTGCCTCTTCTGTACTGGCCCAGTCATAGACTGTCCCTTGCCTGTTTTCCTTTCCTGGGTGAAGAGAGGGAATAGACAAAAGGATCCTTCCAGAGAGTTGGAACTGTAGGGGCTTTTCTGTGCTCTTCTGTTTGGAAGGGTGATGAAGAGGAGTGAAGACTGCATGCTCGCAATCTTTTGGACTGACGCTACATTTAAAAATATGGTTGGGACTGATCATTTCCTCTGACCTGTCTTCTCTGCTGGGCTGCTGCTATTTAGAGAGCTGTGTCTTCAGCATCAATCCGGGGCCCAAACAGCTTTTCAGCAGTAGCTTTGCCATCATATTTTGGCAGGGTGCCCCCAAAATCTGCTGGCAGGATATCAGCATCGATCTCATGGTAGAAAGTGTCAAGTTCATCACCGTGCACAAATACCTGGGTGCAGAAAGACAAAGGAAAGGGGCATAATTTGGCTTCTCTTTGTACTAATTTGTTTTGCACTGTTCTGACATACTGGTTGACATCAGCTAGTGGAAATCGAGGTTCGTCCTAGTCGTCTGCTCACATCCCAATTGTTTTGCCCATTCTCCATGGTGGCCTTGTGGTATGCACTTGCAATTCTGCAAGAGTGCCATCCTTTGGAACATGGCATCAGACACAGAGTTCAGCTCTTTGAGATTCTCAACCCTTGATTCAAACAAAACCATGCCTGTTTTTAGCCTGTATGGCTGAAAAGCAGGCAGGCAAACCCTAGAAATTAAAAACCTGTGATGGCAAATGCCTGTGCTCACTTTTGCCCTCCCAGGGTTGTGTCACATATGCTGCTGTGCTAAGAAGAGAAAACAAGCGTGCTCTGGGTGCTTTTGCAGTGTAACTCACCCTTTCCAGCAGCTTGTTCTTCAGGAAGGGCTTGACCACATTATAGGTTGTGGTGAAGTACCAAGGTTGATGAATGAAGTGGACGGCCTTGAACCGTGCTGGGAAAGAATCCTGGGAAAGTCAAAGAGCGTGTTACTCACCAAGCGTCTAAAGAGAAAAGTTGTGGGGAGACAGCAGTGATGTACAAGTTATGTCTCTGAGATGTTTGGGAGGTGGAGAGCACCCTCCTTTTGTGTTGAACCACAACTGAGCTCATCCCCAGCCAGTGGCTGCGCCAGCTAAAAGCTGCAGACCTGCCACTGTGAGTAGAAAGGGAGTGAGGCCAGAGGGAAGTGATGTGGCCATTTGGCCCCTAAGCTTGATGTGCTGCACCCCTGCCTTAGGGAGTGTCTGTCTCTGGCAATTAAGCCCAGTTGGCCTGTCTCCACAGCTTGCCAGGGAGGTCTGTGGACAGGTCGGTCTCACCTGTAGCATGTCTACCATCTTCTTCAGTTCAGAAGGTTTGATGCCGGCAGCCTGCTGCATGGTAAACCCCTTGAAGTTTTCGATGATACAGAAGCCATTGATCTGAGTCTCCTCATTCTCCAGGAGCTTCTCTAAGATCACACAGTAGGCACGGAGAATCTAGATAAAAAACGGGTGGAGAGAAGAGCGATGGGCAGTACTCATAACCATAATGCATCTGGGATCCCCTCACCCACCTTGGCATCAGAAGTAGCACCTGATGAGCCATTCTTAGCTTTGCTACTGAAGTTGTGTAGTAAAAGCCTTGTACAAGTAGAGTTCTCCGTGGTGGTTTCCCCAGGGGAAGAGGAGATAAGGTTAACAATGGCTGCTTGTTGTGATGGCGGTATATTTCCTGCACTACTGGGGACACCGTGTAGTGGAGCCAGGATGTGCAGGCACCCGGCAGTAGCACTTCCTTTATGGGCACAGATGCTGATGGCATCGCATTCCCTTCTCCCTTTGAATTTAGCTACAATTCCCAGAGCAGCTGGAAGGGGAGAATGAGCTTCCTCAGGAATTTACTGTCCCCTATAATAATACAAAGTATTTGGGGTTGAACTGACCATAAATGGGCAAACGAGAGCCATCTGCTGTACAAAAGACCAACTAACAGTGGAGAAAAGACTGCTAAGACAGATTTCTTGGTATGGGCACCTGAAGTTTTGGATTCTCCTTGGGGCTGTGCCTATGAAGACTGTCCTGATCAGGGGCTACTCTTCAAAATTGGCCGCTACAGCACTGCTCTCAGGACCAGTTGAGAGGGAACACCTGTGGGAGGGTTCCATTGCATTCATGCCCTGCTTCCCAGAAGGACTTGAATGGCCAGTGCGTGAACACAGTCCCAGCCTGATAGATTGGTTCCAGCATCATCAGATGATAGCACTAGCGAAGATGAAGCCACTTAAAGTCCATAGCTTGCAGAGCTGAGTACAGGGTTTGTTCTTGTTAGTCGCAAAGTCATGTCCGACCCATCACAACCCCATGGACAACATTCCTCCAGGCCTTCCTGTCCTCCACCATCCCCCGGAGTCCACTCAAGCTCACACCAACTGCTTCAGTGACTCCATCTAGCCACCTCATCTTCTGCCGTCCCCTTCTTCTTTTGCCATCTGAGCAAAATCTCACACTCTGTTCCAGATTCTCTGGATAGAATTGTGGCCAGCCAGGCTAGGAAGTAGGCTAGGTCAGGCTACTGCTTTCCGTCCTGCCTGTCAGAATGGAAAGCAGTAGGCCTCAGCCTTCCCCATCCCAGTTGCTCTCCAGGAATTTTGCAGGCTGCCAACCCAGCCAGCCTGAAGCATAGTCAGGAATCCTGGGAGTTGTAGTCCAAAACAACTAGAAAAAGGCTAGGTTAGATAGATCATAGGCACTTCTAGGGCTTCTCTGCATGAGGATTTTAATTTCCCACTTTACTGAGGCTTTTGCTTTGCAGGAGGAAGAATGGGTCCTGTTTCTGTGTTTTTCCTCACAGGGTTTTATTTTCTTTCTATATATTCCATTACAGAACCACAAGGTGGTGCTGTGGTATAGCAGAATTACAAAAATACACACACTTTTCATGTGTGTTCCCACAAGATCAGGAAATAATACCTGACTTTCCCCTCTTTAAAAAAAAGAAAAGCTGTGAAAATGGCTGCAAAACCCAGGAGAAGCCCTGAAGGATGACAAAGCACTTGCAAACTAGCATAAGTGGTGCATCATGAGTGCACAATAAATGCTTCATGTACAGAAGCTCTCAATTTTCACAAACATGGTTAAAAAAATCTGTATCATTGCATATTTGTAGATTTCAACCTGAGTCTCCTGGGTTCTAGGGCAGGATGTGAATCAGTGCACCTCAGGGGCTCTTTCAGCTGAGAGATGCTATGCAATTCGACTTCACAACAATGAAAAATATCCTGGAACACGCTTTCCCGATTAGATTTTGCAGCTATTAGGGATGGCAGGATGACTTCAGCCATCCTTTTAATTCAGGGCAGTTTGCTGGATTTCAACCTCCACCTGAGAAGGGGAGAAGAAAAGCGGGAAATGAACCAAAGGGAAAGATCATAGAATCAAAGACGTGGAAGGGGCAAAGGCAATCACCCAGTCCAACCCCTTGTCCACTGCAGCTTTTGGCAGCACACAGCAGGCAGAGTTGAGCAAGGACCAAGAGAGGGTGAGTGGATGGAACTGCCCCTTTCTCGACCCAGCCTCCAGCACTGGGGTGGGCAGCAGCAGGCAGTTTGGTGGCCATTCCTCCCAGCTGCATTCTGCAGGGTGCCCTGAAGTATTTTATCTTATCCGTGGCAAAGCACTCCAAGGCACTGAATTTTGCTTGCATGTATGCTACATTTGACTATTTCAGCACTCTGCAGTCCTAAAAGTGCCATTTAAAAAAATAGGGAGGGTGGACCTCCAAAATTCCTACTACTGCTACATTAGTCTGGTTCAGCAAGGAGATGGATAGCATGGTCCATATGCAGCCTTTGGTTGCCCACCCCTGCTCTAACAGGAAACTTTCAGTTTCTTTAAGCAAAGATGAGGAATGTGTGGGGCCTTCCAGATACGGATTGATTCTGACTTCCTCTAGCCCAGCCTGCATAGCCAATGCTCAAGAGTGCTGGGAACTGTAGTCTAGTGACAGACCCTTTCTTCACGAGAAGTTTCTATAAGGTGGCTGTTTGTGGTTGAGGCAAGCCCTCTGCTGTAAGATGCTGACCTCATCAAAGGTGATCTCCTCGTAATCCCAGTTCTCGATGTTGAACAGAAGCACCACCCGCCCGTATTTGTCTCTGTTGCTTAAGATGCCAGGGTAGCCAGCCTCGATGGTATTGCGCACGGCCTCAGGCGACAGGTTTTCAAAAAGTTCTGGATACTGCTGGCGGAAGTTGACATAGCCTGCAGTTAGGGAGGGAGGGAGAGAAAAGAAAGCAGAATGCCAAGCTAGGGAGGGGCAAATGAACCTTCTATGGTGGCCTTGTGGCAGATACCCAGCCGGTTGCTTGCACCACCAATTGACCCAAAGCTGAGAATGTTCCAGGGCATGCATGAGCTCTGCATCTGGAAACCATGCTTAAATCTATGGTGCAGAGCCTCTCTCAGCCTGAGGGCCAAACTCCACTTCAGGGAAGTTTGTGGGGACTGTATTCCAGCGGCTAACCTCTCCCCACCCAGTCCCTGGCCTCTTTCTTCCAGAACTGAATTAAATTCTCCATCCCCATTTTTTCTCCCATTATCCTCTGTTCAGGCTATATCAGGCCCTGTCTGCTTTTTGATGCCCTCCTGGTAGGCATGTCATGAGCAGAGCCAGCTGGAGCCAGGGGTCAGACTAGATGGCCCAGGAGATCCCTTCTGACTTGCTCTCTTTCTGCGTTTTTATATGTCTATGGTACATGAAAGGATTAAGAAATGTCAAAGCAGGCTTACAAAAACTGCTATTCAATTTATTATTCAACATGCTTTTCTAGCTTTTTTCCTGTACCAACCCACCCAGTGCTGTAAGAACCATTGCTTGTCTTGCAGTGTCTTAGCTCATGCTACGCATTGCAAGGGCATTCCAACCATCTTGTCCTACAGTGGAAGGGCAGTCATTCTTGACCTGTTGGAGCACATTCAGACTTGGAGCCCCAGGCAGATGGTCCTCCTGGCCGCACCTGCGCTGGAGGTGCAAGGCTTTGCTGCAATACGGACTTGACTTGTGCTGCCAAGTACACATGATCCCTGAAGCTAAAGTTAGGACATGTCCCGGGAGTGCCCAAAGCACGGCCTGCCAAGCCATTTGTGAAAGCACTGCCTGAGGTTTTTCAGGGACTCTCTCCCAAAAGTGAGGAAGCAAATTAAAGCACCAAAGCGAATGGGGAGGGGGCAGAATCATGCACAGACTTGTTACCCTGGGACGCCAGTGCGAATCTTCACCACAGCAGCAGGCTAGCCCTACTAGGAGAAGGGCAACTGTGGGGGCAGAGTTATGGAGGAAAAGAAGGTGAGCAGGGGGAGTGTGAATAGCCCATCCCCTTACACACTTCAAATTGCCTGCCCCTCTTTGTGTGTCCTTAGACGTCTCCGTGGCGAACTCAGGTCCTCAGCCCTGGCGTCATCATGTTGGGAGCGCTTCCAGACTTGTCCCATCGCACTGCTTCGTTCCTGAAGTTCACTTTGGGTGAACGGCATGTTTAGTCGCTGAAGTCTCCCATTTGCATCCCTCCCATGTTTCCCCGTCACTTTTCCCGTCATTGTTCTATCCATAAACAAAGCAGTCAGGAAAAGTTCCTCAGTGCATTTTGCGGATGAGTGCTAAAAGTCCTCTGTCTGGATGCACCCACAATTGGGATGCCACAATAAAACAAAGCATCTCTTTTCCCACATGCCTCCCATTTTAAACTCCACAGAGAACTGCCTAGTCCATCTTCCAACTGGGAAACCCAAAGGGTGCCCAGCAAGCTCTTTCGTGGCTGTGCACAGCGGTGTCTTCCTTTTGAGACACCCTTCTCCAAAATACTTTCTCCTGGTGACCAGAAATGTTTTTTTCCCCTTCCTCTCCAGCTTTAGCCAATCTTTTGAGATTGCTTTTATTTTATGTGGTATAATTATTTCATTTTATTTTTTTCTGTTTAATTAAAATATTTCTTCTTTGCCTTCCAGAGCCCACCCAAAGTACTGTACAACATCAGAAAACATAATAAGAGCCAGTGCAGCTACAGAAGTAGGCGGGGGGGGGGGGGGGACACACCAGCAAACATTAGTGTGTTAGTTCTAAACTGTTCCCCTTCCCAATCTCCCCCACCACCCCCATCTTCACATGTATCTTTGAAAAAGGCAGAGGCCGACCAAAGCTTGCAGAATAACAGCCTGGCTTAAACACCTCTCCCCAAACTCTCTCTGTATGTGTGTGCACATTTTAGTGGGCTTTAGTGTTTGTTTTGCTTTTAAATTCTGTTTAATGGCAAACTTGCATGTTTTTGTATCATTTTGCAGTTTGCTCTGAGTGTTGCCTTTTGAGCTGAAAAAGCAACACAGCCTTATTCAAGGAAAACATCCTCAGAGAAATAATATTCTTGCTCTTTGTCCTGCTCCCCTGCCACAATTATTTGACGATAAAATATATGAAGCTTTCAACATCCACGCATGTATATATTTTATATATATGTATACAGAGACAGACATCTGTGTATACAGAGGTATGTAAACAGTGCTGAGCAGTTCTGCAATATCCTAAGTCTAGACTACTGACCATTCCGGAGTCATGGGTCCTCCCTTTTTGGCCTTAAGCAATGTAAGCAGACCCGCACGCTTTCTGAATGGATCGAAACAAACGGGATGGGAACGACCCAGCTGGCTCATAATTCTCAAGCATACCTCATTTTCTGTAGCTTGATGTTTTGCCTAAGCAGTCAGCTATTGTGACAAGGCTTGGTGGCTAGTCTTGCTCCATGCTACCAGGGCTAGTTGTCTGGCCAGGTACAACATGTGTCTTTGCCCTTTCCCTTTCCCTATTTTTAAAGACTGAATACATAAGTGTCACCACCATAAAAAGGTCATATATACCCCCCACAAAAAAGGACTGTGCTTTGCATAAAATGTGCACATGCTGTTCTAAATGTATACACACAAACATAAAGACAGGAAAAGAGTCCATGCAGATTTTACTCCACTAGCCAAACAGCTATAGGGGGCGGTGATCGTCTCCATTTCTAAGGCCCAGAGTCAGCGCTGTCCAAAAATGTTCTCATGATCATGTGGCCAGCATGACATCATGGGGTGCTGTTTGGTTGCTAGCTTGGCATGACCCAGGGACAAGGCAGAGGGAGCTGGCCCCATAGCATGGCTTCGGACTGGCAACCTTTAGATCGGCAGCCCAGCAGCTCAGCGGTTTAACTTGTTGTGCCACTTAAATAGAAATGCAGTACCTCTCACCAAGGTGGGGAGGCCCACAGTCAGGTGCACGGTGTGCCTGTCTGTTCCCTCTGATGTCCAGGTGCTAACTGAGGACAAGCACCAATTCCAGGGGTTCTTTATCTTTAAACCAGAATTGGCCAAGATGGCCCTTCCAACAGAGGATGGCTTTAAATAGCTAATGGTCCTTGAGCAGCCTTTCAGACTCTGGGAAAATGGACACACAATCACCCACGTTCTCATACCTCTTAACAAGATTTAACTGGGAACAGCTGTGGGCCTGCGGAGCTTGGAACATGGGAACTCAGCTGCCAGGAGCCTCACCTTTAATCAGATCGTAAGCCCTGTTGATATCAAATTTGCGGGCACGGATGAAGCGGAGAAAGAAGGCCTCGTCCTTCCCCTTCACTTTCTCAGCCACCACCTTGCAGATATCCTCCCCCCCTTTGGCTCTCTCCTGGACAAGCTCCTGCAACTCTTTCACTGCAGATTCGCATCTCTCCGGCGTCTCATTCAGTTCGTCCTTGGCCTGCAGAGAGGAGGGGAGGGTAGCTTGGCAGTGGGCAAAGAGGAGGTACCTGGAGCGAGGCATTCTCCGTTTGCTCCTTCCTGGGAGAACCAGCACAAGCCCCTTCCCAGATAAGAACACAGGCCTGTCCAGCAGAACCACACCAAGGGTTATGGGGCCTGGGCCAGGTCTGATGTTGGGGCAAACAATTTGCATGGGAGCAGAAATAGGGGACCGTGTGTTGGGCATGTGAGTGGTCTTTCCCCTCTGTAATCCAACATTCAGCACCAGGGACCTATGGGAAACCCACAAGCTGACCATGAAATGGAAGAGGGTCTTGGCCCTGAGTCTCACGATGCCACTTCTGTGCTGAACAAGTCACTTGTCCTTACGATGCTGCGGACTGCAAATGTCCTTCCACCAAGGAGGCCTCTGGTTGGCATCACCTTGCAGACCTTTGTATGGGACCACCAACATTGGTGGCTTGCCACTCCGGGTCCAGCGGACCTTAGAGAAGGGCAGGTGAAACTTTTTCAACCCAAGGGCTGCATTCAATTGCAGAGACCCTCTTGGGGACCACATTTCAGTGGTGGGGGTGCCAAAGGAGGGAAAGGGATGGGATGAAATTTCTGCTACAAGACATGTTAATCCCTTAGGATAGCTGAGGGGAGGAAAACATGCAAAAGTTGGGAAGCCACCATTGAGTAATGATTGGGAAGAAGATGATGGGGCTGGGGACCCTGGACAAGCTGGATTTGTTGCACTACCTGAGGTTCAACATCCCTGCCCTAGAGAGAAAGGGGGGATGTTGGAGGGAAATGTTTTTCTTTGGGGGTATTGACCTATGATGACACATGCACATGTAGAATAGGAGTGCTACTTGCTGCAGATGATGTGAGCAGCTCTCTAACACATCTGGAAATTGCCAGATTAGGCCTCATGGAAAGCCTCATGGAAAGGCCTTGGCTCAGTGGCAAAGCACGACCTTCAGAAGAAGAAGGTCCTGGATTACTCTGCCAGATCAGCCTGGAGAAGATGCACCCCCTCCCCAGGTTTTGTTGGACTACATTTCCCATTATCCCTCACCACTGGCTATGTAGGTTAGCATTGATGGGAACTGCAGCCCAACAACAACTAGAGAGCATTACATCCCCCGCTTCTGAACAAAATGAACCAGTGGCCTCTCTCGGCAGCTTTCTGCAGGACCCCTCTTTGCCTCTGCTTGGATGTTTGGTGCCACCCAGTGGCCAAAGCTGGTCAGTGAGGTTCTCAAGGTGGAAGGGGCATGCTTAGTGATTGATAAAAGCTTACCCCGTGTGGAAGTAATTCACAGGCCTTTCCAAAGAGGATGCCACCCCGTGGCCCCATATGGCCAGAGGTAAAAGTGATCTATCTGCACCTCAATAGGCAACTGTCTACTCAACTCTCTACTTGCCTGCTTACAAACCATATATTCAAATCATAAAATGGACTGCAAGTGCAGTGGAAAAGCAGGTGATTCCAAAGTTGAGATGGGAAGCAAGGGGGCAGAAGCACCTCATCGGGGGCACAGTGTTCTCTAAGGCAGCAGTGGTCACACGTGTCCCCTGCTGTCATACTGCAATGAGTCACAATGCCTCCCCAACCTAAAAAAGGTGGTCTGCCAATGAATTTCAGCTGTGAATGAATACAGAAGGCCGAAGATGCCGAATGTTGCTTACATCCAAGCTAACTGTGCCAGCTTGGGCCCCGCAAAATAGCGGCAGACCACTTTTTGCCACCGCCACCACGTTTGACAGAACAGTGGTAGAATCAGAGACTACGGGGGACTCATGGGGAGGGGGCTGCACACAGTTGCCCACTCTTGCACCATAGAAGGCTCTCCAGCTGAGATATTCTACTCGTGGTGCCAGCACTAGGATTGAGGGCCATATCGCTTAGCAAGACCCTTTAAATGAAACCTCAAGAAGAGGGGACATCTTGATGGAGAATTCTATCTGGCGACTTTGGACACTGTTAGGGATTCCATGCAAAATGAAAGCCAGGATGGCCATTTATGCATTGCCAAAAAGAAGACTAAGGAGATCTAGTTGTGTGAAATTTGCGTATGGTAACTGATGCATACAGCTGCAAATTTAGAATTCTTATAAACAGAGGTACACAATATCTTAGAGATGTCAGTCTGCTGTCCATCTTCTCACCACTGAGGAGCTGCTTCAGGATAGAAAGGGCTTCCTTCTGCAAAGTAAGACATATGGCCAACCTAATACGAATGGTAATGATGGTAGGATGACTGTGTGATCTATTTTAAGGAGGACAATCCTTATTTGAAGGGCTGTTAGAAGATGCCCATTATCTCAGGGACTCCCTGTCTAGATCTGTTGTACAGAGAGTTCTGCTACAGGAGAGAATCTTGCAGCGCCTAAAAGACAAACACATTCATTCCATCATACCCTCTTGTGGATGATGACATGGACCATAAGCCATAGAGATATAGCAGAATAATGTGCTTTTCTGTAAGGTACCACAAGACTCCTTGCTGTTCTTGCTGCAATAGGAAATGGAAAGAAATCAGAGCAGGGGCCTTGACGTTGCCTGTCCATAGTGAACACCTGGACAGTAGACGAGACTGGTAAGCATATGGGTCAACTGGTCACAGATGGCCATCAGGGGCTGCATTTCCGTTTAAATGATAGCTATTCTTCCAAAATGAGTGTGCATGTGTAGAAATTAGCCCATCAAAATGTTAGGCAAATCTGTAGCCTTGTTTGTCCTCTTTTTTGGGGATGCATAAGAGGCTACCCTAAATGCTGTTTGGCTCCATTTTGCTAGTTTGGGGGGCCAACCAGATTGCCCCGCCACTCTCCAGAGCTGTGTGTAGGCCTTGAGTCCAGTATTTGGCCTTCTGGACCCTGCCCAGTGACTCCTACCTTTTGCAAGGTGTATGCTGGGATCTTCTCACACTTCCCGAAGACGTGGCCATGGTCCTTGGTGGTCAGGCGCTCAAGTTTGCTCCTCAGGGCTTGCTCCTCCTCTGAAACAACCCTAAACGTGCCAGTCTGGGGAGGGTGGGGAGTGGGGAAGCGAGATAGTGAGTTCCACATTAAGAAGTTTGCAGGGTCAGTGATTCTTGGGCCCAGACCTGAGACATTCTTCAGATATGCTAGCATAACACTGGAGGCACCCTTGATTAAAAAAAGATTCCAAATGTCTCAATCCTCATCAGGAGGGACAGGAACTTGAGGACCCAACCAGACATGTGTCAGGTTAATTAGATGAATGCTATGAATTAATGGAAACCCTTTTTGTTATTAGTTGAATAGGCATCCACTCCGATCATCTCCTGGCAAACAGATGGGGAAGAAATTGAGATAGTGACAGATTTTATTTTCCTGGGCTCCAAGATCACCGCAGATGGGGACTGCAGCCAAGAAATTAAAAGACGCTTGCTCCTGTGGAGGAAAGCTATGGCAAATCTAGACAGCACACTAAAAAGCAGAGACATCACCCTGCCAACAAAAGTGCGTATAGTCAAGGCTATGGTTTTCCCAGTTGCAATGTATGGCTGTGAAAGCTGGACCATAAGGAAGGCTGAGCACTGAAGAATTGAGGCCTTTGAATTATGGTGCTGAAGGAGACTCCTGCGAGTCCCTTGGACCGCAAGGCGATCAAACCAGTCAGTATTAGAGGAGATCAACCCTGACTGCTCTTTATAAGGCCAGATGCTGAAGATGAAACTCAAATACTTTGGCCACCTAATGAGAAGAACGGACTCACTGGAGAAGACCCTGATGCTAGGAACAATAGATGGCAAAAGGAGAAGGGGGCAGCAGAGAATGAGGTGGCTGGATGGATTCACTGAAGCAGTCGGCGTGAGCTTAAGTGGACTCCAGGGGATGGTGGAGGACAGGAAGGGGGTCGCGATGGGTCGGACATGACTTCGCGACTAACAACAACAACAAAAGCCACATGTGGAGGGAACCTGTGCAGCCTCGGGGTAGTGTGCATAACAAGGGAAGCATAACACTTCTCTGTCTGTGCCGTGGAAAAATGTTGCTTGGGATGCAAAGAGTAGCTTCAGCAGAGCTGGGCCATGAGGGCAGGACCGTTGCAGTGAGAGAAAGACAAAGCAAGTTAAACTCCTTGTCCTCACCCAGATTCGGCTCCATGTTTGTGAAGGCCTTTGGACAGGTCAGCTTCCCTGAGTCTCCTCATGCAGCAAGTCCTCCTTTTTACCACCTCAGCATCTTTCTATCCTTGTTACCACCTACTTGCCTGGCAGGCAAAGAGTTGGCAAGCTAGGAGGCCACAGAATCTCCTGCTCCTCCTCCTCACCACCTCCATCATCTTGGCCAGCGTGGACACCATGGGAAATTTAACAGGGCGGACAGTTTTCTATATCCATCTTTATATACAACTTGCCCTGGAGACGATTTGCTGAGCAAGCTTTGTCCAGCCACTCTTGAGAAGGAGGAAATTTCACTTAACATTAACAAGATTCACCATGATGCAATGCAAGTAGAAAGCAGTGGCAACTGGCAACCCAAATTCCTGCGTGTATTAATCATCCAGGGCACAACTTTAAGTGTCTTCTGAGAGAAGAATAAGTCCTGTTATCTCCCAGCATTTCCCAGTCAGTTATGCTGGGAGTTGTAGGACTCTTTTCTGCCTAGGGCATCTAGGACTGCATAACTATTGGCTTTTCAGCCAGTTCATTTCCTGCTCCACAAAATGTATTTTATCGAATGGTGGCTATTAATTCCAGGAGAACAAGGTGGGAGGGCCGAATTGGCATTCCACAGTGAGACCTGTTTGGGCTCAGGGCCTGCTAAGTGACTGTGGGTGCCCATTACTTCCCCCCGCCCCACCCCTGTCCTGCAAAAAGCAGACTGGAGCCAAGGATTCCCTTGTCTATTACCCACCATGGGAATAATCAGGAAAGTGGGGAACAGAACAGGGGAAGGAGCTGCAACTCAGCGGCAGACCATTCTTGTTACCTGTGGGAGGACCCATGTTCAGGCTGGAAAAGTACCCGCCTGAAGCCTGAGTGTCAACCAGACTGCACTAGCTGGATCAAAGGTTCAAGTCAGAACAAGGCCGCTTCCTAGGTTCTGATACGGCAGGATGGGTACTCACCACTGAAGCCATTTTTTCCGTCCGTTCCACACAGCCCCTGAAAGGCAGAATGCAGACCATTCCTGATTGAGACCTGTGCATGCTCAGCGCTGCAGAACGCTTAGGGTAGGGTGGCCATCTGTCCTCCTTCACAGAAGACAGTCCTCTCTTTGAAGGGCTCGTCAGTATGAGTCCAGTACACAGAACACACATGGCTAGATTTCCATTTAACACGCAGTGCCAATGTCTACATGTTCATCTCTCTGTATAAATTAGCAAATGCACTTACTATTCAGATCATGGTCTTCCTCCTTCATTTTTTTGAGAATTTATTTCTTTTCTTTTGCAGGGAGCCACTTATAAGTGGCTGAGATGAATTTCATTCTAAATGGGGAAGGGACAAAAGCCTGACAAGGACTCAGAGGGTGCCACCCATTTTATCCTGTTAGTCCTGTTAAATGGGGGAGGGGGAGGGGGGGTTAGGGTCACTTCTGCATAATCATACAAAGGAACTGGCTGCTATTCTTGTTTCGGCTAAAGAACATGTGCTCTGCACCCAAAAGATCCCAGGGCCCACCTGTGGCATCTGCAGGTAGGAAGCAGTGGAAGGACCCTTCCTCACTGAAGACCCCACAGTCTGTCAGATCAGCCAGTGCTGGATGGGATAGATGGACAACCCAACCTGGTAGAAAGCACCTTCCTGGGTTGTCCTAGCTTGAATGGATGGAGCCCGCCTTTCTGTGGAGTGCCAGCTCCAGGTTTTGGATGGCCTGTGGACAAGACGCCCTCAGTGGGCCCCTCCTTGAGTAAGTCTCCCTTTCCACCACCATCATGCCCAGCTGCTGCTGCTCGCAGCATTGCTACCACCTGCTTGCCTGGCAGCCAGCGGACACGCGGACTGGGGCATCTCCCATTCCTCCTCCTCTTCCTTACCACCACCACCACCACCACCACCACTGCCTGGGCCAGAGCGAAAGGTGGGTGAAGTATTAGGCTGCAAGGTGGAAGAGGAAGAACAGCTCCAGGTGCTTATGAAGGCATCCTTGTTAGACTGTGAGCCTAGGAAGGTGCCCAAAGGTGCTTTCCCTTGACGCTGGCAAAGGCAGGCATGCTCAGATAAGTTAGAAACGGAGGAGTTGAAGGAGATCAATAAGGTTATTCAGTAAGTCCAGCCCCGGGAGTGGGAATCCAAGGTGCTGCATTCAGCATGGCCCCCGCTGCACGAAGCAGTGGTGATGGTAGCAGGGCATGCTGAAGCAGGCGTGGGTGGAAGAGGCCCCAGTACTCACGGGAGAAGCTGGATGGTTTCCGACGGTCAGTGTGTGATCCTGCGGAGTCCTGCTCCAAAAAGGCAGCACAAGCACAAGAGCGGGCGAAGTCAGAAAGGGAGGAAACACAGGCAAAAGCTTTGTAGAGTCACCAGGTCGGGATTACACATCACAAGGCCATGCTCACAGCAGTGCTTTAATTAGGTCAGCACAAACCGGGCGAGGGGACCCTTTAAAAACTGCAAAATGCAAGAGAGAGATAGAGGGACAGCAAGTGGCCTTGGCTTGCAGAAGCACATGGGGGGGGGGGGGGCTGACGGGATTCTGGGACCGATTAGCCAAGTATAAAAGCTCCTTATTGTGTAACTGGGCCACACTCATTAGTGTAAAATACAGAGTACTAGGAAGGAATTTGGGGCGTGGAAATTGGGAGCAGGGAATGGGATGAAATGGAAGTGCACATGTTTGCATGGAGGAAGATGCAGTGTGGTCTGCATCAGAGGCAGGCCAGGCTGGACACCTGGGGGTGCACCCACAAGCCCCTGAGGTGGCTCCTCCACAGCAGCTGGCCTGCTCTGCAGCCTCTTGCTCTGGCCCAGAAGACAAGGGAGGGCAGGCAGAGGTGCTGGGTGCCCATGACATTCTCATGGGCTTCAGACCGGCCAGGCAAGCCTGTGGAAGTCATGATGGAGAGGAGGCAGGCCGCAGTGGGACTGTGAAGGAAACTGAGGCGGCAGGCCCATGGAGGGTGGCTTGTCCCAGGGCCTGGATGAGGGTGACTGGCAGAATACAGCACAGGTGTGCAAAAGGCAGATCTGGTAGAGGAAACTGGTAGATTTCTGGATGGTTTCCAGTGGCAGATTGGCCAGGATTTCTGACTCCCAGGTGTTTAGGAACAAGATGACGCCCACCTCTACCCTAAATTCTACTGCTGAAATGAAGATAGTAGTTTGGGGAGGTATGGAAGTATTTTCATTTTTTGTATTTTACTGTAAGTATGTTTGTGTAAGAAGGCTGAGCCCTGCTTCGTTCTCATTCTTAAAATCAGTTCTGGATCTCAGAATTATTAACATGTGTATCTTTTGCACCATCCTCTGCCTGGTGGATCTAGTAAAATGCAGAGTCGGTCCTGCCAGCATGAAGTCTGCCCAGTCCTAGGAAGAGATCGCACTGACCTCGGGAAAAGTGGTTTCCTGCTAGGGATGTGGGAGACTCCTGCTATAACAGATGTGGCGTAAGTAGCAGTGGGGATTGTGTGCCCTTCCAGCTGTTGTTGGACTGCATCTCCCATCAGCTCTAGCCATCATAGCCAATGGTGGAGGATAATGGGATTTATAGTCCAACAATTTTGCTTCAGCTAGCTCTGGATGAAGCAGTTCAGCTGTTTTAGTAAACACTAGAATTACCAAGAAGAAAAGCTTATTAATAAAGAATAATCCTTGATGACAATACTTACAATAAGAAGTGAGTTTAGTGCTCCTTGTTCAGGATTTCCAACTCTCCACTGGGAAGTGTAGCCTTCCAACCCATTTTAATGCCCATTCCCTGACCACAGCAGTTTGTTGGCATTGTGACAACCAAGCACACTCGATCCCCACTGAGCTGTTTCAGGGGTCTCCTCTCATTTGAGGTATTTTCCCCTGAAATACTTATTTGTATTTCTGCAAATCTCACTATTTCCCCAATCCTGTAAAAACTTTGTCTTGTAGTTAGGGTTGTGATGCTATTTTGGCTACTTAAGCAACACTGCTGTGGCCTGATAAGTGGAAATAGAAGGATGGATAATAAAGTTCTGGAGAATATTGTAGGGCCAAGCCCTGTGATTTCCTTCCTCTCATTAACCCCATTCACACAACACAACAAGACAGCATAATGGCTGATTGTGAGTTGTTTTTGAATCATAGGCTGTTGTGTTGTATGAAACCAACAATACAAGAAACTGTGGTTGGTTAATCATGAACAGCTCAACAACAAACCATGGGTCTTTTTGTGGGTTGTTTGTCTTTAACAAACCATTGATTGTTAGCAAAGTAGGGTTCATACAACAAGCCACAATTCATCAACAGCCCACACTCAACCCAAACTCTGGCTTGCTATGTATAGGAACCCAGCCTGTTCTGTTCTCCTGCACTGAGATGGGTCTTGTCATTGAACATAGAAACAAAGCAAGTCAGAAGTGACCTCCCAGGCCATCTAGCCTGACCCCTGGTTCCAGCTGGCTCTGTTCATGTAATGCCTAACATGTGGTTGTCCAATCTTTCCTTGAACACCATCAGTGATGGGGCCACAACCACATCCGTTGGAAGCCCATTCAGGGGTCTAACTGTCAGGAAGTACTTCCTGACATCCAGCCTGAAGCCTGGTTCTTTGAGCTTTGCCCCACTGGAATGCATCCTGCCCTCCACTGCAGGGAAGAACAGGTCATGGCCCTCCTCCACATGACATCCCCTCACAGATCTATAAGTTGCTAAAAGATCCCCTCAGAGTTTCCTCCCCTCCAGGCTGAAAAGACCTAGTTCCTCAATCTCTCCTCTTATGTCATCCCTCCCAACCCAGCTACCATTCTTGCAACTCTGCACTGAACCGATTCTAACCTAGTTATGTCTCTTAATGTGGAACCCAGAGCTGGATGCAATACTCCAGTTGTGGCTGCACCAGAGTCATGTAGAGTGGTATCATCACCTCCCTAGATCTGAAAACCACTCTTCTGGCTATACATCCAATGGTGGCATTTTCCTTCTTAACCACTGCGTCACACTGCTGGCTCATGTTCAGCCTGCTGTCGACAAGTACCCCAAAATCCCTTTCATAAGTGCTGCTCTCCAGCCACTTCTCCCCTACCCTGTACCCGTGACATCTATTCCTGTGTCCCAAGTGCCAGACCTTGCACTTATCCACATTGAATGCCATCCTGTTTTCCTCTGTCCACTTCCACAGCCTGTCCAGATCCTTCTGGATCTGGTTCACCTGTTCCTCAGTTGTGGCCACTGTCCCCACTTTCGTATCATCTGCAAATTTAGTCACCAAAGCTCAGGCTTCTGTGGAAAGCTTCAAAACTAAACTGTATGCTGCTGCAGAGCGGCCACATTGGTTAATCCCTGCTTCTTAAATTCAGCTTAAAATCATCTCATGGAACAAAGGCTTCCCCTTGTTTCTGGGTGCATATGGGGCTTGTCATTAATTATCAAAGGTACACGTGTGATCCATGATCCAGGAAGAAAAGAACAACTTGCATGGGGAATAATAAGAATGGTCTGTTCCTGGCTGCTCTTGAATGGGCCTTCTGTTTGAGTTCGTAACTGAAAAGTCACTCAAGGGTTATATTGGAGCAAACATTATGTAAATGACATGCCTAATGATGAGATTGTTCTTCAGACTGAGGCTGAATGAGGTCAAGGCAACAGCAGTCCAGGGAGTTGCAGGGTGCAGGTTACCCACTTATGCATCACCAAAAACCAGGGAAAGCACTATAAAAAATGGGGCAAAGGAAACACGGTGTTGCATAAAGTCTGGCTGTGCACACCCTATAGGTACAGATGCACGTTTGGAAGCATATCTCTCATTTAAATAGAAATGCAGTTCAGTTTCTGTGGAGCAGAAGGCAAGCGTAGCTGCCTGCCCAGTTTGCAACTGCTGATGGGCAACTTCGAATTTTTTGAGAGTTCTTTCAAACTGGAAATAACACTGGGCTCCCCTTCAGGCAACCTGCAGCCCTCCAGGCGTTTTGACATTAGCCAGCAAAGTGATGGTGAGGGATTGCGGGAGCTGTAACCAAAACATCTGGAGGGGCACAAGTCGCTCACTATTAAGATAGCAGATGCCTGCAAGCAGAGAACCCAGAGCAGAGAGCCCTCCTCTGTCAAGGAGAACACATGGCCACCCATTGCTGATATGGCTGGCGTTCATGACCGGCCGAATGGCAGGGCAGGGCGAGCCTGACAGAAAGACTGCTTATGAGGGATGCCTTCTATTTTTCTGACCTCTCTTCTCATAAATCACCGCCCCTATGATCGTCCCTGGTTTTGCCTTTTAGGGATTGTTGGTAACACCCTTTCCTTTCCCTCAGAAGAACAAATGCACCAGGCAACAGAGAGTTCTTTTTGATGCTTTATCGCAATAACTGGAGTTCCAGAATTTCCTTTCCCTTGCCAGCTGGCCAAGCACATGTTCACCTCCCATATTTATGCCCTTTCCCCAGCCGCTTCTTCCCTCCTCTTTTTCCCTCATTGGCCAGGGTACTGGGAGGTTACAGTCTTTTTCCTCCACCTATTCCATGCTGCTCCAATACCTGTTCTTCCCTCCCACTTTGTTCCTCCCAGGTGAATTATAATGAGCTTATTTCCTATGCAGGGTGTGTTTATGAATAGTCATGAGGTCACTGAGCAAGGGTCCTGCTATCTTGTCTATGTGCCAGTTCCCTCCTGCCATCTGATCCTGGCCGCCTCCTCCAATGGCTAAGCAATTTTTTGTGTTACATTCTTACTCTTCCTGTTTCCTTGTTTCAAATCATCCTTTCATCGCTATAAATGCTGTCCTGACTTCTCACATTCCTTTCCCAGGGTTCCACTTTCTTTCTCCAGTCTCTATAAATTGTATCTCTAGCTGTGGGGGAAGCCAATGCTGCTGCATGTTCCAGGTGTACTTGCATTGAAACTGAAGTGCCATGCAATTGCTCATTGCTTCCCTGTCTAAACAGTCAGCGGATTATACCCTAATATATTTTTTAAACATCTTATTCATTTATTACTTTTCTATACCACTCAATGGTCAAAGGTAGTGGCTCACAAGAATTAAAGCCATAAAACACATCATGGTAAAATATAGTAGAGATGTGAAACTCCAGTGTAAGATGCAAAAACACGTAACCTGTGAAATAGCCTCCAAACTGTTGTGCAGAAATTCCAGTCCATGAAAGCTCATACCAGGCTCCCTCGATCAGCACCTTCTAGATGTGTTGCCTCCAACTTCCATCCACCCATCAGTAGGGTATGTGTAGGCTTGCTGAGGATGATGGCTATTGTAGGCCAGTGCAAATGGAAAGCCACCTGCTTAAAGCAAGCAAATAATTAAGGTGAGTTTATGAACCACAGGGCTCTAGTTAGAGGCAGTGTTGTGTAGTGGTTATACTCCTGTGCACGGACTCAGTCCCCACTTGGCCATCAAGCTCACAGGGTGACTTCGGGTCAGTCCCTTGCTTTCACCCTAACCTACCTCACAGGATTTCTGTAAGGATAAGATGGAGAGCGGGAGGACCGTGCAAACTGCCCTGCGGAGGGCCTTCCAATTCAGGGGTGTAAATGTAACAGATAACTGATCACTGAGAGGCATCAGCTCTGGATGATCGGAGCTCGAAGCCACCGGCTGGAGCGGGGAGCGCCCGCAGGAACAAACCGGTCACAAAGACGTGCACTGAACTACGGAGGAGACCACGACACGCGCTCCGTTTCGGGAGCCACACTAAGGTGCACAAATCGCCTGGGCTCAGGCGGACGCGAAGCCCCTTCCGCGCTGCGCCACGGCACCGCCCTGCGCCTTTCCCGCCAGGCGAAGGAACCCGGAAGTTGCGAAGGGGGTCGCCTCTGCCGCCTATGGCAAAGGAAGTTGGTGCGAGAGGGCGGGCTCTGCTGCTCCGGGCAACGCCGAGCGGTTCCGGGCGGGAGATTCGATGCGCGGGAGGCTTGGAGGAGAGGGCGGCGCCGTGCTCGGGCGGGAGAAGGGGGCCGGCAGGCCGAGAAAAGGCCCCCCGGAGCACAGCGGAAGCCTGTAATGCGCGAGGGCTCGGGGAGGAGGCGCGGCGGGGCGGCGTCCCCACCCGTCACAGCGAGAGGGATTTCGGGGGCGAGAGGTCGCGGGGTCGTCCGCAAATACAAGGGAGGGGTCACTGGGAGCCCGGGGTGGAATGGCCAGGGTGAGAGGTAATTGATGCCCATGAGCCAAAGGTGACAGGGAACTTGCAGGGAAGGGGGGGATTCAAGGGTGCTTCTGAGCACATAATTGTTATTATTATATTTATATCCCCCCATTTTTCTTTTGAAGGAACTCTAGGCAGCTTGCACATTTCTCCTCCCCATCTCACTCGTATTATCACAACAGTCCTGGGTGGTAGGTCGGGCTGAGAGTCTGTGACTGGCCCGAAGTCACCCACTTGGCTCATCCATGTCTGAGTGGGTGACTAGATCACCTACGTTCCAGTCCACATTAACCGCTATACCACACTGGCTCTCAAGAAGAGTACCTTTTTAAAATCATGCATTTCATTCTCTATGCTGCTTTACCTTCAAAGAACAGTGAGCAATTTCCCTCTAGTCTTCATAAGAACACTGTGGGGTAGATTTGGCTGAGAGAGATTGGCCTAGTGAGCTTCGTAGTTGATGGGCCTGGAATCGAGGGTTCTGCCAGGCTTACCTGCTAAGTGCTATAAATACAGTAGCCCCTGATAGGAAGTGAAGGAGAGATGTGAATAAATCAAATGGCATTAGTAAAGTACTAATACCTGAGCATTCTTGTATTCAATTAGCAGGAACGTGCATTTACAGTAATGTTTTCAGAGAATTGTCATGTAATGTACTGTTAGTTTATGTTTCACCACATTTAGCCAATGTTTGTTGTTTTTGGCTGTATGTGCACATGTATATTTGTATGCATCTATCTACCTGTCTGTGGACAGGATCATACTTAGCTGAGGATAATGCTTCTGATGAAGCTGACTAGTTCTGTGAAATGGTGCATTCCAGGGGAGAGGGGAAAAACTTTCCTGTTCGATTCTGCTGGCTTGAATAAATAGGTCTTTAGTGGGCTGTAAGAAAATTAAGTTGCAGCTTCCTTTCTGTATTTCTTTATGAAACAATTTTGCTAATGTTATAGATCACAATAGAGAAAAAAAGTTCTTGCTGCCAATACTGTTATAATGGACCAGAAAATCCTGGTTCTAGCAGCAGATGAAAAATGGGAGCAACTTCAGATATGCTTGCAAAACCTGAAGAAAAATGAGGTGAGTGATTAATGTGATTCTCACACCAGTTCAATAATGAGATCAGTTGCTGTGTTTTTATTGTCTCTTGTTAATATTTTTTGTTTGTGTGTTTTTAACTTTTGTTAACTGCCCAGAGAGCCTCGGCTATTGGGTGGTATAAAAATGAAATAAATACGTTACTCTCATTCAGGACTGATTGTAAATCCTGTCCTAGAAAGCTTTCTAAAATTTGGGCTTGTGGGAAAGTTGTTCACAAATAACTAAAGCAACTATGAATGAGCTTGAAATTAATTTTGTGGTTGCACGTGCACAGGGGTATAAAGTGTACTTCAGAACACAATTGTATACCCATTTAAACAGAAATAGCTGCCACCTGGGAATGCTGGGGATTGTGGAATGACATATAAACTATAGGATTTTGCCCATTGTATTAGTGTATGGAAGTGAGTGGGTAGAATGTACTATTTTCATGAAATCAGATATAAAAGTTTAAAATGATGACAAATACATCTTGCAATGCCTTTCTTCTTGCTCCAGTTGAATGATCTGGTTACGAAGCATGCTCTGAGGGGAAAAGAAATTGGTGCTCTTCTGAGTGGGATCCTCAAAGGTACCAAGATATGACCTATAGCAGACTGACCCCTGAGCTGTCTTTCTTCAACTTTTCAGCCTATCTACTTATATAATGGTTGTGTATAATCAAACAGGTATATTAAGCAAGTGCACTAAGAACACAATTCTGTGCAGGTTTAAATATAGTTGCAAAGGCCTACAATTCAGTAAACATTTTAAAATGTCAAAACATAGGATTATGTTATAAATAATCCATATTTCTGGATGCTATTATTAGGAAAGCAGGGAGGCTTCAGTAATAAATTTATACTGTCTCTTGAATTAAGCCTAGTGATTGTTTTTTTCTATTCTTAGTATCCCTGGAATGTGCTAGCATCAAGTAATAGTAGACAGTTGAACCTTTTTTGGCCTGCAGATACAAAATGTGCAAAAGATAAGGGGACTGTTCAATTGGACTCATTTCTGTTGATGAGGGAATGTTCAAGGTTTTGAGTTGCCTAGAATGTTTTAGCCATCTAAATTGTATGAATGAAAGTTCAATGCCTATGAAAATGAACTCTCAAGAGAAACAGAAACAGAGTGAGTCAGAAGGGTCCTCCTGGGCCATCTAGTCTGACCCATTTTGCTGAAGTGCTGACTTGAAATGTTCATCCAAATAACCTACATTATTGTTTTAGTTTCTGCCTTTTATCCACTGTAGGTTCTCCCTGCTCCCAAGAGAATGGTATTGTGAGGAGGCTCAGTGTATACCATCATTGTATCCAGTTAGTGGAGTCAGGGGACCTTCATGTGGAGATCACGTCTGAGATTATAAGGCTGCTGATGTTAGAGGTAGGAAAAATTCATTCAGGTTAGAAGATGGTTCCCTTTCATTTCTAAGATACAAATTTATTGTCTTGAATTGTACAGCACACAGTTAATGCACTGCTCGTCTCTTACGCAGCCTCATCCTCTGCATGTCAATATAGCATAGAATGCCCATACTGTTTAATAGGACTTACTTGTCCTTTGACATCATCTCAATGCATTGCACATTAGTCTGCCTTCTTGTCAGAGAAAAAAAATGCCAGATTAATTTCTGTGCGAGAAAGTGCTGTGAAAGGCACTGCAGCAGGGTCAGGCTAAACATCTGGTAATGCTGTAAGGATGGTAATGCTTATGTGCATACTGATAATTCTCAAGATACTGTGCATGCTATGGCCATTTGAACATTTCAGAGCTTCATCTTATTATTGTTTCATATGACAGTAAGCTGGGGTTGGACAGCAGAAGGGAAGCAGACTCTGGCCTGAGGAGGGCAGCTGAGGGCAACTTGGGAGGCTGCATCCCCTGCTTCCCAGGAATAAGCTTGTGAAGCTTGCTCATCCATTTTCCAAAGGAGGAGCATTTGAAGGGGACTCTGCTAAAAGGACACTTGGTTCCATAGCCATCAATTTCTATTCAAGCAACAACAACAGCATGGGAAGCAGCCTGGTTTGAAGTGCATTCAAATGCTTGCTAGCAATTTGTCACCTTGTTTTGACATTGAAAAGTGGCTCTCCCTCTCCTTTCCTCCACTGCTCTCACTCACCTTTCCATTGTGTCTTTCTAGTTTGAAAGCCTGACATGGGGCTCATTTCTTTGAGCTGCTTTGTTAAACAATACTTTGCTGAAATACAGCAAAATGTGAGTGTGGTATTTCCCATGTTTGCCTAGGGAAGACCATTCTAGTATGCAAACGCCGCCACTGCTATTAACACAATTTTCATTGCCATCTTTGACTGGTATTTTGATAATTTTTTGGTATCTTGTTCCCTGTTTGTTAGGCTCATGAACTGCCAGGCCCTGCATTGGTTGACTTGGCTACTTTCTTTATTGAAGCTATCAAAAGGGACAGCTTGCTGAGTGGAAAATCTTTGGAGATATTTCCTACAGTTCTGACTGCTCTGGCTACATCTGAAGAAACTCTGGTTTATGGTACCAGTAAGTCCTTTTGTCCTCCCACCTGTCTTCCTCTTCCTGTGACTTGCAGCATCTGGATTAACAAATACATAAATGTATTGTGTGTGTTCTCTTTCTTCTCTTTTATTTGCCCCCATTTCAGGTGAGCTAAGTGGTGAAGAGTTTAAGAAACAGCTGATCAATCGACTTTGCTCAAGCAGGTAGGCATGTCTTTGTCAGGTCATGTTTAGTTCTGTGCTTTGCTTGAGATTGGTTCACAGTGCAAGAGCTGGGGTTTTTTTTTTACTTCCCTTAGCCATGCTTGAGAGGAAGGGTGCAGAACTGCAGGCCAGTACAGCCTTCCTTATCTCTGCAGATAGTCATACTCCCTTCGCCCGAATTGTTTGTTGATTTCTTGCATTTTGTGCATCCCCCCCGCACCTTCAAAGAGGCTGAGATGCCTCTCCTAAAAGTTAGTTACTAGCAGGAAGAGCTTTCAACTAAAAAGATGCTTTAAAAATTAGCTCTACCCTCTTTGCCTTTAGGTCTTCCCATGATTAGAATGTGTCCCCTGAGGGGGTCTTCAAAATGGAATTTGGCTTTTGTAATGAAAGTGTTATGACATCCCCATTTTAAATTCAAATACTAAGCTCTAAATGTACTGGAGCAGGGACTTGCGAGAACCAACACTTTATTTGCTTAAACATCATGTACAGTATATGGATGGAGCTTTGTGTTATTTAAAATTTATAAGATTTAAAATAAACACTAGTTCTGACAATGGCTATCCTTGTAATCGATGAATGAGGGTGCAGCTTCTGTACTAGAGTTTACATTTGTAACTTCCTTCTTTGAATAGCTCTTTGTTCTAAAAAGTGATCCATGCATACTTCTAATTGTTTCAGGCAAAATTATTAATTGAATTCTGGATGGGTTAGTATTTTGTTGGCCTGAGCTTTTGCAGACCAGAATCCACACGCACAAAGCATGACGTATTGCTTAGGCTTTAAGGATGCATAAGGCTTTGTTTATGCTGTAGCAATACTAATGTAATTAGACTCTTCCCCCTCCAAGCAATTTGCCTTCTGATTTGGAAGTCTCTGACTGATTCTTATTTGGGCAGGTGGGGTCATCATCATGTGATACATCTCACTTCTATGTTCAGGTAACCAACTAATGTCTATGGTTTACTTGCGTTTTCTTTGGGAATTGCTTGTAGAGAAATGGGAAGAGAAGCAGTGACTCCTCATTTACAAGCCATGCCTTCGCTCTGCAAGGGGTTTTAGTTGGCTAGGCATTCTTTAAGGGAAGAAGGTTCTGGACTGAAGGATTCAAGGCCATGCCATTTTGGAATGATCCAAGAATTAGTGATGGCCTTTGCATCACTGACTGAGTCAGCTAGTGTGGTGGGAGGGAGGCATGAACAGACTTCTCCAAGCTGGGGCCCTCCAGATGTGTTGTAAATCAACCCCCACCAACCCCAGCATGACCAAGGATGATGGAAGATGTAGTCCAGTGCATCTGGAGGATGCAGGATGATGAGGCATGAATAGTCATAGTGGTCTAAATTTTGTTCCTCTTCTTGGAGTGCGACATAAGGCTACTGTGGGAGAGGTTAGAATGAGACCAGGACCAGGGGGCTGTATGTTGATGCCCCCACTCAGCCATTAAGTTCATTGGGGTACTTTGGGCTAGTCACTGTATCTCAGCTGAATCTGTGTTACTGTAATTATTGAATGAAGGCTGTCCTGAACAATGTATGCTGTTTTGAACTGCTTTGGAGGAGAGGCAAAATATAAATGCAATTTTTAAAAAAGTAAAAATATTAGCTGGCTTTCATAATCTGGTGTCTGTGGCACAGGCACTTCTTTGCCAATGATTCAGAAACCAAGGAACTGCACAGCCAGGTAGTTCTCTGGCCCCTTTTTTGCATCTCTTTATTGTGGGATTCTTGTTGTTGATGTTGCTCAGAATCTAAATGTGCACTTGCCTTCTGAAAGGTCTCAATATATGAATTAAAGGGATATAGCCTTTTTTTTTTGGTTGCATCCAGGGATGTCCCACTGAGTGTGGAAGAGCTGCAGTTTGTGGTGGAAAAGGTCCTAAGAATGTTCCCTAAGTTAGACCTGCAGGAAATCCCTCCTTTAATTTATCAGCTGCTGTTGCTTTCTTCAAAGGTAATGCTTCTGGGGAAACTGGTCAAGCATCCCAGATTTCAAAACCAGGAATATGCCATGAGCATGCAATAGCCTTTGTGGGTGGGCTCTGATGGGCATCTCAGCAAATTTGCGCATAACAAGTCTCAGTTGGTCTAAGTTTGAATGGCTACCTGCAGTCTAAGCAGCTACAAAGCAAATTTAGCTTTAGAGGGGGGGGGGGGGGGGGAGAGAGAGAAGTTCAAACATCTCTTCCACAAGGCTTTTATTGCCTTCTCTTGAAACAAATGCTGCTTCCCATGTGCCCACCACTTCTGTTTTCACTCTGCAACACTATGAATGTCTTTTGTAAGTTGCTGGGTGTGTCATCTGACTCCTGATCACTGGGTTGTTTAGGGACTAAACAATCCATCTGTTAACCCAACAACAAACCATACTTGTTTAACCTCTAAACAACCCAGTGCTTCAGTTTTATACAGCATGTTAGCAGCCTATGAAGGAAGCACTTATGGGTTGCTGAGTAAAAGTAGAAGTAGGAGGCAGTACAGCCGGCCTCCTGCTCATCCCTGACATCCCATAGACGGTTTAACCTGTGGGCTATCATGTTATGCAAAATGACCTTTAGAGCAAACAACTGAAATCAATGAGATTCTGGTTAGTCCTGACTAACTTAAGTCCCATTGATTTGATTTGTTTCCTCTAAGTGTGACTTAAGTCTGGAACCAACTAATATGCTTTATTATTGTAGCAATTTCTATATTTCCCATCTTATCTTTCAGGGTAGCAAGAAAAACATTTTGGAAGGAATAATCAGCTTTTTCAACCAGATGGATAAAAAGCAAAAAGAAGAGCAGAGAGATTCAGAGTGAGTCATTCCTCATATTCAATCTTTCTGCTGTGATACTTCTTACTCTCTCTGTTAGGGGGGACCTCTACTTTTGGGGCAAATGTGGTGCAGTGACTTTTGTAAAAATTGCTGCATTTTGCCACCGTGTTTATATCTTGGCCTTTCTGTAACCAATTTTTTTAGGTCAATGGACCTTGAGGAAGCTACAATGCCCTTAGACCAACTTCGTCATGTTGAAGGCACCATCATTCTGCACATAGTGCTGGGTATTAATCTAGACCAGGATTTAGGAAAGGAGTTAATCAAATACTTAAAGGTATGTCAAATGCAGAACAAAGCATGTTGTGGTTAGAGTACTGTACTGGGATCTGGGAGATCCAAGTTCTATTCCCTACTTGGCCACAAAGATTACTGGGTGACTTCGGGCCAGTGACTCACTCTTGGCATAATCTTTCTGACAGGGTTGTTGTAAGGATAAGAATAAGAAGAGGAGGATTATGTAAACCGCCTTGAGTTCCTTATAAATAAAGCTGACAATGAGCTAATGGTTGACATGGCAGAAAGAACAATGTTAGAGCTAATCTCCTTACCAAAATGAGATTTATAGTTAACCTGTGTTGATGAGGGAATCACAGATTGTAACTAGTGCCATGGAATATATTTTTCTGACGTAATATAATTTGACTTTGGGATACCAGGAGCAGCTCTTTATGTTTCACGCAACATGAGAATTCAATGGCCTCTTACCTGCTTTAACCCCTTTTCCACTTGATGATGTGGCTGCTGCCATCTTCATTTCTCCCACTTTCGTGAAAGCAATGTGCTCTGTAATGGTATTTTTGCCTTTGTGCACATACAGATAATTTACAGAAAATCAAAAGAAGATGGACTGCCCTGCCCAGCCTCCAATGTTCCCACAATGCAAAACCATCTCCTGCAGAACAGGGAGAGAGGGCTACCATTAGCGTTGTTCCTCTCTGACAGATTGCTTATGTTCTGGGAAGATGGCCTTTCTCCCTCACAGACCTTTCAGTGAAGGTTTTAAATCTGGGAGGGAGAAAGGGAGCCAGTGCTTGCAGATAACATCCATACTATCAGCATGGAGAACAAGTGCATGCTCCCATACCTGGGCTTCCTAGATATAAGAGTTTTAGCTTCTTAAACTATGGATTAGGAGGCCTGGGATGTGTATTGGGCATAGCCACTTCTCCCCTCCACTCTTGGCATGCCAACTTTGGCACGGCAACCCTGCTCCCTTTAGCCTTCTGTTCCCTGTTACATCTTAAATAGGTAACTGTTCTTTGTTGTTGGGTTATTAGTCAAAATCCTAAACCACTGTTTGATTCATATGGGTAACCTGGGATTAAACTACAGTTCCTCGTTTTGGATGATGAGGAAGTGTGGTTTTAAAGAGACCAGGACTGCAGTGCTTCAGGTGGTATGTTAGGGAATGGGGGAGTGCTGGAGCCCAGTGCTCATTCCCAACAGAATAAATTAGGGTTTGTTGTGACAATGTCTTCATGCAAGAGAGATGTGCACAAAACAAAAACAAACAGCCACCCCTGCTGTGTTTGTTCAGCCAGGCAAATGAGGCAGTTTCTGAACTTGTGCCCTCTTTCTGCCTCTCTGTAAACTAGAGACAAAGGAAAGCAGCTTCCAGCTCTGTTGCATTTGCCCAGCCATGAGAGTGACACAGTCCCTTGCAACATCTTACCAGTTGCCTGCATGCAGGTTTTCCCAAATGGACATTCATTTGTGCATGTGAACAGGTTCTGTTCCCCAGTCATCTCCATTTCATTGACCTGTTGGAGAAAAAGGCATTTAGGGTTTAGGAGTCCAGAGGAAGGTTGAAAATATTTTGAGGACTTCTGATATAGAACAAATGGGAACACTTTAAAAAAAAATAAGTGTTGAGTTCCAATTGAAACAAGGCCAACTCCCAGAACTGTCTGTCTGAGCGGCCATCTGGCTATGAAACCAGTTTTATTCTATGTGCATGAAATACCTTCTCGTGCCTGTTCAATCTTGTATACCTTCGAAAGTGCCTCTGCACGTGTCTTTTTGGTTTGTGCAATGAACAGGTACAGGAACAGGTACGGAAGAGCTCAGTTGCAGAGCACAGTCGCTTGGAAGGTCTCAGGCCGATCTATGGTATCTTCAGAGAGATCTGGGAAAGGTCCCTGTTTCAAATTCTGGAGAACTGATGCCAGTCAGTGTTGAAAGTACTGAGGTAACTGAATCAAGGGTGCAAGTCAGCACATGGCACTTCCCTTTGAAATAAATACTGAGACAACAGTTCAGTGATAAGGTTGCAAAGGGGGAAAGCATGTGTCTGAAATTATTCTGAATTTATATTACAAATATATTGCAAATGAAACAGTCTTGATGCAGAATAGAACATCTCATAAATGCTGTTGTTGGTTGTTGTAGATAGAGCAGCAAGGGGATCCTAGCCAGGCCCTGTGTCCCTTCAGTGTAACCATTTTACTCTCAATGACCAGAATACACCGATTTAGAGAGCAGGTATGTCTTCCTTTCTCAATTTTGACTGAATCAGTGAATTGATTTTAATGATTGTAAGCCATCCCGAGATGCTATGCATAAGGGATGGCATATAAAAGTTTTAAATAAAATAAATCAATTGTAAATTTTGTGTGCTGATTGAGTTATCCAAAGTCATCTACTAAAGCTTGCAGTGTGCTTGGTCTACAACCCCCACAACTGTGGAAACTGAACAAGGACTGTCCATATCACGTACTCATTTTTGTGCTTCAGGTGTTTGACTTTCTGAAAAGTTCAATTATGAGAAGCTTCAAGGACAAGCAGTTCATTCAGGGCTCCAAGTTCCTTCAGGATATGTCTCCTTTACAGTACGACATAGGTGCCATGTTTTTAGAAGTTGTGGCAAACAGGTGAGTTGCTCCAACCTGAGAGCAGAGAGCTGTTAATGGAATACCTCTTCTTCTCCTACCTAATGCTTGCTTCATGTAGCTTTCCTTTTAACATACGCAGATACTATGCAGATACTATTAACTACTGTTGACTTTGCACAGGTGCCAGTTCTGCCTATGTCCAGGAATGGAAAAGAAAATTAGAAGTATAGATGCCGTACTCTTTATTATTTTCTGCTTTCTTATTCTAATGTTTCCATCCAGTGTGTATGGCTGGGATCATGTGATACAGGGCCTCGTGGAGCTTGGATTCATATTGATGGACTCCTATGGGTCAAAAAGACCTTTTGGAGGCAAAGCCACAGAAACTAACCATGGGCTTTCCAAAACTCCAGCCCAGCAGGCATGTAAGTTAGGAGCTGACATCTTATTGGAAATTTTCAAGGTAAGGGAAAGTCAGTGTGTGTTTTTACAGGTAAACAGTTTTGTGATTTCTTTTTTTTTCCTTGCTGGTGCTGTTTTCTCAGGCACAGTCTTTTTTCCTCTCAGTTTGAAATAGGAGTGAATTAACATTGGCACTGTGGTTTTCTTTCTTGCATGTATGCTTCCAAAGTGTGTCAGAGAAAGAAATGTCCACCCCTAGAAACCCAGCTTTTGTGTGTATGAAATGAACTAAGAGCACAGTAGCATCATGCAGAAATGTATTTATTTTACAATGTACAAACCACTTCATTCAACGTCAACAATCAAGACAGTTTTATTTATTTCATTTTTATACTGCCCAATAGCTGAGGCTCTCTTGAGTAACAAAAGGTAAAATTAAACAAATGTTAAGACGCACAGATTAATTTAAAAATCAGATAAAACCTTAACAGCAATTGCGATGCTGTGATTCAGCCTAGAAGCGTGGCAGTGGTACAAAATAAAATGGAATACATAAAAACAAAGTTAAATGGTTAAACTATTTAAAAAACTGGGAAAATAAAGAGATCTTTACTTGGTGACAAAAAGAATACAAAGAGGGTGCCAGGCACACCTCTTTGGGAAGCTCATTCCAAAACTGGGGTGTCAGAGCTGAAAAGGTCCTAGAATCATAGAATAGCAGAGTTGGAAGGGGCCATGAAGGCCATCGAGTCCAACCCCCTGTTGTGGCAGGACACCATGTCACACCATCCCACTGAGGTCATCTCCAGGGGTCCTCCTCCTGATAGCCACCCACCTTACTTCTTTTGGAAAGGACTCCTGGAGAAGGTCCCCTGAAAATGACCTCAGGTTCTCATACATATGGAGAGGGAGCCATTCTTCAGATAATCTGGCCCCAAGCTGTTTAGGGCTTTGAATGTTAGTACTAGCTGATAAAAGGAGCTCTGTGCCACAGAGTCCACTGGTGCCTCAAGTGTCAACTCTGAGTCCAGAAGCACTCCTAAACTACAAACCTTGTTCTTCAGGGGGAGTACATCCCTCTTCAGAACAGGTTGAATATCCCCTAACCACCCACCAACAGCACCCCTGTCTTGTCTGGATTGAGCTCAGTTTGTTGGGCCCCATCCAAACCATTACTGTGCACAGACAAGGATTCAGAGTGGCCACAGCCTCATCTGGGTTTGATGATAAAGAGAGGTAGAGCTCCGTGTCATCTGCATACTGCTGACACCTCAGTTCATACCTCCAGATAACCCCTCCAGCAGTTTCATGTACATATATGTTAAATAGCATAGGGGATAAAATAGAAACCTGCAGTATTTCCTGGCATAACTGCCATGGCACAGAGCAATAATCCCTCAGCACCACCTTCTGGAATTGGCAGGTCAAGTCGAAGTGGAACCACTGCAATGCAGTGCCTCCTGCTCCTAGCCCAGCCAACCTGTCCAGGAGGATACCATGTTTGATGGTGTTGGAAGCAAGTGAAGGGTCCAGGAGACTCAACAGGGTCACAGTCCCCCTGTTTTTCTCCTAATAAATGCCATCCCACCAGCCAACCAAGACAGTTTCCACTCTAACACCAGGTCTGAAGCTTGATTGAAATGGATCTAGATAATCTGTTTCATTCAAGAGTGTCCGGAACTGTTTGGTCACCACCTGCTCAAGCACCTTACTAATGGAGGGGAAGGGGATGTTGGGCTCTGGCCTGTAGTTATTAACTTCCTCTTGGTCCAGGTTAGGCTTTTTCAGGAGTGGCTTAATTGCAGTAAAGCTGTCATCTGAAGCTGGTCAAAAGTGCTCTGTGCCACTCTGCCTTCTGCTGTATGTGAAAGCTGTTTGGAAGCTTCAAGGGGTACAGAGCTGGGTTGCTGGAACTCTGATTGGTATATCTAGATTGAGCCCGGTGACAAGGATGTGTGTATCTGCTCCTCTAGTGGGAAGGCAGCCTCATCCAGAACAGGCTGTGCACAAACTCCCTGCACTCGGAAACCACACTTCCTCCCTCTTATCAGGACTGAGCCCTCACCTCACCTAACAGCTTCATATAAATGTTAAAGAGTATGCATGCAGCGTGAAACTTTGTGGTGTTTACAGCACCAAATGCTATAGAATCTAGCATAGATTTCCCAATACTTTCTGAAACAAAACTTGCAGGTAGGAGTGGAACCATTCTACCTCCAAGCTCCCCAGGGCTGGTGAAGCAAGATACTCCGGGTTGGTGGCATCAAAGGAGAAGCAGAAACACCCTCCTTCTGCCCCTTTATATCAGGGTGACTAAGGCTGTTTTGATGTCAAACCCAGGCTGAGAGGGGTCCGTGCATTTGCGTCATCCAAGAGTTCCTAAAGTTGGACTGCCAATGCTCCCTTGAATAACATGCCAAAAAGCAGGATATTTTCAATAGAGCAATAGTTGTGGATATATTTCAGGTCTGATTTGCAGTTGAGAGTAGGTAATCCTGCTGTTGCACCTGCTTCAGAGCCTGGATGCTCCATTCTCTTATCAGTGGAGGATGGTATCCTGGTAAGACATGCTGCTTCCAGAACCCCAGGGACAGAGCTGTATTAGCCATAGCAGTAGCTTTGAGAATAAACTTTTCATGGGCAGGTAAATCTGCAAATCTGCTGCAACCTCAAATGTAGACCTCTGTGCATATTTCATTGAACTCCCAAAAATATGTGAGCAAAATCTTGCTTTTTTTTTTTTTAATGAAATGCCTTGTCTCCTTCCAGGTCCATGAGCGCATCAGAAGTGAAATATTGGAGCAGGTTCTGAACAGAGTCATTACAAATGCTGGTTCACCTATCAGTAATTTCCTAGGTAACAAAGCAATAGTGCTTGCAATAAAAAACTTGGGCCTGAACAATTAATGAAACACCACTTTGGTGTCCTGTCTGTTTGTTTCAAATTATAGCTTTTCCTCTTTCCAGAGCCATAACTATTGATCTTTACTGACAAGCTGTTTAAATGAGGAGTGCTAGCTATTATTTTATTTTATTTGTTTAAAGCTTTTATATACTGTCCAACTACTAAAGTCTCAGGACAGTCTTACAATAAAAACAGAGTAAAATGAAAATAAGCACAGTATCTGAATAATACGAATAAAACCCACTTTAAAACTTTGTCAAACATAAAAATAATGGGAAAATAAAAAGATTTTAGCCTGGCAACAAAAGGAATAAGTGTCGGTGCCACGCGAACCTCTCTGGGGTGCACATTCCACAACCGGAATGCTACCAGAGAGAAGGCCCTTCTCCAGGTAGCCACTCTCCTGATCTCCTTCAAGGAAGGCTCCTGAAGAAGGACTTCCACCCCAGATCTTAAGGGGTGGATAGGCATGTTGGGAAGGAGATGCTTCTTCGGATATCCAGGTCCTAAGCCGTTTAGGGCTGTATACGTCATCACCAGCACCTTAAATTGGGCCTGGACTTCAATTGGTAGCCAGTGTAGATGGTAACGGACCAGCATTATATGTGCATACCTGCTGGTCCCTGTTAACATACTGGTAGCTCTATTCTGAACTAACTGAAGTACCCAGACCGTCTTCAAGGGTAGTCTCATGTAGAACAGGAAGTTACCAGAACATGGGTCACTGTTGCAGGCACTGCTCATGCAGGTAAGGGCGCAGTTGATGAATCAGCCAAAGCTGAAGGAAAGCACTCCTAGCCACTGTTGCCCCCTGAGACTCCAGTGACAGCTCTGGGTCAAGCACTCCCAAACTGCGGACACTGTCCTTTAGGAGAAGTGCAACCGCGTCCAGAACAGGGCTGAAATCACTCACCTGGCAGGCTGAACTGCCTACCAACAGTACCTCCGTCTTGTCTGGATTAAGCCTCAATTTGTTGGCCCTCATCCAGCCTACTTAAGGACAGCCACTGCCTCACCTGGATTAGATGTAAAAGAGAGGTGGAGCTGGGTGTCATCTGTGTACTGATAACTCTGCAGCCCAAACCCCTGAACGACCTCTCCCAGTGGTTTCATGTAGATATTGAAGAGCATAGGGGATAAAATGGAACCCTGCAGAACGCCATGGCAAAGCTGCCATTGCGCAGAGCCACAATCCCCCAGCACGACCTGAAAGCGGCCCATCAGGTAGGAGTGGAACCACTGCAAAGCAGTGCCTCCAACTCCCAACCCAGCCACTCTATCCAGAAGAATACCATGGTTGATGGTACCAAAAGCCGCTGAGAGGTCTGGGAGAACGAACAGGGATGTACTCCCCCTGTCCCTCTCCCTGCACAGGTCATCATACAGAGCAACCAAGGCAGTTTCAGTTCCATAGTCAGGCCTGAAATCAGACTGAAATGGGGCCAGATGTTCAGGTTCCTCCAAGAGGGCCTGGAGTTGCCCTGCCACCACCCTCTTGAGCACCTTGCCCAAAAACGGGATATTAGCCACCGGTCTATAGTTGGTGGCTATCTCTTCTGGATGGCCTGATCACCACCTCCTTCAAAGGAATCTAACCCTCTCAGAGGTATAAATAATGTTGTTTTAAATATAAATTAAAGATAAATGTTGTTAAGTGAATCAATAAGTTCAAGTATTAGATAGAATGTGTACCATTGTAGTTGTTTTATAAATATATGACTTATCTTTCTATTTGTATCAATGTCAAAGGTAGTTTATATAAAGTTGTAACAAAATCAAATAGACCAGTACACTACCAAAACTAAAAAGCAACAGTTTACAAATAGCTAGAGACTATATGCAGACATATAGTCTCTAGCTAATTAGAGCCTGGCAAAGGCCTAGTAAATTGGATAGTTTTTACCTGGGTATCAGTGAAGATTGTTTAATAATTAATTTTGCAAATATGTTGCATCTATGGAGGGTAGGGGGAATTGAAACCCATCTGGCTATGTTTCAGTGGTGGGTAGGACCAGAAAAGGGTTGATTGGGGCCCCAAAATAGCGTGTTTTGCCTTTAAGAGTGTTCCTGCCAGTAAATATACCTGGCAGGTATTCCAAACATTTAGAATGGGCGGGAAAACTGCACAATAGCCAGGAAACCTAGAAATGATTGGTGATTAGTGAAATGTTGTGAGTCATCTGCATAATCCCAGGAGACTGGATTTCCTCCAGGCCTGAAATTCTGCACCCCTGCTTTAGTATTTCCTCTCTCAGGCTTCTGACAGTTGAACCTTTTTTTCCTTCTGACTTCATTGTAAATTACATCTCTTCTTGTTAATCTTGTTTCAGATCTGTTGTCCAGTATTATCATCTCTGCACCACTTTTTCTTCAGAACTCTTCCTCCAAAATCACAGAAGCCTTTGATCATTTTTCATTCCTGCCCCTTGACACAGTGCAAGGGCTTCTTAAGGCTGTACAGGTAAGGTCATTTGGTTTTCTATTAACTTATAGTAGTATATCAGCTTAAAATCAGAAGATATATAAAGAAGAGTATATTAAAGTAATTATAAGTAAAATGCACTTACTCTTAGATTATCTTATTAATTAAAACATTAATCTTTCTGTTTTTTTAAAGTTCATGGAGGTTTTATTAGCCATCCATTCAAACAACTATAAACAATTAGAAGCATGTGCTAAAACATTTAAATTAACAGATTGGGAAGTTTAAACAATTCATCAGGTAAGAGGAATTTGTTTCCAGAAAACAAATGTCTTTGCCCAGTTGCAGTGGGCCATTAGAGACAGAGGGAGAAAGGTTCCTTCTGGCAAGCAGTCTAGGCAATGCCCAGAGAAGCCCTGCATGTTTCAATCAGCCTTGTGTTTAGGGTCAGGGAAAAGTCCAAGCATTGCAAGAGGGATCGTAGTGTTGCTCCAATGGATGCTAGCACTGGCTTGAGAGCTGGAACCCTACCCATTTCTTCCTACAAACCATTTTGCAACTTCTAAGAGCTGTTGCCTGCTATTCTCCAAATTAAACTTAGAGGCACTTTATTCTTGCAGTCAAAACCAGTTTTTATTAGTATTAGTGGCCTCCCATCAAACACCTGGGCAGATTACAAAACAAGAAGTATAATATTAAAGTAAGATGATAGTAAAAATTCAAGGAGAGTAGATAGCCTTATTAACATTATTAAAAGGTAGGGTAGTCAGGATTAACTTAATACCCATTGTTTTCAGTGGGTCTTCTCCAAGTATGACTAAATTTGGATCCAGTGCAATATTAACTTACAAGGTAAAAATGAAAAAACAAAACACTGAAACAACGCTTTAAAAGTTTTCTTTCTGTAGATTTTGCAGCGAAGTAGAAGATACAATCAAATAGCTCAAGTTACAAAACAAAGCAGCTTACAGATTCTTTTTTGTTTAAGACACTAATTGTATAATCTTGGAAAACAGAGGAAGTACCAGATGACTGGAGAAAGGCTAACGTCCCTATCTTCCAAGGGCGGGGGGCGGGGGCGGAGAGATGACCCTGGGAACTACAGACCAATGAGTCTGACATCAATCCCTGGAAAAATTCTGGAGCAAATCATTAAAAATCCATCTGGAAACATCTTGAAGAAAATGCAGCGATTAATAGAAGCCAGCATGGATTTATCAAAAATAAATCCTGACAGACTAATTTAATCTCATTTTTGACTGACTAACCTCCCAAATGGACAGAGAGAACACTGTGGCTGCTAAATTGGACAGAAAGCATGCTCATCAGTAGCACCTTCTCAAAATGGATGGAGGTAACCAATGGGGTGCTGCAGGGTTCAGTCCTCTTCATCTTTGTTAATGATTTAGATGAGAAAGTACAAGGAAAGATAATTAGATTTGCAGATCATAAAAAACTGGGTAGGATGGCAAACACCTAGAAAACAGAATGAAGATCCGGAATGAATAAATCAGTGTTCTTGATAAACTTGAACACTGGACTGAAAACAGCACAATGAAATTCAATAAGGATAAGTGCCAAATCCTCCACCTAGAAAAAAGAAACCAAATGCATTGATACAAGATGGGGAATGCGTGGCTCAACAGAACTGAAAAAGATAAAGACCTTGGAGTTCCTGTGGATAACAGGCTAAATATGAGCCAGAAATGCAATACAGCTGCAAAAGGGGCAAATGCTATTTTGGGATACATTAACAAAAGTATTACTTCCAAATCATGGAAGTAATACTTTTGTTAATATATTCCAAAATAGCATTAGTAGTAGTAGTTCCCCTATACTCCTCACAGTCAGACTTCATTTGGAATACTGTGTCCTGTTCTGGGCACCAAGATTTAAGAAAGTTGCAGAAAAATTAGAAATGGTCCAGAGGAGGGCAACAATAATTGTCCAGGGTTTGGAAACACTGCCCTTTGAGGAGAGACTATGAGAACTGGGCATGTTCAGCCTTGAGAAGAGAAGACTGAGGGGCGCATGATATCCCTATATAAGTACTTCAAAGGCTGCCACAAAGAGGAAGGTCAAGATCTCTTCTCACTGATACCTGAGTGTAGGCCATGCATTAATCAAGTCAAGTTGCAACAGCCCAGGTTCAGGCTATATATCAGGAAGTTTCCTCAGTGTCAGAGCAATATGACAGTGGAAGCAGTTGCCCAGAAAGGTGCTGGGCTCTCCCACACTAGAGACATTCAAAAAGAAACTGGACTCTGGGTGGGATGAGTTGAGTCCTGCAACAGGAGCGGTTGGACCTGATGGGCTTCATGGTCCCTTCCAACTCTACTGTTCTGTGATTCTATGATCTTTTCTGTGGGTGACTACTCAGGCCTCACAGTAGACTGTGCCTTTCTTGTGGCCTACGAGAAGTTCTCCTGTGGCCCATAGTGTGGTTATGCTAAAACAATGTCCTTCCTTGCTTTGCCTTCTTGGCTTTCCTACTGCTATTGCTCCTTTAGAGAAATTCCTTGTTGACTGAAACTGCTGAGTGTTGGAATAATGTGCTTTTTTTATTCCCAGCCCCTTCTCAAAATAAGCATGTCTATGAGGGACTCCCTGATCCTTGTTCTTCGCAAATCAATGTTCTCTGGGTAAGTTGGTATTTTTGAAATATATACATTTCCAGAATGAACATTCTCCTGAGGCCTGTGATTTTTTCCCGCTCCCTTTTTTTCTTAATTTGTGATTAAAAACTTTCATCACTCTGCCAAAATCTCTTAGGTCTCAGAAAATCAAGGTGTCTTTTTGGGAGATAGCTCTCAATGTTAATTTATTGACTTTTAAGGCAGAATGCAGTTTTTCTATACATTTTAGCAAAACAAAACTGTAGATGTGCCCCGTGGAAAGTTCAAACTGAACTGCTGAACAAAAGCTCCAAGTAAATGGTCTAAGACAATTCCCATTGTGTTGTCTTAATTTGTGCATTTAAAACCTGTTTTTCTTCTGGTTTTATTTTTTTCACTGGATGGGTTTAGATAGGATGAAGAAACCATTATTTCCACTTGTGACAATGCACTGCATCCAAGATGGAAGAAATTTAAATTTTGTGGGTAGGAACAAACCACACATTTCCATTATATTGGAGTATAGGAAACTGCTTTGGTAGTTACTACATACTAGAATCAACTATAGTTTCTGATCTTATTTTGCAAAAAGTTTGAGCAAACCAGTTTCCTATATTCTGATGGAATGCTAAACTACAATTCATTCCAGGCTACAAACAAAACCTTTTAACTCCTCCTGTTGTGTGCAAATGGGCAAAGTGCCAGGGAATGGCCATGTCCAAGGCTTTTTGTGGTACATTCTCATAATGGGAAACTGTGGCTTCCCATTATGACTTAATCAGGCACTATATTCTTGCCTATTGGAGCAGATACAATGCCTAAACATTAGCTGCTTTATGTGTTGCATCTAGTTATCAAAGAACACATGAAAGAAAAACGATTTCCCTCTTGGCTGTCCTTCCATTGGAACATGATTTCCCCAAGTTTGGACTGATCTAAATCAGGCGTCCTATTAGATTTATCAATATCAAAGCAAGCAGGTACAATGGTATCTTTTACTTTGAACTTAATTCGTTTCAGGAGGCCATTTGAACTCTGAATTGTTTGAAGTCTGGATTAATTTTCCCCATTAGAAATAGTGGAAAGTGAATTAATCTGTTCCCAGACCCTAAACAAAACCCATTTTGATAAACTTAGGCAGCATATACAGCCTCCTGAAATGAATTAAGTTTGAAGTAGTGTTATGTTAGTGCATTTACTGTATCTTACTGAGGAGTGATTATATACGAGGTATGATCAAAAAACACACTTCATTTGATTCAAAATATTTACCTTTCCTGGTCATTTTGACTTTGGGGATGAGTTGGAAGTCTCACAGTGCCAGATCTGGTGAATAAGGTGGGTGAGGACACACCGTAATGTTGTTGTTCGACAGATAGCGGTGTGCGTTTTGAATCGATTCGGGACATCGCGGCAGCTACAACAGCCCAACTAAGACACTCACAAAAGAGGACCTCCGTACTGCTTCAGAAAGTGGCAAGAACAACGGGATACGTGTGTTCGAAGCAAGGAGGCGTGTTTTGATGAGGATTAACGGCAATGTGTCTTTTACTGTAATAATTTTTTTATTTAAACATTCACTGTTTTATTTGATCACACCTTGTATATAATCGAAAAATAAAGCACTGAAAATCAATGAAAACTCAAGAGACGACTTGGGCACACAAGAGATGATGATTATGCCATGACTGCATTTTTTCACTTTGCTTGCCGTTCAAACATCGAAGCACTGTTCGAACATAGGAGTGATTTAATCTTGACTTTAGCATTCGAACTCTGGATCATTTGAAGTTCAAGTCTGCTAACTATGAGGCACCACTCTATTCTTAAATGTGTTGCTAAAACTTAAGAACCTTTGAGAATAATCCAGAAATGTTGGTCATGAAATCCAGGTGCTTTTTTGCACTACATTATACCTGCTTACAACATTATACCTGCTTAAAAGGGAGATAGTTATGAAATTAAAATATTTCTATTTATTTTAGGGAAAAGCTTTTCATTTGCTCGATTTCCCCCTGATTAAATAAAACAGCTCACCGTTTCCCCAGTTTCAAGACAGTTCAGTCAGTAAAGTCCCGTCTAAAATGATTACTTGAGCAAGAGATTGAAGATACGCTGTACCAGAATACTCTGCTGAAGCTTCTTAGGACATTTCCCTCCAATTCTTCTCTCTCCATCTTGATTACAGGCAACTGGATGCCCGTAAGGCTGCAGTGGCTGGGTTTCTGCTGCTCCTGAAGAATTTTAAGGTTCTGGGCAGCTTGAGCTCTTCACAGTGCAGCCAGGCAATTGGCGCAGTTCAGGTAAGCACAGCTGGTGCCGGTGCTTTGTGGTTTGCAGCCCCAGGTAGCTGTTGGTTCTGCTGCAGTAATGGATGTACAGGAGTTAATATGCCATTGAACTTGCTGCCACAAAGTAGGGTCGGAGCCACCAGCTCAGAAAGTTTTTAACGGGATAAGACAAATTCATGAATGCTTTGTGAATCAGTAATTTTAACTTTTTTGGTCTCAATATGAGATATTGGGAACAAAGGAAGGAAAGTCGTCACTTTTTTCCTGGTTGTAAGTGCTCAGATGCTGATGGAAATAGCAAGTGCAGGACTTCTTGTCTAACATTACAAAACAGTTATTTTTACCCTTTGTTTTATGTTTAGACTTATTTTTGGCTAATTGGCCTGAGGGCCATCTAAGCAGATCACACTCGTAGCTGATTGTGTAGCTGTCTTGTCAGCCAGAATTTAAAGGAGTTGAGTAGTTTTGGGAATGATGGCAGAGCTGGCAGTATGACAGCAGCAGCAGTTTGAAAATAAGAATGTCCTCTCCCCCTTTTTTCAGTACCTTGTTCCTCCCCAGTGTCAGAGTGTTTTAACTATGCTTTCCACAAATGCTTCCCACTGTTGTCTAAATCCTTTCTTGAAGTTCCCCAAGCTGGTCACATCTCGGCAAAGAATGAATTTAATTTCTGTAATACTTGTAATGGGGAGGGGCCTGAGCAGAGTGCTAGAACTTGGGCATACAGAAGTTCCTGGCTTCAGTCCCTTATAACTCCAGCTAAAGGGTTCCAAAGGATTCCTGTCTGGCTCCAATGGTAGGGATTGTATGGCTTTCCAGTTGCTATTGGGCCAAAATTCCAACAACCTTAGCCAGCAAAGGCTATCACGGTGAATGAAGGGAACTGCACATCTCCAAGGTGTTTTCCATCCAACTAGCAGCATCTCATTGTCATCTCCTGTTGCCTGAGATCCTGCTCACCATTGTTCTGATCTGGTAGAAGGCAGCTTTGTATCTTCCTAATACGTTTCAGGTACAGAATGTGGACTTGCTTGCAGAGTTTTAATGCCTTATGTTGCAGAACTGTCAAGGCACTATATTTTTAGAAGGAAGTCCTTATCTCCTTATAGGTCAAGGCATGGGAATGCTCAGAGGTTAGATGGGTGCTTGGTCAACCTTTTGGTGAAGGCAGGCTGAGAAAGGATCAGTGATCATTAGAAACATCACTTCAAATCTGTAGGCCCCCGTGGCCCCTAATAATTTATTCTGGCAGTCATATTTATACCACAATTACACAGGAAAAAAACTACTAGTCCCATATGCTAGAAAAAGTACACCAGTGCATTACAAGCATTGCTTCTCAAGAGCTAAATTAGAAACATAAAAACAGAGCAAGTCAGAAAGGGTCTCCTGGGCCATCTAATCTGACCCCTGGCTCCTGCCAGCTCCGCCCGTGACATGCCTACCATGTGCATGTACAGTCTATTCATGAACAACCTCACCGGTGGGGCTTCAACCACCTCCCATGGAAGACCATTCCATGTCCTAGGGGTCCTTAATGTCAGGAAGTACTTCCTGGCATCCAAATTGAACCTTGGTTCTCTGAGCTTTGCTCCATTGGAATGCGTCTTGCCCTCCTCTGCAGGGGAAAACAGGCCTCTACCCACCTCTGTGTGACACCCCCTCACATAGCTCTATGTCACCAACAGGTCCCCTCTGAGTCTCCCCTTCTCCAGACTGAAAAGACCCAGCTCCCTCAGTCTTGTCTCATATGGCTCTCCCTGCAATCCAGCCACCATCCTTGTGGCCCTATGCTGCACTGATTCGAACCTGGCTATATTCTTCCTGTAATGTGGAGCCCAGAATTGAACTCAATACTCCAATTGTAGGTGTACCAGAGTCATATAGAGTGGTAGTAATACCTGTCTCGATCTAGAAGCCACACTCCTGGCTATGCAACCAAGGGTAGCGTTCACCCTCTTAACCACCGCATCACACTGCTGACTCATGTTTAGGCTGCAGTCAACTAGCACCCCGAGGTCCCTTTCACAAGTGCTGCTTTCCAGCCACTTTCCCCTAACTTGTACTTACGACAGCCATTCCTATACTCCAAGTGGAAGACCTTGCACTTATCCACATTGAACGCCATCCTGTTGTCCCCTGCCCACTTCCATAGTCTGTCCAGATCCTTCTGGATCTGGAAGACCCACTCCTCAGTTGTGCCACTGCTCCCATTTTAGTATTGTTTGCACATTTGATCAGCAGACTTTTCACCCCTTCTTCCACGTCACTGATGAAAAGATTGAACAGGATTGGTCCCAGAACAGAGCCCTGAGGGATGCCACTTGTCACTGGCTGCCATCTTGATGATTCCCCACTAATAGTTACTCTCTGCTTTCGGTCCATCAACCAGCAGTTTATCCCAAAACTCAATTTCTCATCCAGGATATCACGCAGCACTTTGTCAAAGGCCTTGCTGAAATTCAGGTAAAACACATTCACCATGCTCCCTCCATCTAGCCACAAGGTTTGCCTGGCAGGATCTGTTTTTGCGGAAGCCATGTTGCGTGGCCGCCAGCCTCCCTTCCCTATCTAGGGTTACTAGATCTCTCACTATTATGAGCCTTTCCACTGTCTTTTCCAGAATAGATGTAAGGCTAACTGGCCTGTAATTCCCCATATCCTGTCTCTACCCTTTTTGAAAATTGGGACCATTGGCACCACCCTCCAGTCCTCTGGAATCTCACCTGTTCTCCAGGAGGCTTCAAAAATGGAGGCCAGTGGACATGAGAGACCCCCTGTGCAACCCATCAGGGCCCAGTGCCTTTGTAATGTCCAGGGCTTCTCAGCCTCTAAGAATCTCCTCTGGTCACCCATGTAGATCTTCTTCCATCCTGCTTTGGAGAGAACACAGAGGCAAAATAGTCATTTAGCATCTGTGCCTGTTACCTCACATCAGTCACTGAATCCCCTTCTTCCTTACTAAGTGGTCCCACTGCCTGTCTCCCCTTCCTCTTGCTATTAACATGTTGATAGAAGCTCATCTTGTTGCTCCTGATATTCTTTGCAAGTCTCAGCTCATAATCAGCCTTAGCCTTGCGAAGTATCCTTCTGCAACGGGCCTCCTCCCGCCGGTATACCCTTTTGTCTACTTGCCCCAGTGCCCACTTCCTACAGAGGTTCCTCTTACATCTAATCGCTGTTACCACCTCTTTTCAAATCCATGGTGGTGCTCTCCTTTGCCTCCCCTCCTTGCTAACTAGCGGTATTGTCAAGGCTTGCACCTCCAATTGTGTGGTCTTGAATTGGTAAGTGCCTAGTTTATATTGTGTTGCTTAACAGGATGGATTTATTGAGAAGTAAGCTCTACTGTGTTCCATGGGGCTTGCTCTCTGAGCAACTGTGCACCGAATAGTACCTTTAGCCATAGCAGACAAGAGGTGGCTGTGCATGACTCTGGTACTGCCTTTCAGGTCCAGGTGGATGTCCATACCCGCTATAATGAGGCAGCCAATGAGGCCTTTTGTCTAGAAATTCTGGGTAGCTTGAGGAGATGTTTAAGTCAGCAGGTCGATGTCAGACTCATGCTCTATGAGGTAAGGATTCTCTTTGAAATTCCATGTAATCTCTTCACTACTAATAGCAGTCCAGACAGTGTCAGGGGAGGGGATTAATACTGTTGGCATCTGCAGGCCTCAGTGCAATTTCTAATAGGACAAGTCTTCATGCTGCAGGAACCATGATTATGATAATATCTGATGGTACATTCTTACCCCTCCATGCTGTGCAGGCCACTGGATAGGATTTGATTTGGTTTTACAGATTCGTTTTGTAAAAGGACCAAGAAGGTTGTTTGTCACATTGTGGGGATCATCACTCGCTTATGATCTCTCCATAACAAGCAGGTATGTGTATCTCGGCATTTTTATGTTCTGCTCTTCACAGGGTTTGTATGATGTCCTGCGCAGGAATTCACAACTGAGTAATTCCATTCTGAAGACACTGTTATCCCAGGTACGGTACATATGGCGGATCACACATCACATGCTTAGTTCAGACCTAAGGCCAAAGCATTGCTCAGTATTACATGCTTTAGCCTCAAGGTTGCATGCTCTTCCACTTTCATCCTGGTTTCAGAGTCTGGCTTCCACTTCTGGTTTTCTGGGAAGGGGAACATCCTCATTTGCTGAAAGGAGCAAAAATATTTCCACGCGCATGTGATAGAGGAAAGGTGTGAAACTGCGGTTCATTTGCATAACACTAAACCATAGCATGGTGCATTAGAATCAATTCAAAGAATCCTGTGGTATCTGTAAAGATATGGTAGTATAAGCTTTTAGACCTCCATACTTTGGTTCACGTGTATGGTTACAGGACTTGTTTTAGGTATCCAACCAGTTAGCCATGTTATGTAGCAATAATAGGCAACACATAAGTTATGGTAGGAGTTGCAGTTCAACACCATCTGGAGCACCACGAATTGCCCACCTCAGTTCTATAGATAACTGGAAATTATAGGCAAATGTCATGGGATAGCCATAATTTAGAATCTCAGCTCTCTCTTTAAGAGTATATTAAAAGCTGTGTTTCCAGCTCTCACAGCTGATGATAAAAGACAGGAGACACACAATCATTGATGTCTTAACTTCTGCCTCTGTGCACCTGCAATTCATAATAGGTATTAAAGGTAGCATGGTGACAGAAGAATAAAACAGATGGAAGTCCCAAATGCCTTATCAGGTTAGGGGTTAGGGTTCTGTACCACTTAGCATACAGAAGATTCCAAGCTCAGTTCCGGGCATCTCCATGGGGCTGGGAAAACTGCTGAAAGCACAGAGTCAGTGTCAGCAGTACCAGGCTATATAGGTCAATGGTCTGACTCTGTAAAAGCAGTGTCCTGTTTTGCAAATGTACTTACTTTGAGCAATGAACCTGCTGTAGATCCACACTTGCCCCCTTTGGACGGTCATTGAATTTGATGCAGAAGCAGTGTTCCTTGTGTTTCCAAGAGAGGCCAGTTCTGACGAATGCTGCCTGGCTGTCCATTGTACTTACCATGAAGTCATCCCCTTCCCTCAGTTTCTCAGAAGTTTAAAAACAAAGGAACTACTTTCAAAAATAGTAGCATGTCAATAGATAAAGAAGTTGGGCATCTGTGGGGAGACTATCCTTTCTGAAAAATGGGAGGGAGCATGAAGCATATCTGAGCTACATAATTGTATTATGTTTTATTTTTCTTATTTATGTAAGCCGTCCTGAGGCTATGCGATGGGACGGCATACAAATACTCTAAATAAATCATACATACATGTGTCAGCTGAGTAGTGGACCAGCAAGAAGCTGAGCTTGGGCACCAGCAGAAGTCCCTTGTGCTTATCCTGGTCTTTAGCCTAAATCAGCAACCTAAGCTAGGGAAGACTTGTTTCTTCTTCCTTTTATTTTAATTGCATTGCTTTCCTTTCTTTCCCTCCCCTCCTTTTGCCTTGTGCCAAAATGGGATGGGAGTCACTTGTTAAGTGTTAACGTTTTTTATTTATTGTTGCAGATGAAGTATTATTATGAAACAGAACCTGACCTACTGCCCCCAATAAAACTACAGAGATGCATCTTAGCTCAGAGAGACCAAATCTGCCTGCAAGAACCTTTGGTGAGAAAGGAAAGTCAGATAATGGGGCTGTATTTTCAGCTCTGCTGGCATCTGAGTGTGTGTGTATAAACAGTATCTTTCACAGGGAAGCACCAAAATATTTTCCATAAAGTGCTGGTCCTTTAATCTTGAACCACCTGTTAATTCACATAACACTAAACTATAGCATGGTGCATTAATGTTGTAAGAAAAAGTCTTATCAGTGCATATGAGAACTTTTCTTCCTATGCAGATAGGAGGTGTAGAGAGTCTCCTGATTGGAGGAAAAAGGGTTAAAAGCCTTCTTGAATGCACCATGTACCGGAAACTTTATAACACCCATTCACACAATTGCTAATTGTGTGAATGGCATTCCATCTTGTTTGCCCTGCACATTTGCATTGTTATTTGACCCTACAACTTTTCTCTTTTGCATTCATGGGATGGATGGATGATGATGAGCATGAGCATTTATATTTTCTGAGTAAGGAGAACTCCTCATGCATCAAATGGGATGAAATGGGTCCTGCAGCCCTACAGATCTCACATTATTGTAACACATTATTAATTGTGTTAGTTTTAAGGTGGATAAGCTTCTTCATTGTTTTGTACTTCTAGCCTGTGCACAAAAAGGGAACTTGCACACACATCCTTGCACGGAAGGTGTAGGGCATCTTCCTTACAGGATGTGAAGGTGAACCACAAAAAGGCAGTGTAGGGTGGGCATTGGGAGGGTGGGACTGGGGGAAGAAACGGGACTTGTTCTTGTTTGCTGCTTCAGCTCTTGTAGCTTGCAAAGGGCTATGAGCTGATTGTGGGCAATCCTTTTCATGTCATATTTTTGCCTTTTCTTTGGGAAAGCGTTTCCACATCAGCTTGCACACTAAGGAATCCTCCTCCCACATCATGTTTGTGCTCCTTAATATGGACAGAATCAGAAGGGGGTCTCCCCGACCATCTAGTCTGACCCCTGGCTCCAGCTGGCTCCTCTCATGTAATACTTAAAATGCGGTTATCCAATCATTCTTGAACATCCTCACTGATGGGGCCCCTACCACCTCCCTTGGAAGCCCATTCCATTTCCTAGGGGTCCTAACAATCAGGAAGTACTTTCTGAATCTGAAACCTGGTTCCTTGAGCTTTGCCCCATTGAACTGCATCCTGTCCTCACCACAGGAGAGAACCATGACACCCCTTCCCATACCTATATGTTGCTATAAGATCCCCCCTGACTCCTCTCTTCCAGGCTGAAAAGACCCTGCTCCATCATTCTCATATCATATGGCATCCCTCTAATCTGGCTACCATCCTTGTAAACCTGCACTGAACGGATTCTAACCTAGCTGTCTCTCTTATAATGTTTCATTTAAATGTCATTTTAATTGTTAATTTAATTGTTAATATTATGTATTTATTTTATATCCTTGGCCACTTAAATTATATTGTTTTTATATTGTGCTTATTTATCTATTGATGTGAGCCGCCCTGAGGCTTCGGTGAATGGGGCGGCATAAAAGTTTCCTAAATAAATAAAAATGAATAAATAATGTGGAGTCCAGAATTGGACACAGTACTCCAGTTGTGGGCACACCAGAGTCTTACAGAGCAGTACTAACACCTCTCTTGATCCGGAAGCCATGCTTCTGGCTATCCATCCACCTTCTTAACCACCACATCACACTGCTCAAGTAGAGATGTTAAAGGTTTGGAGGGAAATAGGGAAAAAGTCCAGGAAAAAAATTGGGGTGGAGAAATATGTGCCCCAGTTTTTCTCCCCCCCCACCCACCATGCACATTCACAGAGAGAAAGAGTGAGAGTTTCTACAAGGAAAGATGTGATAGGAGGATAAATCCCATGCTTGTACTCTATGGTTACAATTCTGATCTCCTTCTTATGCCAGTGGCTGCTATTTTTAGCAAACTTGGGACAAACTATTGGAAGGCCATCACACCAAGTAGATCTTTTTTAAGCTAGAGCTTGATCATATGTGTGTGATTGCTTAGCCTCTTGCTCCCCTTCCACCAATAGCACTAGGGCAGTATTTGGAATTAAAGCATCTTCCTGAGGAGTAAAGCGTATCAGAAGAAATCATGTGACAGATAATGCCATGATTGTTTCAGGCTCACTTGCTCTGCTGCATCCATCATTGCCTAGCTTGGTATAAGAGCACTTTAGCCTTGCATCAACAAGCTGAGGATGATGATGAGGAGGAGGAAGATAAAGGCTTCAAACAAGAGTTGGATGAGATGCTGCAGTCTATCACACAGCGAATGATCAAGAGTGAACTAGAAGATTTTGAACTGGTAACTTGGGAACGGGAAGAACTCCATTCCGTTGCAGTGGTGTGGAGAGAATCAGAATAGTAGTGTTGGAAGGAGCCATGAAGGCCATTGGGTCCAACCCCCTGCTGTTGCAGGACACCAAGTTACACCATCCCACTCAGATGGCTGCCCAGTTTCTTTTTGAATGTCTGTAGTGTGGGACAGTCCAGCACCTCTCTAGGCAGCTGGTTCCACTGTCATATTGCTCTGTCATTGAGGAAACTTGTCCTGATATCTAGCTTGAATCTGAGTTGTTGCAGCTTGACTTGATTATTCTGTGTCCTACACTCTGCTATTAGTGAGAAGAGATCTTGACCTTCCTCTTTGTGACAGCCTTTGATGTACTTATAGCGGGATATCATGTCCCTCCTCAGTCTTCTCTTCCCAAGGATGAATATGCCCTGTTCTCTCAGTATCTCCTAATAGGGCAGTGTTTCCAAACCCTGGATCACTTTGGTTTCCCCTCCTCTGGACCCTTTCAATTTTTTTTCTGCACCGAACATAGATAGATAGAACATAGAAACAGAGTGAGCTAGAAGGGGTCTCCCGGGCCATCTAGTCTGACCACCCAGCTCCAGCCAGCTCTGCTCATGATCTGCCTACCCATCCTTGAACACCCTCATCAATGGGGCTTCAACCACCTCCCGTGGAAGCCCATTCCATATCCTAAGGGTCCTAACTAAGATTCTAGTCTCATTGTTTTTGCTACACAGGATAAGTCAGCAGACTTCTCTCAGTCTACTGGAGTGGGATTGACGAACACCATCTTTGCCATTTTAGTGATGGGGGTGTGTGAAGTCCTGATGGAGTATAACTTCATCACAGGGAATTTCAGGTAAGGAATGCATTCTCTTTCAGCCTTGCACGTGCCCTTGTGCAAGTATCTTGTAGCTCTTATGAAGTGAACACTCTTTACGGCATTTGAACTTGATGTGTGTGTGTGTTAAACATTGTGCTTATTTTAAAAATCAACAATCAACTATCTTTAAAGGAAAGAAGATATATCTTAGTGCTAAAATCAGAACCATCATAATGATGCATATATGAATGTGGCATTGTCTATCCTAACCTCCATAGCCCATGGACAAGTCAACAAAGAATAGATAGCCTCTGTCTGAAAGGTTTCAGTCTCATGTCTTTGGGATTTTATTTTCACCTTCTGGTAATGTGTGTTGCAGTAAGAGCAAGTTTGAAAATGTTCTTGGCCTGTTCAAGTGTTACACCAAACTCTGTGAAATTCTGAAAGAGAAAGCCGGAAAGAACAAGCCCCCTTCAGCAAACAAAGTTGCCCGAAGCCTCCTTTCTATGGGTTTTGTATGCACCTTGCTTACAAGTCTTTTCAGGTAAGGAGCTTTCATGACAGAGAGGTTTCTTTCTTATGATGTTTATATCCCACCTAATTCTGATTTAAAATATTGTGTACTGGACTTGTCCTAAACCAAAAATTGTGCTGGGCTGTTTTCTTCTGATAGGCAGTATCCTCTGAGTCCTTATATTGATCCTTTTGACTTCTGAATCTCTCATTTCCTCCTCTCAACTTCCCAGAATGCTCCCTTTTTAATATTTCCCCTTGCGAAATTCAATTTAAGATTTTGGAACTTCTTGCCAGTACTTGTATCTTGAATGGGATCGTACTCTGATCACTATTTTCAAAATTGCACCAGGTCTTTGGTATAACTCAGCATACATTCCAGGCTTAAACTGGTCAGTTTCAGGCTCTTAAACATCCCAGGCTCTGGTCAGTTTTCACTTGTTTCAGTACACAGTGTCATGGAGTTGGGGGTGTGGGGGTGTGGGGGGAGAACATAACCCCGTTCCCCACTCCATTGCCTCCATCATGATACATCCTCCCAGGATTAGTGACTTTTAGTGACTTTTATTCAGTGTTTAGATTACCACTGAACACCACCCCTGCACAGCTTCTCTTGCCTTCCACACCACACACTTCCCCAAGCATTTCCCTTCTGTCTTCCGGTGAAGGCAGTGAGCACCGTCACCCTTCCTGCCTCCAGGCTCCTCAGACATGCCTGCGAGGTTCCAGCCTCTCTGGGCAAGGCTTCTTCCTTCAGGGGTTCTGCATCCACTTCTTCCCCAGGCAGGCAGCTTCTCCTTGGCACTGCCTTCTACCCGCTTCCCTGAGCTTGCAAATCAGCCTGGCACATTTCCTTGCCCACTCCCTCTGGGGAAGGTGTCTGGATTCCCCAGTGCCCACCCTGCCCACCTTCTTCCACTCTCTTTGCCTCCTCCCACTCTTCTCGCCACACTTCATTTCCCTTGACCAAACTCTCTGCCCTGCCCCGCCACCAGCTGCTCCTCATTTCCCTGCTTATCCCTGCCACAGCACCATTCTCCAGCTTTTGGCTTTCCCCGCACCGTCACCTTGGTCTGTCCAGGGTTGGGGCACAGGTGAATCTTCACTGGAAGGTGAGTCTGCAACCTCTCTGAACACCCCGTGTGAGGCGGTGAGCCCCAATAGCCCCCATACACAGTCCTTTAGGCTTTTAGTGTGTTTCTTTTCATTGCTACTAGCATGCATTGTCCCAAGCATTGTGAAATGAGTTGAAGCCGCCCGTGGTTCTAGCACTTTTTGGTCTGACCGCCTTCCTGATTTCATTCTCTGCCATGAGATCAGCATCAGGGATCCTCTTTCCGACTCTTTAGGGACTGTTCCCAAATCCATGAGGAGAGCCTGGCTGTTCTGCGCTCCAGCAGTGAATTCATGCGTTATGCTGTCAGTGTGGCACTGCAGAAAGTGCAGCAACTGGAGGAGGCAGGGCAAACCGATGGGCCTGATGGGCAGAACCAAGAGAAGATGTTCCAAAACCTCTGCAGCATCACCCAGTGAGTCATATGCTGGGGGGTCCAGCAGGCTTGGTGTGGTGGTGGTAAAGGGCGTGGCAGCTTAGTATCTCAAACTATTGCATATAAAAGCAGGAAACGTAAAATCTGTAAGAGTTGTTCAAAGCTAAACTGGAGTCGGAGTTTGGGAAAATTGCCTTCCTAGACCTTCGAGACAATTGAGGAGAAGGCATTTGAAACAGGGAAAACCATTTCATTTCTATTTTACAATATTTGTAAAATTTCCATGGTGGTTCACAATAATCAAATCAGGTTTATCAGCAGAAGATACAACCATTATAATGATGGATCCCAGAAAGTATATTCAAGCATATGTTGGAAAATATGCTAGAATTCCTGAGAAAGGAGAAATGAGCATTCCCTTTGAGCTGTCTTGGAATACCAGGAGATTTCAATGACGCCCAACTCTCTTGGCAATGATCTTCCTCACCATCAAAAGAATATATATATGGAAATTCTTCATAGGATACCAAGTCCAGGTGTACCTGCTGCTCAGTTCCTGTTGGTGGTAGCAACAACTCCAAACCCTTGGAATTCTCAGGGCAGTGGCCCCAGAGGAGGGCAGTAATATATCAAATCCATCCTTTGTCCCTTCTGGCTGGTGTTGCTGCCCCATTCGGTCTACAGCAGCTGCCACTGGGAAATGTCCCCCCCACAGCCCCCCACATTTAGAAGGCCTGTGTTCAGTAAACATATCCTTTCCTGCTCAAAATCATCTCAGGGTGATTTTATCTAGGCAGGTGTCCATAGCCAGTGGCCCCTCTGCTCCTTGGTGGCAGCAGTGGCAAAGGAAATCGCAAGGCGTGCTCCAGCGCCCTTCAGTGCATCCTACTCAGTCCGCCAGGTTTTCCTGCTGCCATTGGGAAAGTTTCTGTCTGGGTGAAGCGCCTGAAACTGAGCCCAGCGGCTGAACGAGTGTCCCTCCAATTGCCAGCTTATGCCCATACAGCAGCGTCCCCAGAGGAGAAGGCATTTCACAGGGGAGTTCCCTGCCCATTTCCTGCTGTCCCTTGAGCTCCTAGCTCGGTTCTGGATGGCTCACCTGCCCTGCATACACTCCCCTATGGGAGAAGCTGGCAAAGCCGCTTCCTGGGAAAAAGAGTGCGTGTGTGCACAGAAGAGTTTATTATCCTCATGTGGTCACTGTCTCCAGTGACACAGTTTCACACATGGAGGGTCGGGCAGGCTGATCCAGCCTCTCACCCAACTTGGGTTGCCCTTGCCTGCCACAAGACAGCATGCTCACTGGGGACCCATCACATGCCACAGATACGTCATCCCCTGCTTGATGCACTCTCTGTGTTTACTGCCTGCCTGAGACTACAAGGGACTGTGAAGCAGGTGATGGACTGCAAAGTGTGGCTTGAGGGTGGTGGTTGACTGGGCGTACCACAAATTACACACTTTGCTTTGCAAGATTGAGCAGGAGAAACTTGCAAGTGAAAAGGCCTGCTGGACTGCAGTTACCCTTTGCCCCCCTACTTTTCTTGCAGAGTCCTGTTGTGGAGATACACCTCAATCCCACCTGCAGCTGAAGAACTGGCCAAGAAGGAAAAGGGCAAGAGCATCTCGCTGTTGTGCTTGGAGGCTTTGCTGCGGATCTTTAACACTGTGCAACAGCTTTATCCGGCAAAGATTCCACAATTTCTACAGGGTTTGGGTAGGCATTTGTTGTTGTTGTTGTTGTAGCTTGGAGGACTATTACAGAAAGAGAGGATATATATATATATATTTTTAGTAAGTCAAAGTCAAGGATTGGTATTCTTGGCATAGGCCAAACATGTTGATGGCAAAATGTGACTGAGAGGCCAACACTACCAAACAGTTGCTCTCCAACTCCCTCCGCCCCTCAAATTTTGGCTGAACCTAGCTCTGATCATTGCATGTCAAGGTAGTGATAGTACTGGATGTGTGTTTTTATAATAAAGCTGTAATGGATCCTTTCTCCTGGCCTCAGTTTCTGCCTCAGTGCCATTTTCCATCCCCTCTTGCCAGAGATTACAAATGAAGATGCAGAAGAAGGGATGGACGTTAACGTTACAGAAAGAACTGCTTTCCAGATTCGACAGTTTCAGGTAAACAGTTCCAGGCTGAAAGGCGATGCTGGTGCTGAGCCACTTGTAGGATCGACTCTAGTTCAGGAAGAACAGGTAGCAGCCCTGTGGTTTTAGCTTGCTGCTTTCAAGTACAAAAATAATTCTCCATTGAAGTGAGCCTAGAAAAGGATTCTTTCACTTTCCCCATTTGGGAAACCTTCCTCCAGTATTGGGCTGGGTTTGATTCTTCAAGCATTTGTCCCCCTCCCCCCACCATCTTTTTTCCCTCCTTCTACAGGTTTCCCTTATGTGTTTCCTGCTTGTGAGTTCCATCCACTTTTTCTTCCATTTCAGAGGTCTCTGCTGAACCTGCTCAACAATGCTGAAGATGACTTCAATAGCAAGGAAGCCCTTCTGTTGATCAACATTCTCACAACACTTTCAAAGCTGCTGGAGCCTTCTTCTCCGCAGGTATTTAATGCGTTCACCAGTGGCTGTGGGTGCAATGCTGGAGTGGTGTAAGGAGGATCTTCATAGATAGATTGAAAAGAGCTCAATGGATGGGCATTGATTTTAGCCTGCAAGGTTTCAACATGGAGTTATATCCCCTCTTCCTTCTCATCACTTCTGTTTTGTCTGTCTTATATGGACAGAAGCATCAGATTAAAACAGTGTTCTCAGTGTGCTTTCTGTCTTCAAAGACTCCTTCCCATGCTGACACATCTTGTCAGAACCCCTGCTTGTTGAAAAGGATGGTGGGGTGCACACTTAATTCATGAGGCCTCACCATCCCTTTGCTACAGGGGCAACACAGCCTTTCAGTTTGTGGTGTATGGAGGCATTTTTGATAGATTATCTTTCTATGTTTCGATACTGGACAATCACATGTTGGGGGTTACATGAACAGAGCTGGCTGGAGCTGGGGGTCAGACTAGATACGAGATGAGACTAGATATGGGGGGAGTTCTGATTCGCTTTGTTTCTATGTTTCTATCTTCTCCCTCACTGCTCAGAAAAAGGCAGGGATATGACATGAATTCTTGTCCTTTTCTGTCCTACAGACTCCTTTAAAGAACAATCAGATGGAGCTTTAGAAAGGAGCTCGTGCAGGTCAAAGACAGTACATTAGAATAGTTTTGGAGAATAAAATATACTCTGAAGAGCTTCTTGTGGGAGAGAAATGCACATGCTCTGTCCTGGGTGAAGGCAGGGAATGATCTGGAAGGGAGGTGCTAACAGAGGCTCTTGTATTTTTTTTTCTTTTAAGGCTTCTTATCCTGCCTAGGTCAGGTGAGGGGAACATATGGCTCTCCTGATGTTGCTGTATCTAACTAACTAGTGGTGAAGGATGGTGGAATTTGCAGTTCCAACAATATAGAGCACTGCATCTTCCCTGTCCTGAAATAACCATAATCATAAGGATTGGACAACCACATGTTGGGGACTACTTGAGCGGAGCCGGCTGGAGCCAGGGGTCAGACTAGATGGCCCAGGGGACCCCCCCTCCTGTCTCGTTTTGTTTCTTGGTTACCATTTTGATTGTGAAGCAGCAGCCAAGGAGTCAAGCTGCAATCATTCCCTTTTCTGCTTGGTGCTGCTTCACCAGCCTGTGACTACAGCCCTTCTCCTGTCACAGGACCCCATGAGAACCAGTTCCTCTGTGAGCAGGAGAAGCAGCAGCAAACTGTTATAATCATCATCTCTTTACTCTGCTCTTTTGATGACAATGTTGTTGTTCACCTTTTGTAAACTACTGTGGGATTCTTGTCCGTTGTATGTTAAGTGGAATAGTATAAAATCAAATCTGTGCATGCATACATAATAATGAGACATTTCTCTCTGCTCAGTTTGTGCAGCTGTTATCATGGACAGTCAAGATTTGCAAAGAAACTAGCCTGGGTAAGAGTTTTGAATTGGTTGGTCTGCCTTGAGAATCTTGGAGCTAGGGGGCACCCAGCAGAATGTTCGCACTGGGTTTTCCAGAAGCACTAACGAGAAACATGGGGGTAAAGGTACCAGCAGCTGTCTGGCAGGAGTCAGGGATGTTCACCCTACTGATGAGGCCCATGTGTAGATGAAAAATTGCCTGATCTTCCATGGTTAAGATGCATAGTTCCGGGTAGCAAATTCTCCTCTCCCCCCTTTCAGACTCAGAATGGTGGTTAGCATTATGTCTGCACCTGTTTTCACAACCATAGGTAAAACTGGTTTTAGCTAACCACCGTTAGTGAAACTGCCAGGGCAGGTGTAATGCTAACCATAAAAAAACCCAGTCGTTTACCCTGAATCTGAAGGTGGGAGGCATGCAGGAAAGTGCACCTGAGCCATGGAGGTGCCTTACTTAAGTGCCTAAATCTCCAAACCATTTGACCATGGTTTGGAAATTAAGTTGTGTTCTTTCTTTGCCAGGTTTATTAGAGACAAGATGCTGTGCTGACTCGAGCTGTCCACTGCTTTAACCCAGTAGATTTGTCAAGGTGTCTTCTTAGCTTACTCACTGGTTTTTCCTCTCTGTAGAAGATGCACCTTGCTGCAAAGGCTTGCTAGCCCTGCTCTTCAGTCTACACACTCTCATTAAGAGCCCAGTTAGTGTATTGCGTGAGCTTGCCCAGGATATTCATGCTCGATTTGGAGACATAGACCAGGTGAGAAGGAGCAGCTAGGCCTTTGGGGCTGAACTCAAACCTGCATGCATTTGCCGATGCAGAGACTGTGTGTGCTGCATCTTCCAACTTCCCTCCCCAAATGAAATGAAGAGCACCAGTATGGTGCAAAGGCTAGAATGTTGCATTCAGATCAAAAGGTTCTGTGCTCAAATCTCCACATACTCAAAAAGAGCTCTGATTGACCTTGAGCCAGTCTCATAAGATTGTTGTGCAAATAAAAACATGTTAAACATTTTTTATTAAATTACTGCCTGTCTCTTTATCCAGGATCTTGAAATGGAGCATCAGTCCCACTTTGCTATTGTGAACTTAAAAACGGCAGCACCTACAGTTTGTGTGAGTCCAACAAGCAGTTAACTCTGGTGAAGGATGTTTGTAAAAATGTGAAAAATTAATTCTGCTCCACAGTCAGTGCACTGTGTATGCACAATAAGCTGCTCTCAAAACATCTCATGCCTTCTGTCTCTTTTGTAGTTGCTGGTTTTGGGTCAAGCAGAGAAGGTCCTTGAAGAGGTGGACTGGCTGGTCAATAAGATGAAGAGCAAGTTGTGCTCAGAGGCAGCAGGTAAAAAGTTCAAAGACTGGTTGCCCTGAAAAGTTGCTTGGCTGTGGGTAACAGTAAGCAGCCATCTCTGTTATAATTGCCTTTTCTTGTATAAAGCACACAATTAGCATAAAGCAAGTTCTAGATCAGCCACCCTCAAGCTTTTTTTAATTGAGCCTATTCCTCTTAAAAAAGAAGTATTTGATTACAAAAAAATCCGAGAGAGAAGGTTCAGCTAACCATACTTGTTCTCTAAAAGTAGAATCGGAGACAATTGATCCTTTGGATTGATTGAAGCTCTGTTCTTTTTGGAAAGGGACCCCACTAAAGCCAAAGTTCGATAGAGGCAATTTAACTTGCTTTGGTATGATGGTCTACTGTCTTAGTACTCCCACAGACAAAGACCTATCGCTTGTGCCCATCAGATATACCTTAGATGGTGGGGTGAGGAAATATGAAGAAGGCCTCTATACAGCATCCTACTGTTCAGGCAATTTCAGATGAGTGGAGTGTTAAGATACATTGCCAGTCTCATTAATTTAAGCTGGCACTTTCATTTGAGCTCAGAAGCAGCTTTGTTCACTTGCTGTTGTAGTTTTATTTATCACAATTTATCATGCCCTTTTCCCTCTTGCAAAAAACCAAAACAGCGTCATAGTCTTTCATCTTTCCACTTTACCCTCACCACAACTCTCTGAGGTAGATCAGCCAAAGTATCAGTGACTGGCCCCAAGTCACCTCAGATACAGGAGCTATGTTCTCCTCTTTGCCTTACTGAGTTAAACCTTCTGGTAGCCACATTCTGGACCAAATGAAGTTTCTAAAATGAATGCAAAAGCAGCCCCATATAGAATGTGTTACAGTAATGCAACGTGAAAACTGACAAGGATGTAAATGACCATGGCCAGATTCTCAGGGTCTTTCCCACATGAACTGAAGCTGGTAGAAGACACATCTAGCAACTGCTGCATGAGATCCCATCTTTGTGTAGTAGTCAGAATGTTGGCCTGGACTCCAAGAGATCTTGCTAGCCCCCACTTAGTCCTCAAGCTCACTGGGTGACTTTGAGCCATCTCAAATTCAGCATAACCTGCTCACACTGATCTAGGAGCTACCCAAGCTGTATACCTGATTTTTCAAGAAGAATGCAGTTTCATGCATACATGTTCATTCCTACTAGGCCTGCATCAAATTTTTGTGGCTTGTACCTAACTTTTCTTTTTTTTTCTTTTTTGGGTAGAGGATGCCTCACAAGCACCAAACCAGATAGATCCATTAGAAAAGGCAATCATTATTCAGCTCGGGACCTTGCTAACTGCTTACCATGAGCTAGTGCAAACAGCGTTACCTTCTAGGAGTTGTGTGGACATGCTGCTCAGGAGTGTGAGCAAGATGTATGCTGTTCTCACTGCCCTTGCAAAATATGTAAGTGATTTTGACCTTGGTGGGGTTCAAAAGCCCAATCACCAACTTCCTCTAAGCTCAAGCTACGTAGTCTGGAGTCTAAAAGCTAGAAAAGGCCATTCTTGGGTTGAGTCATGTAGTGTGTAGATCATGCCAGTATTAATATGAAATGTTGATTCTGCTATCTAAACTAATAGGTTCTTTCTCTTTCCATTTAGTTTAGCCATTTAAATATATTTCAACTATTAAACATAGAATGATGAAACATAGAAACATAGAAAACAGAGCGAGTCAGAAGGGGCCTCCCGGGCCATCTAGTCTGACCTTCGGCACCAGCCGGCTCCGCTCACGACATGCCCACCATGTGGATGTCCATCCTATCCTTGAACACCCGCACTGATGGGGCCTCAACCACCTCCCAGGGAAGACCATTCCACACCCTTGGGGTCCTGACTGTCAGGAAGTGCTTCCTGGCATCCAAATGGAACCTTGGCTCCATGAGCTTTGCTCCATTGGAGCATGTTCTGCCTTCCTCTGCAGGGGAGAACAGGTCTCTACCCATCTCCATGTGACATCCCCTCACATACCTGTATGTCGCCAACAAATCCCCTCTGAGTCTCCTCTTCTCCAGGCTGAAGAGACCCAGTTCCCTCAGTCTCGCCTCATACGGCATCCCCTGCAAACTGGCCACCAACCTTGTGGCCCTACGCTGCACTGACTCTAACCTGACTATATCCTTTCTGTAATGAGGGGCCCAAAACTGAACACAATCCTAAAACTCATTATTCTAAGCGACCTAAAACAGGGAGAGGTGCTTTCCTGAAAGCTGGAAGAGAGCTCACCATATAAGCCTGTGCAGGAAGATAATTCCAGTGGGAGGGCACCACTCCAAAGAAGGTCCTGAAACAAAACTCTGCCTGCCAAATTCAAATGATAGGGGGTCAGGTAGCAGGGTGTCTCCTGCTTTTCTTAAGGCCCAAGGGGTGACGTAATGGAGTGCAGACTATTTGGGTTCAGTAACAAAAAGACCCTGCCATTTGTACACCATTTCCTCTTGCTTTAATTTCCTAGCATCTCCAGCTGTGTCGGAGCATAACTGGGGGAATTTCAGGACGGTTTGAAAAGCTGGTGAGTTTGTTTTATTCTGTAAATTCCCAATATTGGGCATTTGTGTTTTTTCTGTCATGCTCACAGAAGTTCTTGGAATAACAGTGCAATCCTCTCTCTAGGTTAGGCTCTCTGGTTCCCACTTAACCCCACAGTGTTATGCTTTCATCACGTATGTGCAGGTGAGATAAACAAAAAGCCGTATTTCTCATTTCACACTTTGGTCCTAAATATAGCAGCAGAAAAAATAGCACTGCATGGCTGGTGGGAGGGTGGGGTGGGGAATAAGCCTGTTGAAGAAAAAGTTGTTTTGATCTGGATAGGAGACTTCCCCGAGTTTCATGAGATGTGTTACATGACAGTGAAACTCCCTAGTGGCCCTGAAATTGCTTCAAGCTTTCTTTCAGCATGCTGTGTTTTTCAGAAGCTGATACTGTTAGTCGGACCTGCATGCAGTTTTTTAAAAAAATGATTTTTGCTTGGACAACACACATGGCACTCAGAAGAGCTAAACAAATTGTGCGAGTTTTAAAAAATCACTTTGGTCTGCAATGGTTGTTTCTTTAGTTCGTCATGAGAAATGGAAAAATGCTATTCAAGATATTGAAAGCTGGTCTCTAATTGCAGGAAATCGTATTGAGCTACCTGAGAGTTCAGTAACTGTTGCCCACAGCCTTTAAAGTATAGATTCAGAACAACAGAACCTGTTTGTTCAGAAAGCTGCATTGTGCACCTAACACAATGGCATAAGTGGGGCACTTAGCAGTGGAAAGAAAAGTATCCAGGTTTTGAGTGCAACTTTCTTTAAGGTGTTGCTGGCAGAGAACTTTCAATGCGAGTGCAGAACTGTACAGGCTTGGCATCCAGGGAAGCTTTTGAATGGATGCTGCAAATGAGAATCTGGGTATTTCTAGGTCAAGATAGAAGGAATGGCATTACTCAGAATTAATGCCCCTGGGATTATGATTAGATCAGAGCTAAGGTAGCAGAAGCGGGCAAGCCTGGAGTGAATCAGTAGAAAACAGAATCTCTAAATGCAGCAGTGGACTCCTGGAAAAGAATCTTTTTTGTGAATTGCTTATAATTAAGATGACCACAAACTGTTATTCTCCTAATACTGAGTAGACTGACAACAAGTATGCAACTTGCCACACCTCTCCCCACTAGCCAAGTAGCCAGTTCCTTTCCCAGACTGTTTCTTGTGTTCTCCTTTCTTCAGAACATCCAGAGTGAAACCTTGAGCTTTGGAGGAGCAAACAAGAAAAAGGACAAAACAGCGACAGAGATGTCCACAGTCATGGTGAGTTGGCTACCTTGTCCTTACTTTGGAATATTGTATATAGTACCCTAGCAGAGTGTACTGAACCTTTTTTCTTGGGTATAACATTTTCTGCATTTCAACTGTAATCCTACAGTTGCATGGCTTTTTAGAGTTTTGTTTTGGAATTCTACAAGCAGAGCAAGGGAAATGTGTTATTAAAGAGCAGAAAAGTGGAATGGGGTACCATCCATGTGCTCCTCTAATATTAGAGAAAATAGGGGAGAAAAATAGGGCAAACTTAACACTGGTGTTTAAAATGTGGAAGTTGGAGAAAAGACCTCCCACCACATCAAAAGACGTGCTTAGTTGTGTCTTCTATTGCTGTTCAATAATCTGAAGGTGCAGGATGGCAGCCCAAGATTGACAGGCAAATGGTTAAGGATCTTCTAATTGGGTACAAATTTAAATTGAACTTTTTCCCTTTAAGCCTCTACTGCAATTTGTCATCAGAATTCGGCATCAAATCAGGTTTTTTTTGTTGGCAATATGGTGGCAGCAGGAATGCTAATATGGGGGAGTCCCGCAGGGGAAAAGTGGATCTCAGTCTCCCTGAAGCTTCATTCATGCTACAGTTGGGGACTTAAATGAGGAATGTTTCTTCCCACAAAATATCAATAGAAAATTAGCACATCGGAAAGAAAGTGAAACAAGAACCCTTCCTGTTGACATGCTGGCTTTTTATTTGGAGGAGATGCCATCACAAGAGTCCACCCTAAAGCCCAGACACAATTTTGCCACAGTGAGAATTAAGCTAGAATCTAGCTCCTTATTGCTAGCATGTGCACTAGTTCCTCTGCTGCAAGACAATAGCTTGACTGAAGCTGAAAATAAACAACAATAAACTCTAAGATGAACTTACCAGAAATTCTGCAGTCACTGATTCCGGGCACTGAAACATTTACTTTCAAGATTACCTTATCAACATTTTAAAACCACAAGAATGTAATGAATAAGGTCACAGTGAAATATGTTCTTTTTAAAGAATTCTTGCTGCTGAAAGGTGTGCACAGCTTTTACTGTGAGATCCTATAATTCTGTGCCGCCAACCTACTTATTTTGCATATTTTCCATCCCTCTGTAGGCTAAAGTGTTGCGGGAGAGTAAGCCAATTCCAAACCTGATTTTTGCTATAGAACAATATGAAAATGTTCTGATCCATCTCTCAAAAAAATCAAAGGTAACATTCTTTCTAGCCTAAGAACATTATTGTGTCATGTTGGAATGCCCTGGCAACTAGGACAGTGCAATTTAGTAATAAATTGTTCTATTTATACTGCAAAACCTAAGTACCATGGATGAGATGAAGTTAAGGGCCTGCCCTGTTCATGGATTCATGATTTTCATTTGGATCTGCACATGTAATTGAGATTCCTGATATATCAATTCAAAGTAGCATCTGATAAAAACAGCAGAGTCTACATCTGTATTCATAAACACAAAACTGACTAAAAAAAATAAGAGACCCCTAGTACTTGCTCTTCTATTGGAAGAAGTTCTTTCTGCTCTTACTCTGGTGTAGAATGTGCTCTTTCCCCCCTTAATGTTCAGGTGTGCATTTGATAAGTTAAACCTCTGACCTTCTTTTTGGTTGTTGCAGGTCAACCTAATGCAGTATATGAAACTGAGCACCTCGCGAGACTTCCGTATCAATGTCTCTATGCTGGAGAGTGCCTTCCAGGAACAGAATGGTGCAAATGCAGAGAATGAGCCAGACAACGAGCAGGTCAGCACGTATTTGAAAGTACAGAGAGATTGATCTGTTTCCTGGTGATGAAGGGTATGCTGCTCCTTCCCCAGTCCTGCTTGGAAGCTGAGCACCATTGCCAACCTGCATCACATCACCCAGCAAGCGGCAGGGGAAAGGGGATAGCAACACCCCGGTCATTTACAAAGGGAGGAACTTTTAATGCCACATTTCTCTTCACCCCTCCCCCCAAAAGCTATTTCTTAGCTAGAGGCAACAATCAGAAGGCCACATGTCATAGCAGACAGCACCTTTGTCCAAGAAGCAGCTTATGAACAATCCACTGTTTCAGTAGTTCATTCGAAATCCTCTGATGCATTTATCACAGCACGTTCTTTTCTTTTTTCTTTTCTTTTAGAGTGCTACATCTGTACATTCCAACAACAGCCAGGAGCCCAAAAAGAAGAGGAGACGAAAAAAATGAGAGCTGTTTCCTTTATTACCAAATGAATTTCTGTATTTGGCTGTGCTAGTCTTGCACAGCATTAGAGAAAGACTGTCTCCTTTTCAACACAATTCCCTAAATGCTTGTACCACCAATCGCCTCCTGAACTGTCATTCTTGTGAGGCACCGTTGGCATGCTGTCCTTCCTTTTGTCCTCGTCTGGACAGCATCAGGGACATGCCATAATAAATGCTGCAGATTGCTTATGGTATGCGCTGTTCTTCTTGCAGAACTGAAAGAAAGGCCTGGCAGGAGTCACTGCTGAAGAGACTCCCTCTACAATGATCGCTTGGCCATGTTTCCTGTTATGGTGTCAAACCCTATTTTCCTTTCCCCAGTGACCCTTTGGTTATTTTTAGAAGTTGATATATATCCAGAGCATCACCTGAAATAAATTAAATAAATAGGAACATCAACAATAGTACTAAAGTTCCTTTCACAGATATTTTTTTTCAAGTCTGCAGAGCAAATACTTAAAACACTTTGAGATCCACTTGTTGCCCTATTACCATTAAATGCTTCTTATCTTAGTAGGGTAAGAGAAGACCAGTGTTTTTCATTATGATAGTCCAAGAATGCTAATACTAAAAAAAAGAGCATATTTCAAAAATGTGTCCTTTTTCTAAGGTGCATTTTGTTTCAAAGAGTTCCTGTGAGCTTCATTTCATTTAAAAAATATATAAACTGTTCCTATTAATTTCCCTCAAGCTGCAGTTCAACAAAAATCACTAGTGCATCTCAAATAAACAAAACTTAGTCATAAGTTGTTTAAATATACATTAACATCCATTAAAAAGCAATTATGTCTTACCACATGTGTGACAAGGTTTCATCTTGAAGTGCTGTGAAATGGGGCTAAAGTGCAGCATACAGAATTGTCGGTGGTGAAGTAACAAGACTAGAGCTACTGGAGTAAGAGTAAACTGTATCTTAAAGCCAGGTTCCAAAAAGGCCTATATGGTTTGGGGATGTATCAGAAGAAATATGGGTAAACCAAACACTAATGGCCTCTTTCAGGTTTGTTGCAGGGGAAAGAGTGAGCCAAATGTATTTCCTCTATAGCCTTGAGAGACTGTGCAGCAAATCCCAGATTTAAATGAAGGTGGGATCTCTCCTCTGCATGGATAACTAAAACTGTATATACACGTGTACATCATGAAAGCCTCAGTAAGGATACCTCCTAGCATCCTGTAATGACAGGTGGACATTACAGCTCCTTGAAACAGGTGAGGGAAGATCTTGCATTCAGAGAGGCATAGATAAAGTTGGGTACTAAGTGTGAAGTTCCATTTCGGAACACACTGGCTCTTAGAAGGGCCATCAAAATCTACCTCAACAGGACTGAAGAATTCAGATTTTCTCATTCATTCAGCAGTCTTACCCTAGATGGATTTTTTTCAACTGATGAAGTTACAAACTTGCTAAACCTGCACATGTTATAGCATATTTCACCAAAGTAATGGCTGCCTCAGCAGCTTTTTCCATTAACAGCCCCCTCTCAAGGATCTCTAGAACAGCCACATGGTTCTCCCACAGGACATCTGCTGGGCAATGGAGGATGCCTAAACATGCTTCTGCTGAAACAGTCTTCATCCATATGGTGATGGTATTGCCTAAACTGCACATGGTAGGCATGTCATGAGCAGAGCCAGCTGGAGCTGGGGGTCAGACTAGATGGCCCAGGAGACCCATTCTGGACTCTTTCTGTTTCTTTGTTTCTCAGGAACCCAGCTTCCTGAAGAACCTCTAACCATGGCCTGAGCCGGAGGCCCTTCTGACTCGCTGTGTTTCTAAACTGCAGGTCAGCCTGCCTTAGAGCCCACCCTATGGGAGCAGTATGTCTCCTTACACTGGGTTCAAATGCAATACTGTGTACATACTGTGAAGTACCATTTTAACCTTGCCTGAAAAAGGTGTCCAGTAAAGATGTCAATTTTCTGCAGCGGAGGAGGAGATTTTCTAGGGAGGTTATAATCCATCAGATAAAAAGCCATCCTTACCTTGAGGGATGCTGTATCTTTTTTCCATCCCTGTTGGGTTAGACGGAGTGACGCAATCCATAGTTACCTCTTTCCTTAAGCACTGATCAATATCCACAGCACTGAAAAAGGCCACTGATTGAGGCAGATCTTGAAGACCCAGTTTATAAGCAAACATGCACCTGAAAAGCAGCAAGAATACTATTATACTTCATGATTTAAGACATTATTCCCCTTTCCCTTAGGACATGCAGTAGATTCCAGTGCTCACATTAAGTATGGGCCCAAATCCTCACACGCTTTTAACAACCCTCCAAAACCCCATACTTCCACTACATCCTGAATGATTTTTTTCATTTGAAGGGTTTGGCAAACACATTTACTCCTCCACAGTAAGATAGTATTAACCTGAATTTCTGACACCAGAAAGAAGTGTGAATTTTCAAGCTATTCCTGATTCCAGCTAGTTGAACAATGTAGAAAATAGACAAACATGGTTCTCACCGTGTAAGGAGATTGGTAATCTGCAGGGCTAGAGCTGCACGAAAGCGGTCCCCACTCTGAACCAGGTACCGCACTTCATCATGGATACTGATGCAAAAGCGTCCGTCGATGCCAAATTCCTCAAAAAGCCATTTCATTGACACTAGCATTAGGTGCAGGTAATCAACCGCTGAACTCTGGACCACCCAGTTTATTCTGCTGGTCAAAAACTAGAAAGAAACAAATAGACACAAAGATAGCTGAAGGCTCACACTGGAAAGTAGTAAGGTAAGTGCAACTCGGTTGTGGGGGATACATTCGAATAAGCACATCAATTCAATTCACACAGCAGCTACTGGCCTTCTTGGCCTCTTGTCTCTCCTCAACCAAATATGAATTTGCCAACACTTTTGTGGGTGTGTGGGGCAAAAGTGATATTTTAAGATGTCAGAAATCTGCCCTGCTCAGACACACTGAAAAGGGAGAAAGGCAGTGGCTGCAACACAGGAGCTTTCACACAGCTCACTGATAGTCACTCATGTCACCTACCTTGGAAATAATTCTATAAAAAAGTTAATAGGCAGGCTATTTTTTATTCGGCTCCCTACAAATACCCTTTTTTCTTCTTTCTGTAATTCTTTACTAACATGTAAAACTTTCCCGTTTTGTTTCCCATAGGCATTTTTATTCACCACAGGAAATAATACAGAAAATAAATATAGTTCTTATCCTTTTTGACCTTCAGCCTGGAGGACAGGCTGGAAGAAAAGTTTGAAGGAGCACATAAAGCACATCTGATGGTATTAGGAGAGGCGTAAACTCCCCACATCACTCCTGATCTCAATATACACAGCAATATGTATGTTATGTATAATGTGTTCTGCAGAATGAAGCACTTTGGGAAATAAGGCCTGAGGGCAGGAACTGTAAGCTGTATACCCTGATTTATTCAGGTGGGTGAGGAAGGGTCTGGTGAACAATCAAAATGAAATGCCACATATGTCTATTTGCAAAGGACCTCTTCCTTGCCACCCCAGTTTATTCCCTTACTCTCCTCTCAATGCTGGCTGAGCAGCCACTAGAATCACAAAGCTGTTGCTCCGCCTCAAAGAGGTTCTCTCTCACCTCACCCTTGACAACAGCTGGCTCCAAAGCCCTGCTGATCCGGCAGCCCAGCACAGGGGTGCAAGGTGATGCTGCCATGGCGATGCTTTCTAGTTTGTTGAACATTTCAGACTCCGTTCCATTGGCCCACACACTCTGGCGAACCACATTCCACTTCCTTTGAGACCTGCAACATGAAGGGCTTTAGAGCTGAGTTAGAAGTTCAGTAGCAGAGGAACCTAGGTGGACAACAAGGCATTTAAAATCTGTAAGAGGGGCAGCATTATTGACCACCAACTGACCTTTTCCCTATTTCTCTGTGTATTTGCTGCACGTCTTGCACAGACACAGAGCCATCCTTGGCCCTTTCCACAGGGATGCTCAGCTTCTCCACCAGCCAGTCTCCTTCCTCAGTTAGGAAGTAACTATGAGAGAAGAAAAGTGTTTGGAGGAATCTAAAAACATTATCCCGTCTAACACCTAGCTAAAGCTATTGGCATGGTGTCCTCTTTGCAATTTAGCTCACAGTATACCACAATGTAGAACCAAGAACCATTTTGCAAGAGGGTGCCCAGAAAAAACAAAAGGGAATTGTTTGGAGGAATGGCCTGGCAAGGTCCTACTCTCACCACACAATACACTCCTACACCCTCCAATCTCACCCCATGCAAGAATATTCTCCTCCACTGCAGGATAATTATCAATTAAGTATTTGCATGCTCTCCATCACATACTGCTGTAAACATGTATCTGTATGCATGTCCTTGAATGACATGAAAACATTAAGGATGTTTTGCAAACCTATTTCATGCATAAGTTGCACCCTAAACTAAACAAAGCAGGAAAAATTAGCTCCAGAACACTGATTAGGTTTAAGGGTAAAATAACACACTTTTATTTTCCCATAAGTATTTATAGAAATAAATGATTGGTTAATACACTATCCCATTGCACTGCACTGACAAAGTATTCCCTTAGAATAGCCTAGTAACACAGCAAAGTGTTGTAGTTTGCTAAATAAAGAGCAGGGAGACCAGTGGTGAGGTGCCATTTGAAGCACAGGTGCAATGGGGAAAACGTCAACGTACAATCCAGTTTCAGGAGGTACATTTATACACTGATGTGGGCATCAGCTGAGAAGAGATATTCAGTCTTGACTTGAAAGTATATTCAGAATGCTTATTTTCTGGTAGCTCTTGCCACCTGCACTTCAACTTTTGTACACAATGTTGTTCATTTAATCAGGAATGCCCTTTTCATTATATTTTTTTTTTCTCAAGGTGATTAAAGGTTGCTGCTCCAATTATTGGACCTGTAGAAGCATGTCAAGACTGAACTGTTTAAGCATGGGCTGACCTTCCTGCGGGAGAACCTTACCGCCGAACCCCTTTCGTGACGGCGTACATCTGCCGAGCCTTTTCACTGGCCTGCTGCTCTGTCAGACGATGGTTGAACTGCATGAGCAGACGCTCTGCAAAGGGCTGCCCTGCCCCGTAGATGCGCCCATAGTTGAACACTTTGGCATGTTCTCGGCTGATCCCCACTGTGGAGGCCGTCTTGCTGTGCAGGTCTGTGGCACTGCTCTTCTTCCCCTGCAGGGTCATCCAGCCAAAAGCCGTGCAGCCTGCAGTGGGGAAGCAACCGGCTGGTGAAAAGGCAGCTCAGGGTTGTATCTCTGCAATTCTGTCCAAGTGCAGGGTAGGAAAATAATATGATCGGATTCAGTTGCAAAGCTTGGATTTCATTTAAAAAAATAAGACAAGTTTCAGCCCTTACAGCTGCACAGGTCTGCCAAAAAAAATATATAAGGTTTCCAACTGTCTCCTATGGGCACTTCTGTATCTTGCTTAGCTTCTTGTTTCTCTCCATGACAAATCAAATGACAGATCTTTGCTAATGATATTTCACTTCCTTGATTAAAACAGGCTTTGCATTTAGCTTTTGCCTTTTCAATGTTTATCAACACCCCCCCACACTTTTTCAAAGGAGAGGACAAATTAATAATGATAGTGAAACAGAACTTTCATGTTTGCAAACACAGTAGTTTGCCTTCCAGAAGCAGGTGACAAAGCAGAGGGCTGTTGTGAGTGAAAGTGTGTACCATGCATGCCAGCAAAATGAGCATCTCCCAAGATGGCTGCAATCCAAAGCTCCTGGGAATCCACATCAGCTCCAACCATATGGTAGCCGGGAGGAACCTGGATCATGGCTTTTAGTTCACTCCCCACCCGGTCAGCCTGCAAGAAAACGAGGTTCTACTTACACCATGTCCCTCAGTCAACTCGTGTCTGGCTGACAAAAATCCATTTCTATACTACCACTTTGCTAGACAGCAAACTTGCTCCATGAGAAGCAAATAGTAAGATGTGGACAACTGGCTTCTGCGTTATTTTACTCTGTTTTAACCGATATGATGGTCAATCGATTCTCTACAACTATGCTGATCATTTTGGGAGGGGAAAAACTACTCCAGAATAAGAGACTGACTTGAGCATACATTCAGGCCCAATGTCTGGAACATCCAATAAAACTTCCTATGGCCTCAATTATTCTTGAATAATTGAATATTGAATAATTATTCAATTTAAGAATATCTGGCACTTCTGATTTTCATAAAGCCTACAACTCTGCCAAAAGCATTGGAAAACTGGAATAACATGAAGGCATGAATAAACTCACTGATAAAGACATAATGGCTTCTTTATTCCTGTCAATTTAGGCAAGAGCAACTATATTTTTCGAAGAGTGGAATTAGACTTCTCTTTTTGTCAAGAAAAGCTGCATAAACGGCACTGTTTGTGACTAGTATTTCAGTATTTTTCCCTATTGATAAAAAGCACTAGAAGCGACATACCCTTGCATTACTGGCTGTTAGCCAGGTAGGTTCTACGGCTCGCCGAGTAACAGTTCCAGCAGTTACCACCTGTGGTAGGATGGCTCCACAACTATTCTCCTCATTGTAGTCAAGATGCCTAGAAAAGTGCCAGTATGAGGCTGTTTCAAAGTACAGTAGGAAGCCAAGCACTGGAATTGCTAATAACCGAGCAGCTATTTGACAAGGACAGGTGTAGCTAAACAGACACATTATGTGAAGACCTGAGGTTCTGGTCTGCTGTAGCAGTTCAGCACCTGTTTATTAGCCTTCCTCAATTTCACTTGGCCACTAGTCTCATAATGTAAAGCTTTGAAATTTGCTTAGAATCTAATGACTCTGCAGAGATTCCTAACAGAACTCCATTTTCACTAAAAATAAAATGAGTAAGTTTCTAGACCCCTGGTGGATAGACATTTTGAAATCCTAATTGACTCCAATCTTGATAATGTTCCAGTATTCAATGGACATAATTTTTCTCCTCTCCTAAGTGGCCTTTTCCATTTATTGGGTTCTCAGCACATTCCCTAACCCAGGCCTTACACAACCACCATCTACCTAGACCTTTCTTTGTGCCACCATATTCCTCGCTAGGGGATGGTGAAAACTGAGCTTTTGCAAACACTAAGCCTATTTCAAAGCAAAGCATGAAAGGTTATTAACTTTATGGAGTTTTACTTATGTGCATGAAAGCAGAACTGGGGATTCTTGGCAAGGCATCTGGATTTCTTCAACCAATGGATTAAGAGTCCAGAATTTAACTGATGCAGCCCAGATGGAACACAGAAATGAGTTCTGTACTCTTTTTGCCTGCTCCACTTTCAAAGTCAGAATTTCAAGATAATTTCTTCAGAATTCAATATCTGAACAAGTGACCTATGAAGCTTAAATGAGGCTAGTGGCCCAGTCTAGCCCTGAAGTTTTCTTTGAATGACAGCTCTCCTCCAAGGCTTCAGGGCAGGTTCTTTCTAGCCCTGCTAACTCATTACGCAGCTGCTGCAAGAATGCAGACCCAACACATAAGAATGCAGCCTGTGGAGGGTCTGTCAAGGTGACAGGCAGGGAAAGCTGCTGGGAAATATAATCATAAACACATTAAAGCAGGAGAAAGTGTGGAAGGAGCAATGAAGACGTCTCTTAAGGAGTCCAGTGAATAACAGATGGAGAAAGGAAGACAACAGTTTGTTCTTAACTCATGTGCACATAATGTCTTTCCCCTGTCCCCCGTCATATCAGCTTTCCTTGCTTCTTAGTGAGGAAATGCTTTTGCTTGGTGAATGTTAATGTGCAGCCAAGCTCTAAGGTGGAGATGCCAGAAATGGAACCTGGAACCTGGTGTTTTCTGTACACAGTCTTTGCCCCAGAGCTGTGGCCATTTCCCCAGCAAGAAAACGTAACAGAAATCTATCAAAAGGATGCTTCTGCAGGTGAAATCTTCACTGTTTGCCAAACTCAAGAGTCCATCTGAAGAGCTTTCTGCCTCCTTTTGGTGGGGAACAGCTTGGAACTTAGACTGTATCACCAGTACCACGAACTCAGAAATTCACCTGCACGTGGCTAATTGTTCCTTCAATTGGATTTTAGTGTTAAGCTACTCTGGGAACCACATTTTGGCTATAAAGGAAGGAAGGAACAGATTCAACATGCTCCTGTGAACATCTCTGTAGACATACCTGGTGACAGATCGAGGCAGCTCCCCTTTCTTCAGCCACACTACTAGCTGGGAACTGCAAGAACCAAAATGTGAAAAGAGGACCTCTAGAAATGCTAACTTTGGGAAGCAAATACAATAGAAGAAAAAGAACTTTTAAAAATGGCCCATGTCTTCTTGGCTGATTCTCAAGCTCCAATTGCTGGTAGGCCACAAATGGAATAACCAGGCAAAGCTGACAGTAGTTTATCAAGTTCTTCATAAACCCTGCTGTGAGATTGCTAGTAATGTACCACTGCCATACTGAGCACAAATATCCTCTTTAAAAATGCTCAGAAATCTGATGAGAGCTCCATGGAGGAACTTCCCGCCCTTTGCACTCGAGTCTGAAACAGGCTGGAATTTGCTCTGTACCTAACACAGACCCCTACTCCTCCTCTAAGCCCCATTAAACTTGCCAAAGGATTTGAAGGAAGGGGGCTTGTGGCACCACCAAAAAGTAAAGGCAACCATACACAGTAAGCAAGAGAGGGCATCTGGCAGTGATGCAGAGGCAAGTGAATTTGGCAGGCCTCAGCTCACCTGATTCGCTTATGGGCATTTCTCCAGAAGGAGATCTTCTTGTTGATTTCAAGAGCTTGGGTCCCATCTGTGGTCCCTATCCCTGTCTGCAGGGTGCCGTCCTCCATCTTGGGCAAAAAATCTTTAGCAAATGGACTTCCAACATTGTTGTCATTTCCATCCTTTTAACAACAAAAGAAAAAAGTTTTCTTTGGCTCAAGGTAATGGCTGTGGAAGAGGTTTGACCAGCACAACACAAAGCCCTCTCCCCAGGTGGAAGGGTTGGGAATAAACATTTTAAACAAGAGGATAATTAGCTTAAATAGAGAACTTCTTAATATTACCTTTTTTGTGCATGCACATGCACACATGCATATTCCTTTCATCTAAATTCGCCTCCCTCTCCCCCCTTTCCTTCATTTTTCTCTATCTCATTATGAGACTATATAATTTAATACAGAATATAATAATAACAGACAGAATAACTAAAAGATGATGAATCAGAAGGAAGACAATATAAGATAATAGTACGGAGCAAGATATAGGGAACAGTGGAATAGGAACGATGAATTTGTGTAAATTAGGTATCTAAGAAAAATGGGATTAATTAAGAATATTTAAGCAACAGAGGCATTAGGAGCTAGAACTGGTACTTTGCCCCCGGCCCCGCAACTCCCTCTGCTAGAACTTTTTTGGTGGTGCCCAAGAGGACATGTCTTTGGGGGGAGAAGGGAGAGATATCAGGTATGTGTTGGGGTGGAGGGGAGTTGGGTGGGGCGATTGTACTGTGGAGGCTTTTTTCTTTTATGTAGCTGCAAGAGGTTGCACAAGGGACCAGTAAGGAAGTTTTCCTAGAAAGATATTTGATTCCCTCCCGCCACCCCTGAAAAAAAGTTCAATGAAATGTGTACTGAAGGGGCAAGGGAAGAAAAATGTTGACTATATAGGATACAAGGCTGATTTCTTGCATTCTTACAAGCCATTATGCTTTATTTTCAATTTCAAGTAACTCCTGGGCTCCAGAAGAAATGGTCTGTACTGACCTTGTGAGGGAGCCTGAAAAACCAACATCCAGGAATGTTGACCTCGTTGTAAGGCCCACTGCCATGGTGATATTCAGGGTGGCTTTTTTCAGATCCTGCAGCATCCTAAAGAAAATCATAGAACACAGGCAGCTGCCAGGCACTGCTGCATCCAGCCCAGCACTGCGGACTAGTAACAGCTCCGAAGAGTTTCAGGCAGCAGTCTTCCCAGACCTCTCAGGGAAAGCTGAAGAATGAGCCTGAGATCTTCTCCATGGATGGTATGTGCTCCAGCACTCTACTACAGCCTCTTTCAAATCAGTGCAGGCTCAGCCAGACTTCAGCTCTGAAAACACAAAAGCCTGAGGGACAGGAAGCATCTCTAAGCAGAACCCTGCTTTCAAAGGAGTCCACAGACGCATCCCTCAAAACATATGTGAAGACCATCATGCTTGTGCCACCTACTCCAGTCAGTCTTCGATTTCTTCTTCTATAAATCATTCATGAAAACGGCAGAACAGCCAGATAAGCTCATCTCGACCCTTGATGTTCCTCTAATTATACCTGACATCGGGGTTCCCAGAGTAGACATTTGGGAAAAGCTGCTTCTACCACCTTCCCTACGTAACTAGATCCTCCAAGTACTGACATATCATGGTAAGGAGTCCTACTCTTGGGTTTTTATGCAACTCTCCAAGATTCACTCCCTGAATGCTACACCCAGAAGTTTAAGTGAAATACACACTTGCTCATCTTCCCCTTGATAGGGCATGCGATTACCTGCATCACTTTCTTCGTTGCAGGATCCCCTTCCACGTTGCTCTCCTGCTGGCTGAACTTTTCAACCTGGCACAAGGAAAATAAGCATCTTCATATGGAGCCCCTCTCTCTGCTCTCATATTCGTTCATATGATACTTATCTTCCTGGCCCCCATCCAACCATCAGGGACCTTCACAGAAAGTTCTACACATGCTTAAAAAGTAGAAAGGGCATCACTGTGTTCAAGATAAGTTAGTTTTTTACATTCATGGAGCAGTCTTTGAATAGGGAGCAACAATCAAATTTGTGATTTTCTGTTAACTGAAATGGTACAGCCTAGAAAGAGCTGCACTACATAACAATGGTTGAAATGATGATGATGATGATAAATTCACCTTATATTCCACAGCTTGTTAGTCCCAAGGACTCTTTAAGCAGATTACAAAGAAACAGCAGAAACAGTAATTATACTGATCATGTATCTCAGCTCCAAATCACACAAACTGTACCTTCTGCCAGATAGTGCTATTTTCTGCTAACATAAACTCTTCATCCAGGGAGGTGCCTAGTAAGGTAGCTTGCTCTTTGCCCTGCTGTTTGCATTGTTCCCGGTATAAATGCTCAATAACCCTACGGAAAAGAGGAAGGAGAGTTGTAATGGGATTTGCTGACCATCACCCTTGTTTTGGTTTCCTCTGTTTGCCACCTTTGCCTCTTTCCACCTCAAACTATGACATTTTAGCCTATAAGCTCCTTAGGGTAGGGGGCTTTTTCTGTTGTTGGACTGTATGAAACATGTAGCAATGGCACTATATTATAGGTATTAATAGTATTAAGAATACTAGACATGGATATCTGCTGCCCTTGCTTCCCCCAAATTCCCACCTCCTTACCTGAACGGGCACACAGGCAACTCACTCTCAGGAGTAACCTCTGGCAGGTTGTCCTTCCTGCCTGGAACCAGGTAGCCCCAGCCATACTTCTCGGAGTAGTGCAGTGGAAAGCCATCCCAGGTGAGCCTCATGAGCTTTGGGGTCACTCTCATCTGAAGGCTGATGAGGCTGGGCCCAGGGACCCAACTGGGATCATTCAGTCGTGGACACAGCTTGCGGTACCACCTGTGACAGGGGAAAACAGCTCCCAGACTCAACAAATAAGGAGCTGAGATTGTTTTTAAATCCTTGCCTATATTTATTACGATACTTGATGACACCATGCACTAAATATGGTAACAAGTCTACATTATTTGTATATGTAGACTTGTAATATACAAATACGTATATGGTAGCATTTTAATCTAATATGAAATTACAGAGTACTCCAAACATTTCATCATGGAGTAGACTGGATATTCAATAAATTATCAATTATTTCCCCACTCCCAACTTTTTTTTTGTATGCCGTTGCTTTTTAGATAGTCCCTGTCCACAGACTTGCTATCTTGTTTAACTGTACATAAAAATCACTCTGGGAACCATTTTATCTGAGAAGCAGCATAAAAATACTTCAAATAAATAATAGAATTGCCAGAATTCGTTTTACTCAGCATAGTACAAGTAACCTCCTTAGGTCACTAAAGAGTCTAGCTGGTCTGATTCTTTTCGTTTAAAAGAGCACTTTTCCTAATGACATGTCAATGGGAGACTGGGACTGCTGACCCTCTTCTTGGTTACATTATACTGAGTCAGATGCTAAGGAAGTCTGTCTACAAAGAATCGTGCCTCAGTAAATTTATTAGATAGTGCTGGCATCTGTTCTTCTATTGTTCATTTAAACAAATGCAATAAAATAAAAACTCACAACAAAGGGCCATCAGATTCAATTTTAAACGGAAGCTCAAAGGCTAACTGAAATAAAAGTTTTGCTGCCCACTGAAAGGCAGACAGCAAAGCAACTAGGTAGACCTCTCTTGATTTTAGGTGCCACTGCATGGACGACCCTACATCTTGTGCCTACCTCCCAGCAAGGTAAACTAGGAGAGGGGCCTCTGAAGCAGACTGTGATGCCAGGTGAGATAAGAGAAATCTCAGAACAGTTAGGCTTTTGAAAGGTTAAGATCTGCACCTGAACTGAACAAAGCAGCAAACTGGCAACCCATACAAATGGCAAGGAATTGGAAGTAAGATAACTGGATTGACAGGATGAACTCAAAATTCTGGAAGCTATATATTGTGCCAACTGTAAAGTATTCTAACTTTTTTATGAGCAGCCTCATGTCCAGCAGATCACAGGAATCTAATTTCTAAGCAATGCATGACATATCACATGATAATTTGATGAAGATGATGAGGAACAGCTCCTAGAAAGGCTGGCATTACTAGGAGATCAGCATGCATGCTTGTATGCAAAAGCATCCTTTAGCAACGCACCCTGGGTGGCCAGGCAGATGCTGAATTCTCTTTGGTTGCAAAGATACTGTCTTCTTCAGGTGGTCTAAGGTCATTTGCCTCTCCAGTATGCTCTGTTCTTCCTCTTCAGTCAAGGGACCAGGATCTGTTTTCATCATACAAATGAGAAACAGGCATTTGTTCCATCAGGAAATTGCATAACAGCAAAGCAGGTAGCTCAGGAAATATACCACCTGGTATGGCCACAATCCATCCAGTTCAGTGAATTACAGAACTTGTACCCAGTACAGTTTAACAGTTAACATAGAATGAAGGGCTTGTCAGTTTTCATCTAAAAAGACTTAACGCCTGGGAAGAATGAGATAGTGTCTGTATTCACATCATCAGGGAAGAAGCCACAGTGGTGCTTTTCCTCACTTCACACGTGCAGTCATGCACTGCCTTGATTCCATATTTACCTGCACCGTATGTGAATTGCCGTGTTATTGGGACACAGTGAGAAGGGCACTGGGGTGCTTTTCAAACCACCCTGGAAACCTAGAACAAGGCACGGTTTCCAGGGTGGTTTGAAAGCTGCCCCTGCCAAACACCTTGCTGGGTTCAGATGACTTGGCAACCTGTGCACAATGCAGCTGGATGCTTACATGGTACTGGGCTACACAGTGGCTTCTTTTCCTTCCTCTATCATCTGAATTCAGCCAGTGTGACTTACGCATAGGAAGCTAAAAGACCAGGAAGATAATTCCAGGGGATAATGCTAATGTGCAAAGGACTGCAGGCCCCAAACCAGCCCATTGCTCTTATGTGCCTTTGCACTGCACTCGAAATGTGTGTATTCTGGCTTTTCACTTGCAAGTCTACAATCAGCATGCAAGAGAACAAAAAGCCTTAAAAAGAGATTTCCGTATAATAACAGTGCTTTTCCTAGACATCCGTTCAAGAAAATGTTCTTCATTTGACCCCCTACATATTGCTGGTAAGGTACACACTTTGAGCTTACAAAAAGGGTTTGGGGATGCTTGTTCTGATGGCAACCACAGCTTAGGGCAGCTTTCACAAACTGGGTGTGTTGGACTACTGTTGACCATTTTGGTTGGGGATTATGAGAGTTTTAGTCCATTGCATCTGAAGGACCTTAGATTGAGAGGGATGCTGGCTTTAGGGGAGATACAGTGCTGAAGCTCATTCTTCCCGTGAAGGAGGTTTAACCTCTTGCCGCTCCAGATACAGCTGAGAAAGATTCCTCTAAATGTTCAGCTGCTGTAAGAAATGGTAAACTACACCGAACTGGATGGATCAATGATCTGACATGGTGTAACAGAAGGTAAAGCAGCCCCATGCTAGCGGAGGACTGGCTAGTGAGGATGTGGCACTACCTTCCGGCCACGCCAGTGCAGAGGCCTCTTCCACCCCACTGGGAGGCTCCTCATTAATATCCTTCTTCTTCTTCTTCCCAGGTTTCCCCTTATTTTGCTTAAATTCTTGGAGGTCCCACTCCAGGTCCCATAACCAGGGATCGTCTTTGTACCTGTTTTGATGTATCAGAAAGACCACAACGTAAGTTACTTTAAAGAACAGTTTTTCAACAGCCATCTGCGAGTTCTCAGACTACAGATTTCTGCCTGTTTACAGCAGTGAAGGAAGGAGAAAAAAGGACTTATGGGTGCGGGAAGATGCTCATGATCATCAATAGCAGCAAACTCTCCACCCAGATGCCTCCAGGCTATAGATGTTAAGACCACGATGCTGTGCTTGACAGGGTCACTGTCTGGGACCCCAGTTCTCCCTTGAATAGCTACGAGGAGGAGGGGGTGAGAAGCGATATTAAGCACCCTGATGGCATGTGGGAGAACGCACCCATCTCTTCCCTTGGTACCAGCCTGCATCCTGATTTTTCCAAGACGCAGCAAATATGCCAATGGAAACCCCCAGCCCATTTTAATTCTGTGTCATGGTTGTTTTCTCTCTCTGTCTTTCTGTTCTGCCACTATTCAGGGAAGACCTAGATCCCAAGACTGAGGCTTTCACCAAACGTGCAATGTTCTGGCCTAAGACTACAAGGAACTGAAAGACGGCAAGATGAGGACTGCAAGGAATTGCAGGAACAGCATCATGAAGGCTAAAGCACGAAATGAATAGCAAGGGATGCGAAGCACGACAAGGAAGCCTTCTTCAGATACATCCCGAACAAAAGACACGAGAAAGACAAGGGTGTCCAGCACTAAAGGGGGGGTGGCCCCTTCCAACTCTACTATTCTATGATTCTATAGTGCACGGTAACAATGCTGTACACCAGTTAATGAGGACAAGAGCACCTCTCCCCATGTAGGAGCTCGCAGGCACTGTTGGCCAGGTTCATCAAAGATTTCTTCATGTCTTTTTGCAGCTCTTCATAAGTAACATGAGCCTCATCCAGGTACCGCTCCCAATTCTGATTGACAGGCAGGTAGGAGACCCCCATTTCCAGCATTCCTGCAAATGTCACAGGATGGGGACATCTAATACAGAAACAAATAGAAAGAAGACTACTCATAGAATGGAAACATTAGACACCTGGTGATCTCGCTAGACAAACAAGCAGTTCCTATCAGGCTACCACGCTAGGCAGGGCCAACAGGCATGCAGACACAAAAGCCGGGGCTTTCTATGGAAAAACACTTGCGAATGGCTGGAAGTTGGAACCACTGAGAGCAAACCAACTTAGTCTCCACCTGTGTGAACGCCCTCTACTTCCTCCCTTAAGTCTGGGGTTTCTATTCATCACTAAGGAGAAAAAACAGTTAAGGACTCTATTCAGCAAAGACAAACATGCATTCCTCACACCAAGAGAGGGACCAAGGACAACCTCCATGGTCAGAGATTCCTTGGGAGAGAAGACATATTGTACACACCCTCCACAAACTTGCGATGTACAAGCTTTATTCCACACCTTCCCTGCCCATCACGACAGGCGATTTACTAGTAAGATACAATTACTAGGATGTTCGATGAAAACTCCCCAAATACTTAGGCTCAATTTTCCAGCCTGCATTGGCTGGAAATGCAGGCTGAACCAACTTCATCTTCCAAGACCAACTTCATCTTACACTTGTGCATTTAAGACCAAGTGCTGGAAAATGTCCACTTCAAGATGAAGCTGCTTATTGAGATACTGCCTTCTCTTTTCTTCATACAGAATTGCATCACATGCCCTCTATAGTGTGCATTACTCTAATGCAAAGCCAAGTAAGATTCACCTGCTTTGCAATGAGAGGAAGAGAGAGACCAGAATCCCCATCAGGACAGGACGTGATGGTGTGTCCCCAACCCAATTTTGATTGGAAAATCTGACAACATTTTTCCTCTGCACACAAAGCATCTCAATACTTCTGGCTAACCCCAAAAAAAGCTACCTCACCAAGGTCCCCTATATTGAAAAGCGTCCCCCAATTTAGACATCCCGCTCTTTGAAGCAACAGCTAAATTTGAGTCTTTTACTTCATAAAGTTGTGCTCTAACAACTTCTCACCTTTCTAAGAAGAGAGGAAGCTGCTCCTGAAATATTTCATAAGTAGCCCGGACATCACGAGCACAATATTGCATAAGTTCCTTCAAGGAAGAGCAGAACAAAAGATCAAGCATGAAAGGTTGTAGGAGCCACTTTATCCCGAGTCACAACATGGGTCACCGATGGCAGTGTAGTGTCCTCTGTTACACATGAATGCTCCAGGCTCACGGAAGGCACCTTCCCCAGGTCTGCTACCTGAGATTTCTTTTTAAACCAGGATTAAATCTGCGAATGTCTACATGTAAAGAGCACACTAGACCACTATGATCCTAGCAAAACCCACAGGAGCAGCTTGCAGCCTGTGCCCACTCTCTGTGCCCCACCTATTTCCTCCTGCTGATCAGCCCTCAGCTTGTGGGGTGGAGAAAGCTGGTTTCCCTACTACTACCAGCACTGGGACCTGCTTCACTGAGGGAGAACTGGGAGAAAAAGCTTTCAGCATTATACCCTTCAAACCGTGCCGAGCAGAGATGGCTGGGTAAGGATGAGATCCCTCTCTTCCCAGCAATCCTGATACAGAGATTGTTGCTAATCCTTGTCGCTAATAAGGGCAGGAAAAAAACCTGGAAGGCGGCTGGTCAGCTAGGAAAGCTGAGACATTCATGTTATCAGTGAGGAACTGCAGACAGAAGGGGCAAGGCTGAAGCCTCCCCATATCCCCCACAACCCTGACGCGTGTATCCCTACAAACAGCAAGGAACCATCTGTCCAGATCTACGGGGGCAGCTTAAACTCTCGCTCCCCATGGCAATCCCATTCCTTGACTGCAGGGAGCCAAGAGGGAAGTGTAAACTTTCCCATCCCTGCACACCGAGCTGCATGGGGAAAACAATGGCATGCGGCACAGGTACACAGGTGTGCTTCTCCTGGTCCGGCACTGCATGTGATTCTCCAGGCCAAAAAGGTTGCTCATACCCACTTTAAAAGGTCTGGTCATCTCTACCTGGAAGTTATTCCTGATGTCCTGCATGTTCCCCTTGACAAAGAGGTCCCGAGCATCTTTCTCCAGTGGCTGGCCCCCAACATATAAAGCATGCACATCAACTAGGTTGTTGATGCTACTAATGTTCACCCAGTCCCATGCGGCAACCTGCAAGGACATATGACAACAAAAGAATAAGCAACTAGTCCAAAAACTAAAAACAAACTGAAAACCCCACATTTGGAAGGAAAAGTTAGATATTTTTTTAAAAAAATCACATTACTTTCTCGACAGAAGCAGGTCTTCCTTTCTAATTGGCTCTAATCCTCAAGATGAACCAGAGTAGCTGCTAACTGCTTTTTTAAACTAGAATTTTTTAAAACTACAAGTGCCACACATGTAGTAAAATATGAAAATGTTATTGAGGTGGTATATTGGACTGAACCACTGTATACAGCTGATTCCAGTTTTGATTTGTTCCCTACTTTTTTAAAATGATGTAACCTGCCAGTAAGCAAAGCAAGGGGAAAGTTCTATCCCATTCCTCCAACAAGGTCAATTCTCTTTTTGCAGAAGACCTTGGAGAAGAAGAGGCTGAAGTTGACCAGTTCTACAACACCTTCTAGAAATAACACCAAATAATGAAGTCCTTATCATCATGGGGGATTGAAATGCTAAAGTAGGAAGCCAAAAGATAACTGGAATAACAGGCAAGTTTGGCCTTGCAGTACAAACTGAAGCAGGGCAGAATTTTGTCATGAGAGCACACTGGTTATAACAAACACTCTTTTCCAACAAGCCAACAGCCACTCAGGTATGACCCAAATCACATTCCTTATGAATATACAGTGGCGGTGACAAATAGATCTAAGGAATCAGATCTAATAGACACAGTGCCTGAAGAACTATGGATGGAAGTTCACAACATGGTACAAGAGGTAGCAACTAAAACCATCCCAAAGAAAAGAAATGCAAGAAAGCAAAATGTCTGTCTGAGGAGGCTTAAGAAATAGCTGAGAAAAGAAGGGCAGTGAAAGGCACAGGAAAAATGGAAAGATACCCCCAACTGAAAGCAGAATTCCAGAGAATGGCTAGAAGAGATAATCAGGCCTTCTTAAATGAACAGTGCAAAGAAATAGAGGAAAGCAATAGAATGGGAAAGACTAGAGATTCCTTCAAGAAAATTGGAGATATGAAGGGAACATTTCATGCAATGATGGGCATGATAAAGGACAAAAATGGCAGGGACCTAACAGAGTACACAGAACAACTGTACAAGAATGATCTTAATGTCCCTGATAACCATGATGGTGTGGTTGCTGACCTTGAGCCAGGCATTCTAGAGTGTGAAGTCAAATGGCCCTTAGGAAGTCTTAGCAACAACAAAGCTAGTGAAGGAGACAGTATTCCAGCTGAGCTATTCAAAATCCTAAAAGACGATGCAGTTAAAGTGGTACACTGAATATACCAGCAAATCTGGAAAACTCAACAGTGGCTACAGCATTGGAAAAGTGAACTACCAGAAGTATAGGCAGGGTTCTGAAGAGGCAGAGGAACTAGAGGTGAAATTGCCAACATACACTGGATCATGGAGAAAGCTAGGGAGTTCCAGGAAAACATCTACTTCTGCTTCACTGATTACACTAAAGCCTTTGATTGTGTGGATCACAACGAATTGTGGCAAGTTCTTAAAGAGATGGAAATACCAGACCATCTTATTTGTCTCTTGAAAAACCTATATGCGGGTCAAGAAGCATCAGTGGGAACTGGGCATGGAACCACTGCTTGGTTCAAAATTGAGAAAAGAGTTCGGCAAGGCTGTATACTGTCGCCCTGCCTATTCAACTTATATGCAGAGCACATCGTGAGAAAGGCGGGGCTAGATGAATCAACAGTTGGAATTAAGATTGCTGGGAGAAATATCAACAACCTCAGATATGCAGATGATACCACTCTAATGGCAAAAGGTGAAGAGGAACTAAAGAGCCTCTTGATGCGGGTGAAGGAGGAGAGTGCAAAAGTTGGCTTGAAACTCAACATTAAGAAAACTAAGATCATGGCATC